CCCCCCGTCCTGGCATTTTGATATCTTCCCCTTTGGGACTTTTTCCGTCCAAAGAAGGGGATAAATGAGTGTTGAGAATCCTTTGTGATTTGATGAGAGAAAAAAAAAAGACATTAATGGGGAAATAAGAGCAAGGGAAATAAGAGCAAAATATCCGTTTGAACTCCGATCCATGTATGTCGTTGAGAGATGCGCCATCGTATCGATAATTAAACCCCGTTGGATCGTCCCACACAAGGTCCGGGATTGAAGCAAGGCAGCAAAGGATTACAGCACGCATTCAACCCAACCCCATGTAGGGATCTTGAATGGAGCTCACACGCATCGCCTCGGCAAACCCGTCAGAGCTGCCGATGCTGCCGATGCGCTGCTGCTGCTCCTCCTCCTCCTTGCGCACCAGCTTCTGCACGAAGCCCTTGGCCTCGTTCTCGACCCAGCGGTTAATGTTGGGGTCGTTGCACTCGGTGTGCTGTATTAGATGGCTCTTGACCTGGCCAATCTCCTGGCGAAGACGCTGGAACTCGACGTGGAGGTCGTGGTTGCGCGCCTCCAGGCTGTTCTTGATCTCCTTGAGCTCGTCGACCTTTTCCTTCTTCTTCTGGCGGCACTTTGAAGCCGCCACCCTGTTGCGCTGCTTGATCTGCTCCCTCTTTTCCGTCTCACTGCGGCGCCGGCGCGGCCTTTTGACCTTGGGAGCGGTGGCCTTTGTTGTGGTTTTGTCGGCGCTGGCGCCAGCCTCGGAGAGCCCCGTGGAGATGGATGTGTTTCCGGGGGACTCGTCCACAATGGCAGTGTTTCCCAGCGGAGACAGTGGGAATTGCACATCCTGCTCGTTTCCGAGGGACAAGGACAAGGAAGACGACTCGTCGCTGTGCAAGTCCGAGTCCATCAAGTCCAGACCTTCTTGTGCGGATGGCGGGAAGTCCCCTGTTGACTCGAACAAGGAGTTCCATGATTCGAAGACGGTAGTGGGGAGGGGATATTGGTACTGCGTGCCTTGAATGGCGGTGCCCTGATCCAGCAGCTCGAGCTGTGGATCGATGAGAACTGCCGTCATGTTGGATTCGGAATTCATGTAGTTGTGTAAGAGGTCAAGTGCCAACCCTCGGGGGGTGATGAGATTAAAAAAAGAGTATAGTCCAGATCCGGCTGGTAGCTGTGAATGAAATGGTATGTAATTGAATCGAATCTCTTTTCGAGGATGGATTGGTTGACTTTGAATGGCGTGATTATGCTGGATATGCAAATGTAGGTTCCAAGGAGTAGAAGCTTGGAAAGAAAAAGAGCGTCGTAGCGTACTGGTATGGGTGTGGGTGTGGGTATGAGTATAAGTAAGTGTATGAGTGTGAGTATGGGTATGAGTGTGAATATATGTATAAGTAGTAGTGAACGATTGAGGTGAATTATCGTGAAGACTTGTAATAAGCAGTATTGTTCACCACCAGACACATGTATCGTCCTGTGCGTGACAGAAATAATGTTCAATGTTATGGGAAGAATTGGGGAAAGGCCGTCCAGACACACAAACCGGCCCTCTGGTGGCGATAGTTATATATGAATTTGGCAATTTTTTCAATGGGGAATCGAACAACCTGCATCATCTTCCAGATGGCCAAGTTTGAATAGGTACTGTATGACCTACTAAGTGTTCCTACTACTTAGGCTACTGCAGGTTGTTGGAGGAGGAGGCTGCGTGTCTGAGGGGGTATGAATTCGTCATTTCGCCTTCGTCGACTGCCCAACAAGGAAAAGGACAAATCTAGTCTCGGGGGAAGCTAGTGTCGCCTTGATCAGGAACCGAACCGGGCTTTAGCTAGAGCTACTTGGTTCTAATTGTGCTGCAGCTGAGTTTTGATATGCATGCTTGTATCTTGATGGATGGGATGTGGGGTGGGCTGGGGTTGGTATGCACGGATGGGTATCTCAACGACATTTGCAATTGCGCATCACTCTGCTGTTCGCGACAACCGCTTTGCCTTGTCTTATCATAAACTCGTGTATTGTGTAGAACTCATTGCGTTGCCAACGGGTGCTTGGACTGCTGGCAGCGTGCCTGGCCGCAATCAAGATTCGCGACATGACGGCCGTTAAAGCGTCCAAGAGGAAGCAAGAGGACAAAGGGCACATGCACCGCCACAGAAGCCACACCCACTTCGTCATGATGCGTTGCCACCATGTGCCAAGTTGGCGATCATCTGCATTGATTGGCCAATTGCCTGGTTTTTTTCTCTGTTTTCTTTTTGACTTTCCGCCTGCGTTGCAGCCTTGAACATGATGTGCAGCCAAACGGCCGAGAAGAGAAACAAGCTGTGGCGCGAGTGTGTTGGCGGCTGCTGGGCTGTCAGTGGTTGCATCACACAGTCCGGACCAGAAGCTCCGGACCGCTGAAACTCGAGGGCCCAATCAAGCTGATACTGTGTGACTGTTTCTGAACGGCCGCGTGGGAGGGGAAAGGGCTTTCCTTTTGACGTCAGCCCGTGCGGGATCGAGTTGACGTATGGAGCATCGAAGCTGGTTCTTTCTATTCTCATTTCTCAAGGTTTTCCAGGCACGCCGTTTGTCGTCGCTTCGTTGCCGGACATGCGTATAGAAGAGCTCCGGGACGTGTCATTGGTCCAACGAGGAGGAGCTGTAACGTGCCATGCACAGTATTAGTTATGTGAAGTACCTCTACTAACACTAACAGCCGGCGCTTCGGGTAAGCTGGGCGGCGCTGCTTCTTTTCGATGGGGGTCTCTGCTATGCCCACCCTTCGTTTTTCTCTTGTTCCGCCTGGCGCCTGTGCATCGAAAAGGGTAGAATTCCCATGGAAAGGGGGCCTCGGGAAAGCACGTGTTTGCTGGTGGATTGAGGGCCGAGAGCAGAGAGCCTCCTCTGTGGCAATTTACATGGGTTACCGCATGGACGCTACTGTACAGACGAGTACCTGTACTTTCCCCCCAACTGCCATGGAAGTGCTCCGTACCTTTCGAATACTCGCCAAACATCAATCTCACCAATCAGCCGGCATCTATGTATGTATCTTGTCCGTTGATGCTGCACATGTGCTGGAGGGCCTCCGCACGCCAATCACACAAGTCACACTCCCCTGCAAACGACATGCCGCCCATCGTCACTGGCGTGCAACTGGCCTTCGGATATTTCGACCGTGTGCCAATCAGATCGAATGGCGGAAAGCCCGGTGTGCGTGTGTCGGTTCGACAGTGCGCGGTTCAAGCAAAGCCTCCCGCATTTATCCCCATGGAGGAGCCAACATGTTCACGTTCTGGTACCATGTCTAGTTGTTCCGCAGTTTTTCCTTTTCTTTTTTCTTTTTTACCATTTTTTTTGTTTGGAACCCTCCCCTCAGTTATCGCCTGGGCGTGATTGGTATCCCGGAGGACCTTCCGCATCCAAGCTCCCATGCATGTCATTGTAAGCCGGCATCGTCATAGGCTACTACACACACGCACCACACACAAATGCTCACAGACGGGTATCGGCGGTGCATGCGTGAGAGATGATTTGGTCATCTCCAAATACATAGTTCCCAAGTGGCTTTTCCCATGTCTTGCTGATCCTCCGATGCCAAGTTTGATCGTGGGCTCGCGATTGGGTACGGAGAGGCTTCCGTGGTCTACGCCTCATCGTTCGACTGGAAAAGGAATTGTCCATGGCCAACATTGGTAGGGGTCTTTGGGCTGTGGTTCGCATCACATGCTCGAGAATGAACCATTGCTCGTACATGCACGAGATGCGTAATGGGCAATTGAACACGCCGCCATGAGGACCGGAGAATGCTTGATGTGTACGTACAGGCACATCGCCACATACGGGCTGAAATGACACAAAGCCCCAATTCTCTTCCGGGTTATTTTGGAACTCTAGTACGGAGCATTACAGTACCGTCAAGGTCCCGGAATTTGACCATGTACACAGTACTACTACTGCCATGTGCTGCTGATCACTTCTCTGCTGCTCCGAAACATGGAGCAGCGCGTCCCGGAGAATCACAGAATTAGCTTTCTGACCCTTGTTCGGCATGAAACTGGTTTCTCCCAACCCAGAACGGCAAGCTGCTATGCACAGCTACCTCATAGCTTGTAATCATGAACCCTTGATCGTCCGCTGCGCGTGATTGGCAACGGACGCCGCCCGTAGCCGATCGGCGTCTCTGAAGGACTGGCCCAAGCGGTGGACAGTAAAACAGGGACTCAAAAATGAATAAGTACACACATACCTAAAATATAAGCACATATCACACTGAATGACGATCACTTCTATATGCGTATATTTTTGGCGTGTGTGTTCAAAATTTGAATTTTCCCTGTTTTACTGTCCACCGCTTGTGGCCTACAAGATGGGATGAGATCGGTGAGAGGAGGACAGCCTGTCATGATTGCAACGCCCGTCAAGGATCGTGATTTTCTATTTTCCGCGTTGGCCGGACCGCTCGTCTCGATATGCTGACGCTGAGTTCGCTCACTTGGTAAGCTTGAATGGATGAGCCTCGGTGTTCAACACATAATCGTCCAAGCTGATGATGTCGGGCGTTGTAAACACGAGGTAAAAGTATTTCAGCGTTTCAGCGAGCCAAAAACTCTACACCAAGCATCACGGTGAGTAAAAACGACGGGGGAATTCATGTAGAAAGAATCATGGCTCACCTCCATATAGTCCTCCAAAGGCAGCTTTCCATCCACAATCGTCACATCCAGCACCGCCGCATTCGCATGCTCCGTCTGCGTCCCCTTTGCAATCGCCGTGAACATGTCCCACGCGGCGTCTTGGAATTCTCTCCGTCCCGTGATCCGGTATGCGTAAAACACGCTCTCGATGGCCTCCGGCCGAAGGAGGTATCGCGGGTCCTTGGCGGTGGTGAAGCCCTTGGGCAGATGAGCCTTCCACTCAGGCCGCTTATCACGCTCCTGCAGCCAGTAATCTTCGTCCCAGGGGCAGTGAGAGCGGTCTTTGCATGGCGCCAGGTCGATTCTCTCGGGCATCATGCCCGTGGGAAAGGCGCGGTATGCGTAGACGCAGCCGTTGGTCAGCTTGATGCCTCTCTCAACGTCGTCTTCATTATTGAAGAGCTTGCCTGCCAGGCCAAACATTCCTCCTACGAAACAGGTCAGATGCTCTGTTTCCGGGTCCAACACTGGGTTGCCCTTTTCGTCGACGTTGATGTTGCCGGACATGAGGATGTCGTCTTCCTTTGGCAGCATTGGACGGAACAAAAAGTGTCGGTCCGCAGTCTTGAGAAACGTCTTGGACATGATCTCGTACTTGGGCTCGCCGCCTCGTAGCAGCTGGTGCATCTTGGGCAGATACTCGTACAGAGAGTCAGCACAGCCGCCAAGCGTATAGCTGCTGCCGTGGACTACATCCTTGGACATCATGCTGATGCTCATCGGCCAAACCCCCGGAACGCTCGTCTTGGTCTGGCCCTCGTAAAACACATCCATGACCTGCGACACGGCGCTGTAGTATTTCGGGTCGCCTGTGACCTGGGACAAGTGCGCCAGCTCCAAAGACAGCGTTCCTGGCGACGCTGATACGACCGAGCCCTCGACGAGCAGGCCCTCTCCCGATTTGGCCGAGTGGAAGTTGAGAAAGTCGACGGGCATGCCGTTCTTGGTGTTGAATCCAGCGTAGATGACATCTCCCAGCTCAACCGCCTTCTTCAGCAGCACTTTTCTCCCGCTCAGGTCGTACGCCGCCAGCAAGCCGCCGAGATAGCGAATGTTTGTCTCAAAAATGTTGACGCGGTTGCTTGTCGACGACCCGAAATCAATCTCTGCCACCGCCGCCACCGCCTCGTCAAACTCCTCCCGCAAGCCCATGATCCAAAGCGTGTCCAGGGCATCGACGAGCGTCGCCGCCCAGCCCGAGAACTGCTCTCTCCCGCCGCCGCTAATGGGAAGCAGGGCATCCTGTTTCCAGGCGAACTTCTTGTATCCCTGCCACGCCCGCAGAAAGACCTTTTTTACCTCGAGCAGCCTCTGCTTCCGCTGCTTCGCGACAGCTGCTGATTCGACTCCCGAAAAGCGGTGCTGAATCGGGGGGAGAGGGTTGCCCTGAGCTGGCAGCCGCGTGGAGTTGTGAGGAGGATAGCGGAATTTGATGCTGCTCCAGTCGAAGCTGGACTTGGGCTCGGGATACCGACTGGAAGACGCGTTGTGGTTCATGAAGCGCTCAAGCGTGACCCATTCTGGTGATGCCGACGCCGTCCGGGGCAAACGCTGGAGATGCCATAATGTGACGATGACGGCCATCAAGAGGATGCCGTTACGGACGATTCGGGGGCGGCCGGGAAACATTGTGATGCGGAGGTTTGCGCGAGGCGCGACTCTCCTCTAATTGAGCCTAGATAAGATGGGACATGAAGAGGCAAGGATGCCAGTGCTGAAAAAGATGAGAATTGATGAGATAGAATGAGAGACACGCCTAGCACGCTATTCCACACAGAATCCCCTTGAACGCTGAACAAAGCAAAGAGCATCAATGAGACGAGAAGAGGCACAAAATAAGACTCGGACAAGATAGAATAGACTTCTAAACAACTCTACCCTCGAGCTCCTCTCCGCACAAACGCCCTGCATATAATGACAAAAAAGGAACATCCATCTCTGTCCGTGCCAACTCCCCGATTTCGCTTAGAGCGCCGCATTGCTGATGCTAGTTCCATGCTCAATTTCAAATTCCAGGCCCCCTTTCTCCCCCGAACGGCACGCGAGCTTCCAGATGGGGAATCAATTTAGGGTCCAGGCTATTTATATCACCTTTCACATCCCGACGAATGATTTTATAGTTTTGGCCTTGAAAACTACCTAGCCTAAACAGCGCGGTTATACTTGTTTATTTTCCCCCAACTATTGAATGAGGCTGTATGTACTTCGTATATGTATTATTGATGTGTAATATCATCTGCATGCCGGAATACAGGCATTGAATGCTCGCATCAATTTATTATGGACAGCACCTGCAGGATTCAAGTGTCCATTCAAGTTGATTGTTTCAGCCATGCGGGTGGTCCCTGGTCTTGGCTCCCACTATATGCTTAATCGACACCTTAATTCCCTATTCCAGCTCGGGGTCCCCCCGCCAGCCCCCAAAAAATAACAGTGGAGTGAGATGAAGATGGCCGCTGCTAATGCTCAGCTCAAGTTGTCAAGAATAACTTGATCTACAAAGAATGTGGCGATAAAAGGACTCGATCTGCCTAGTCAATGTTCTGTAATCCATAAATGTCTCATCGAATCTCCGTGACAATGCTCAGACTATTATACAGTTTGGTTCCATCCATGTTATACAGTGTGCCTTTGGAATAATGATACATTCTCATCTCATCTCATCTCATCACCTCTTCCTCCGCGTGTCTTCGTCTTCCACTCTCAACTCTTCCTCCACCTCTGCGTCCATCTCCCTCTCAATCTCTTGCTCTTCCAAGTCCTCCATCTCTAAAATCTCCTTAATCAGGTCAGTCTGCTTAGCCCGCTTGCCCTTGGTCCGGCGTTCCTTGCGCGCATTCTTCTCGTTGGCCGACAGACGGCCTCCGTCCATTGTAATCTCGACCTTGCGAGGCTTCTTGCCGCCTTCAGCTCGTTTGCCACCATCATCTGCTCCGCTGCCCACGCGCACGCTTCGAGAAACCTTCGTCTTGGCGCCCAGGGCCCAGAGATCGCCCCAGTGGGATTTTCTTGCATCGTGGTAGGCGAGCTTGCTGAAGCTCTTGGGCACCGTCCATCGTTCAATCTTGCCTTCAGGCGTGCAGACATCCAGGGTGACGTGGCCTTTGCGTTTTAATGGCGGCAAGACCATTCTGGGCAGTGTCTGCATATCCGGACTCTCCTGGGAGTTTTCGTATCCTGCAAACGCTAGTTCGGTGGCCTTCCATCCTGGAAGCTGGTCTTTCTTTGAGCGGCCACGCTGTATTGCCACATAGCTAAACTCTACGTCGCCCTGGCTGTTTGAGCTGTTGCCCAGCATCTTGGTATAAAAGGTGGGCCGTGTAAACCGCTGGTTAAAATAGCAGTAATCCTTTCGACCCTTGCTCTTGCCAGCTTCTTTATACATAGGACACGTTCCGTGGTTGGTGCATGGTGCAATAATGTGACCAGCTTCCCGCTCCTTGTGGAATGCCGGGTTTAGCTCTTCCGTCGGGATACTGGGCTCGCCGTTTTGTGGTAGGAGAAACTGCTTCAGGAGTGTATCTCGGGCATGAGCGACAGCTTCAAACCCGCGGGGATGGGCTTTTTCAATAACGATGAGCACCCCGCCATCTTTATTCAGTAGAGTCCAAAGGTTGTTCAGGATGGCCTGACGGTAATGATCCTGCTTCTCCTTGAGGAAGAGATGAGAAGCGATGATGAGATCATAGCTTTTTCGAGGCTGCGGCTTACTGCCAGCATCGAGATGCTCGCCTTGCATCTCTCCCGAGTGTTCATAATCTGGCAGTCGAGGCAAAAAGGTCGTATTGTGGAGGAAGCCTTTCAGTCTGTGACGCAGACGATCTGATCCAGTGATGACAGTTTTTCTCCCTGGGGGTTGCGAACCCGTCACTTCGCCTTTTTCTCTCAGCAGATCCCACTCCGTATTGAGGATTTGCTCCCAGGCAACGAGGCCAGCTCCGCCAGCTCCGGCATCCAATACGCTGAGGCCTGCGTTTTCGTTCTTTTTGAGTCGCTCTTGAATCCAACCACTTCCCAGCCGCCTCCGCACTTCTCGCAAGACTGAGGTGACAGAGGCGTAAGCAGGGGGGAGATAACCAGCGAGAAACGCATCCGCCTCAATCTCCGTCATGTGTCTTTGATCAGGGGGCAAACCGACGCCACCCATCTGTCCGTTTTTTCTTCCTTCCGGCGTTGACGGCGAAGTCGGCAGTCCTTGGCCACCAAAGGCTGCTTCGGCGGCCGTCTTGACGTGGCTCAAATGAGTTCGGTCCAAAAGGTCCCGAATAGGTGTAACGAGCGCGCCTTGGGGTAGTGCAATTTCGACTGGGCTTCCATGGAATCTGCCCTGCAGAGTGAAAGGATGGAATCGCCGTGTCTCGCCCAGGCTCATGTCCCTCTCCAGGCTATCCGTAGTCTGGTCTGGTTCCTCGAATAGTTCATCCTCCTCATCCATTTCATATGCTTCCTGCTCTGCTTCAGCTTCTTCCCTCGCTGCTGCAATCTCATCCTCTATTTGTTTTTGTTGCGCCGCCTTGAAATCCTGCATCAGTCGCTGCAACGCCTCATGCTCCCTTGGGTTTCTTGCCACCGCATCAACGTAGCCCGGTGACTCTTCAATAGTGTCTAGTGCAGCATCAGATGCCAAGGGTTGCTCAGACTTCAAAGATGCCTCCGCAACATCACTCTGCTGGTAAGGCAGTTCGTAGGTGACTTCTTCAAAGCCCCCTTCTTCCAATTGCCGCAACAACGTCCTTTCATCATTCACTCGTGATGACTGGCCTCCCATATCCGCGTGAGTTGGAATTCCAACATCTTCTGGGGCAGTCTCACGAAGTGGTGGGCCATATAGCCGTTCGTAGAGTGCATACTCCTCGTCGTTGAGATAGCCCTTCGGAAGCGTGTCTCGAAAGCGCTGTTTTGCTTCTCGAACAACTTTTTCAATTTCTTCCAAAGATTGGATTCTTGATACATCTTTTGGCTCGTGAAGAGCAACGCTGGATGCAGAAAAACATCGTCTGCTTAGTTGATGAGAGCTTCGCTGAATTTGTATGCGTGGGGCAGCTGTTCTTCGCACTGATGCTGAAGAAAACTGCCGTGGTGCTGTGAAGAGATATGCGTAGCTGCACTTTGGGCAAGCATTCTTGAGCCCATTCAATGACAGCATCTTCTTTTCTTGCACACAGTTTGAGCACTTGAGAAGAGCTGCTGTTGTGCTCGAAAGATGAAGGTTTCTGGACTTTTTCAAGCTGTCGCAGTCACGTGATGCCGTGATTGGAGATAGCTCGCATGTGAGAGGTCAATCAACGCTAGGCCCACTTGAACCAGTTTAACAAGATGGACATTGACAATTAGATGCCACTCACGCTGCTTCTTCTTCATCTTACTTATTCGTATATTGTCTTTTCCTTTCAAAATCAAATTATAGGTTGCTGCTAGCTGCCGCTTGATAATATAGCAGCATGGTCTCTTGTATGCTGGCATGGCCAACGCAGTGTAGGTAGAGATCGCTCACGCACAGAATCACAGACAGCTTCTCCAACCATTCAACCCCCATCGCATTATAACAAATCACAAATCAGCTAGTGTCCTAATGGCTGACTTTTGTTGTTGCGCCCGAGCGCTTCCTGCTGGTGCCGGCCCTCCAGCCGACGCCGGCTTCAACGGTGGCTGCTGTCTCTTCGGATTGAACATGGACTGTTCCGCCGCCTTGTACGAATCAATCTGGCTCGCCAGTCAGTAAATTCGCACCTCCCTCTTCCTACGCTTCCTTGTTACGTGCCGAAAATAAGGACGTGAGGTACAGCCCGACAAACATCATGACGATGTTGAGCAGCAGCGTCACGCTCCAGTGACGGCCCTGGCCGGGGATGGGACCGTCGCCGCCGAGCGTCCTGCCGGGAGTCTTGAACACGTCCTCGACTTTGCCGCCGTCGCTGAGCGAGACGGCCTTTGTGATGGCTTCGGTCAGGGCCGACGGGTTGGCGCCGCGGATGGTCTCGACGGCCGTGCCGTTGTGGAAGATCTTGAACGTGGGCATGGCAGTGACGCCGTTGGTGCGGGCGATGTTGGCTTGGTTGTCGACGTTGACCTTGGCAAAGGCCACCTTGTTCGGGCGCGAGTGTTCCTTGGAGAGGCGCTCAAAGTGCGGCGCAATCATCTTGCAGGGACCGCACCAATCGGCGTAGACTGTGATGCTTCTGTTAGTCGGGCTGGCGCAGGACCGGACGAGATACCGATACCGTACAATCTGCGACGACGACGGTGGTTCCCGACAGCAGCGTCTGCCACTCGCCGTCCGATCCGATGTTGATGGGGCCGCTCATTGTGAAGATGCGCTCGTGGATGCCGGACGATTCTCTTGATTGCTGTGTGTTGCGACTCTGCTGTTGGTGGTGACTGAAGGTTCTTGAACGTGGCCAGCTTGCGCATTCGCCCGTCTTGTTCAATGGATGTTTGCTGAGTAATCGGGAGTACAGCGCTACGGCTAGGCCCTATGGCGTAATACTCCAGGTACCTTGACGCGCTAGGTCCTCTGGATGTCACCCGTAGCGATGACTAATTTTTCCCATGCCTACCTCGGCACGATATTATACGGTTGATGAGAGTGATGCTTGTCCAAGGGCACAGAATCAACTGTTATTGCATTCACGTTGTCATCTAGATGTGAATTCAACCTGGTGCTTGTAACATGTATTCAAATAAATGATGTTGCTGCTAGTAGAGGCACTATCATCAAGCTGTAGCGAGCTCTACTATGGCATCCATTCTTTCGTGTGAACGCTCAACGATATCATGCACTATTAGTCCCTGTCCGCATTCCATCAGGTCTTTAAAATCAGCTACACAATCTACATATCTGGGGCGTACGTGGGTAGTAAGGACCGGAAGAATCATCTATTTGGTTGCACGGTATCGATTCTCTATATATACCAATCATGGTGCTTTAGTCACGAGCCTCAAGCGCTTGATGCACAGCCAAGCTCCCGAGGCCCGTCCCATCACCGGTAACGAGTGTAAAGCAACTCACCAAACCACTTAGTTACGCGTGATCATAGCCTCGCGGTCAGGACCAGTACCGATCCATTTTACCTGCTCAAAGTTAGTGCATGCTTCTTTGAAGCCAGTGCAAGCGAGGCCATTGTAGGCAAAGGAGTCAACTAACCTTTACTCCAATGAACTTCTCAATGTACTAAAAAGGCAGTCAGCAATTATGATCAGATCCATTTGTCGTTGAAGATAGGTGTACCTCGATGTAGTCCTGGGCCTGCTTGGGAAGCTCATCATATGTCCGGGCGTTGGTCGTCGGCTTATTCCACCCAGGCATTTCGTGGTAAACGACTTCGGCGTTGTCTAGTATGTTATGGTCCGCCGGATAATAGTCAAGTTCCTAATGCTTTCAGCTATGCCTCAAGGCCTTGGACCACAACAGCTTCCTACCTGGCCTGTGCTCTTATCTTTGTACGCAATGGCAATCTTGATTGTCTCGAAGGAATCGAGTACATCGAGCTACATCAAGAGTCAGCCTTTCAATCCCATCAGAGTAGTGAGAAGTTCCTGCAAGGCTTACTTTGGTCAAGTTCAACGCGGTGTAGTAGTTGACCATGTGACCGTGCTTCACAACAACGAGATCTATAAAGTCCAAGTAAGTATCGACCAATTTTGACACTGAAAATAAGGCGAGGTGTTGACAAACCGAGCCTACACGATTAGTTATGCACCCAATATTCTTTATAGAGAGAGGCTTACCAGCCACAGCGACGTTTTCGGCCTGTGGACGTTCCCCATTCTCGGCCCACCTCCTGGAGTTTTGTTCCGACCCTGTTACGGACATGGTCAGCCTGCTTCGATTTCAAGGCTGAGCAGTGATAGGGTGACGGTACTCTTCGAGATCTTCCGTCTTGAAAGCGCCGGCGCCAACACGTGTGGTGTCTATAGTCATCAGCGTCTGCTACAAACCATTGCGGGTGGTTAGGGGTAGGGGGTCGTTTCGATATGGCTACTGGCCAAAAGGTCCAGTGATTGCCCATATTACTTACAGGCTTTTACCACTCCGATTGTCTCTGTGATGGCCTTAGGGTTGAGCGTCAAGCCGGCGATGATGCCAGAAATTGCGGTGTTGGATGAAGTGACATAGGGGTACGATCCCATCGAAAGGTCGAGCATCACGGCCTGTTGGTACCAAGACAAGTAAACCACCTGGTCATGTACTCCGAAGCCTTAACGTAGACAGAGCGGCCGTTAACGTGATAGGACGTAGCCAGGGCCACCCTATTAGTTGTTTTATGGTCACTCCCAGAGGTTAGTGGTGTGTCCATAGACGTCAGTATCGCAGGCCTAGAGTAAGCCCAGATTACAACCCAGATAGATCATATATGATATCGGAGCCCGTCCCTTCTCAGTCACACTTGAGGTGACCGTGCAACCAAAAAAGGATGGCTATTTAGCCACATCCCTTGGCTAAATGACCACCCTAAGCGTAGCTGAGAAAAGTCCGGCCCTGATATCGCATATAAGCTTTTCGGTTATGACCTAAACAGTGACTGCAGAGTCTAGGTCTGCTGCTCGACTCAGGTCTGCGATATCGACATATAGCAGCACTGCTAGCCGCTGGTGTGACCATTCAACCAGTAGGGTATGCTTTTTAGCCACGTCCACATGATGTCTCTTCACCGATGCCAGAATTTAAGAGCTTCAAGTACATGACGACAGGTAGGTTACCGGTCCGGTCAGGTTAGTCAATAGCCAACTTGCTGGGAGCTGATGAAATGACGAACATTTGCACCCTCGATAATGATGTTCATGTTGCTCGTTTGACTATAAGAGTTAGCTTCTTGTTATATTTATGAGGCGAAAGGTTCGTCGGAAGGCAAAAGAATTATCCTGGATATTGATCCGTTCCTCTGATCCTCTCGATACCGCGCCGCAAAGGTTACTTACGCAGAATACATAAAGCTCAAACCATCAACGGCATACGTTGCGAGCTCCGTACGGTATCCTCGGAATCTCTCAATCTCTTCCTCGACATCGTACTTGAGCAAATCGCCGTAGCGGGCCTTGTAGCCATGTGCCAGTCGACGCAGTTTTGATTCGAAGAGTTCTTGGTCGAACACGTCGGCCAAACGAATTCCACTTCTCTAATTCCGGTTTAGTGAGATGATTGGTGCTCTGGGGTTTTGAATGCTTACAGCAGCCTTGGTCTATCAAGTTCAGTGTCAGTACAAACGTGCTACTTTGACCGACACTAATGCCAATATCTACTTACACTGTATGAGGGACCGTTCACGGAAATGTTAGCTTTTGTTGTGAAGGGTGTAACACGGTGGACTTATAATTCCGCGGCCAGTGGTGCCGATTTTGCGCTCTGGTCAAGTTAGACATGAACAGAGGCCCCGACTAAAGATTGCTCACCTCCTAGCTCAATCTCCTCGAGACCATCGACGGCGGCGTGAAGGTCAAAGTTGATGTGGACCTAGGTGTAACAAGTGAGCAAGCGTACGGCACAACGTAGTAGCGCAGCGTTGCATGGGTTACTGACTCTATCAGACACAAGGATCCGATCATAGACATTGGGAAGTCCTTTCTATTTCTGATGTCAGCAATAATTTCTTGATAGCTGCCAGATTGATAATTACCTCTTCAAGCTGCTTCAACTCTGAGAAGAACGAAGGGCTAGAAATAGTCAGCGTTACAGTTCTGCATTGATACGCCAAACGGATTGCGTGTTGAGCTGGACGGCGATCGAGAGACTTGTATGATGACATAGAATACTGGATTTGTGAGACTTACACGTGGAAGACCCTGTTGCGGGCGGATGCCGTTAGTACAGGTCAAATGGTTGCTCAACACCAACTCGTCTTGTAGAGAAGTGAGCTTAAGCGACTTACACATCGGAGCCGATGAAGTTCATGCTACCGTCAAGTCAGCGTCTGCTCGTCAAAGGTGGGCAATTGTCGACAACGTACCAGTTCGGGTTGATGAGACCGGAAGGGAGCAGGTGAAAGCTATTGTTGGTCAATGATTCGCCTAGTCGACAAACCGATGCTTTGATTCGGCGTCTGCATACCTGTACGAGACGCCGTTGGCGCTGTGGAGATAGTGGTCAGCGATATAGTTCATCAGTCGTGGCAGAATAGCACGGCGGACGAGACTCACACAATAGAATGGCCTGCATTATGACCTCCCTGGAATCTCGGTTTAGTATTTTGTATGCGCCGTCGCAAAGGATGTTGGGCTTACAGCAGCCCTCGCGCTATCACCAAGTCAGCGTCTACTACTCGTGAAATTGACTTTGCCAGAAGGAGATAAGTTTCAGTTTCTGAATATAGAAGAAGAATATGAACAGAGGGTGAAATATGGTCTAGAGTGATGCCATGTTGCCAGCATAATGTTCGACTCCTAGCCATATTCACCCTCTGTTGGCTCTCCATATCAAGAAGCTACAACACCAACCACAACCTTCTTCCCCGCAAAAAGACGTACCAGAGTTGAGCTTCGGGTGCGAGAATGTCAACTAATTTGCCTTTCTGACGTTTAATAGGTCAGTTGAGGGCTCGATATGACAGATCAGATGGGTCGGACGCACTCCTTCATCGCCTATAGAAGCGCAATTGAGTTAGCGACAAGACGTCGTTACAACGCGCACGGGGCACCAAACAAGGGAAAGGAAATGACAAACCCCATTGAGCTCCCAGGACAACCTTGATAGGCATGGCGTGCGACTGCAGACAATTTGACTGTGGTGTTGTAGGGCGAGAGAGAGTCCTGTGACTGTTCGGAGAGGAATATAAAACGCAGGATCGGCGTCCAAGTTTTGATGGACAAGCAGCTAGCTCGGTTCCTCAAGTACAAGCGCAAAGGTGCCAAAAGTCAGAGACGCAGACCATTTCCAATCACCAAAACTGTGTATCTTTTACTCGCAAAGTCTTTCAAAACGAGTCAATTTGTTCATACCAAGAGCAAAAAAGATTCAATGACCAAACACATCATCTACAAACCAAATGTCCAGCCAAAGGAATACTTGGAGGTACTTCCTCAATGGAACAAAACTTCCAGTGGAGGGGCTGTTGGAGGGGCGTTTTGCCAATTTTGATCCTTATATAGAAGGCGGTCAAGGCCGATGACGGAATGGGTGAGCATCAGGTAGGTACTCATGTATCAATGACATGCTTGCTAATATGTCTAACAATGGCCACAGGCTACCTTAGCTGTTGATAATTTCTCGCATAGAATGGGGAAATCTAGGATTGGTGCTTATCATTTTCAAAATGAACTTTGGCTGTTGATAAGAATATGTAGCAACTCGGGATGATCCTACCTGAAAATCTCACGACTGCCTTTAATCTCTAGATACATCACTTGCTCAATACATTGATCGGACAAGAACAGATACAATCGTTAGAATAAATCGTTTGAATATCATTTTCTCCCTTTATAAATTTTTAGTGGTCACGATATCTGCATGATCTTGTTTACCGTATTTCATCAAACGCCAACACTTATCTACAAGGTACCTGTAATTGAATGCGACGGCCGATGATGATGCAGTTACAGAAGCGGTAGGCGGTATGAGATAAAGTGGACCAGCTTCCGGCAGAATACGGGCTATCAAAATAATTTTGAGACGAGATTTTGACAGGCATATGAGCTGCATACTTCAGTGACGAAAAATACATTCACCATGTCATATCAAGAGCGCGAGGCAAAGGTATCATCTTATGAGTACTTTCAAGGCGATATTCAATTCTAATTGAGCATACAGAAGAGAAAAACTGCCCACAATGGCGGCAACGCTCAGCAGGCGTTTCGCCCCGTCAATCTCCAAGCTTCAGAGGGAAGAGAATGGACTGTCTCTGTAGCATTCCCCAGCAGCACAATCGCGACGTATGTATTCAATCTCCTTCGCTTTGAATCATTCGGGTGCGGAAATACAGACTTACTCACGGAATGCCTCCAGCCTAGCCACGGCCGAACAGCGAATCGCTGTGCCGAGCCGCATCGCCCGCGCCCTCGCCATCTTCTCCATCGACGAAGTCATTGTCTTTGACGACTCCCCGGTCAACACTCGCCCGCACAATACCGATAAGTCTGTCTACACCGGAGATACGGACCCGTGTCACTTCCTGACGCATGTGCTGTCGTATCTGGAAGCGCCGCCGTTTATGCGCAAGGCGCTTTTCCCTCTGCACCCCAACTTGCGATTGACGTCGTCCTTGCCTGGTCTTGATACGCCGCACCACCCGCATATCAAGGAGTCGATGATATACAGAGAAGGAGTTACTATTGCGGGAATGACAAAGTCGAGCGACGGCACGTTGGTGGAAATTGGACTGGATAAGCCTGTCGAGATCAAAGAGGACATTCCTCCCAAGACGAGAGTCACGCTCAAGATTTCAGAAGACGGGTCTGAGTCCGCAGAGTGTGTTCACCCCCATACGCCTCGCACGGAAGCCGGCTTCTACTGGGGCTACACTGTCCGACAGGCAAACTCCCTTTCGGCCGTCTTCACCGAGTCTCCCTACGAAGGCGGATACGACGTCAGCATCGGCACGTCTGAGAGAGGATCCCCCGTGGGTAAGGAGTTTCCATATGGCAAGCGTGTGCAGTTTAACCACGTTCTCATTGTATTTGGTGGCCCACGCGGTATTGAATATGCGGCGATGAATGATGAGGAGCTTGGTGGGATGGGCATCCAGGGTGGGAAAACGAGGGAGTTGTTTGATCACTGGGTTGACGTGATGCCGAATCAAGGGAGCAGAACGATTCGGACTGAGGAGGCCATGTATATTGCGTTGACGGCATTGAAGCGGATATGGGATAACGAGTAATTTAGTTGGAAAGAGCTGATACCCCCTCTATCTTGCTCAGCCATCTTACAGTACTGCATTGTTTGATAGTTATTTTCAGAGGGACGATACTCATATATTAAACCCCTAGGTACATGATAATTCTACAGCATCTATAAGAGCCATTGTTGAAGACTCTCGCTATTTCCATCGTTGAATCGTGAACCCCCTGAAAAGAAATCCATCCTCGCAAAAAACGCCTTGTTCCCAAGCAAATGAGAGTTTCTTCTTTGTATAAACATCTTACTGCGTCTTCGTAGCGTCAAGTGCCACCGCCTTGCCAAGGCCCTCACCCGCAATTGCGGCAGCCTTATCACCAGCTCTCTTTCGGAGAACGTTCTCAATAAACGCCTCGCCGGCCTTGTAGGATGACCGAACAAGAGGTCCACTTGCACAGTAGAGGAAGCCCATGTCGAGAGCGCGCTGGCGCCACATCTCGAACTCATCTGGGGTGACGTACTTTTCGACCTTGAGGTGTCGTTTGGTGGGACGCATGTATTGTCCAAAGGTAACGACGTCAACATTGGCCTTTCGTAGTTCTGTAAACTGTTAGATATCTTGTTTGTATTCTTGGTTTTTCTGATTTGGAATCAGAGACGTACCTCTTAGAGCATCCATGACCTCTTGCTCTTGCTCTCCCAGACCAAGCATAATGCTAGTCTTGGTGATGATGCCCTCGTTGCCCCTCACCTCCTTGACGTGATTCAACACCTTCAAGCTCTGGCGGAACGTGGCCCTGCGATCGCGCACATACGGCGTCAGGCCTTCCACGGTCTCGACATTGTGCGCATATACGTCCAAACCACTCTCCGCCACAATCTTGACCATGTCCAAGTCGCCTCCGAAATCTCCCGTCAGTGCCTCGACGAGCAACGTCGGCTTCTTCTGCTTAATCTTGCGAATTGTCTCCGCAAAGTGTCGGGCGCCTCCATCGATGAGGTCGTCACGGTCCACGCTCGTCAACACCACATATCCAAGGCCCCATCGCGCGAGGGCCTCTGCAGTGTGCTCCGGCTCGTGGGGGTCCAGAGGAGGAGGAGCACGGCTCGTCTTGACGCTGCAGAAGCGGCAGCCGCGAGTGCATGTGTCGCCCATGAGCATGATGGTGGCCGTTGCGGCGTTCTTGTCGGAACCGCCCCAGCACTCGGAGATGTTGGGACACCGCGCCTCCTCGCAGACGGTGTGCAGACCTAGGCCGCGCAGATCGCTCTTGATCTTCTTGTAGTTGTCGTTGCCCGCGGGGATGGACGTCTTGAGCCACTCGGGCAGCCGTGTGATGGTTCTCTTCTTGCCTGCAGGGCCGACTTCGGCCGTCTTGAGAGCGTACGCATCGCTGGGCGACAGGGCCTGCGCGGGAGACGACGTCGCAACAAAGTCGGAGAAGGGCGCAACGGCCTTGTCCTTGAAGTATGTTCGGGGTCGAGAGGTCTTGGGAGCTTCGCTGGCGTCGGGGAGAGTGGCGAAGGATCGGAGGGCGGGAGAAGCGGCCAGAGCCCTTCGCATGGGCGCCTGGACTCGCTGCAGCGATGGAGCTATTGAAGCCATTGTGAATAATGCAGAGTATTGAGGCTGTAGCTTCTGGGTGTGAGGCTCTTCCCGAGAATCCCGCCTGGTGAAGTTGTGGGTGATGAAGATACAGTAGAGATGAATTAGTTGATTAGTGAAGAGCTCTGGAGAGAAAAAGTTGGAGAGCCGATGGGACCCGCACCGTGGCGCCGCAAGCCGGCGACTTGGCCCGGGTGCGCCAATAGGCATTTCTCTTTATTAATCAGTCATGAAGACGCCTTTTTTTAGTCGGCAATTATGACAACTCGACTTTTGATTTCGTAGTCATATGGCGTAATGTTCTTTTCTCTCCCTCTCTTTATGATGGCTGTGCAATCGAGACTGGGCTTTTACTGTCGCTGTGGAATTGGTGGAGCGACTAAATGTGCCGAATAGTGCCCTGAATGCGCCGACATGTTATAGTCAATATCCAGTAGCCGTGTTTGAGGGTTAAAGCATTTCACAGTCGCAACCAAATGATGGCAAACAACACAAAAGTGCAACACGGCAATGTGTATATATTGTAGTTCCTTATTCACACTAACACCAAGCCTCCTCTCCCCAAAACTCCGGCATCCGAATGAAACCCCAGAGGACGTACGCCAAGACTACAAGCCGTCAAGTCGAGAGCAAGAGTGCAGCTGTGCGAGTTCTGCTCAAGCAGTGCATGAGAGACATCACGTCAAACTTCACCGAGCCTCGACCATCTCATCACCAATATATAAAAGGGGTATCACCAACAGAAGCGAAAAAAAAGTACCCGTTCACCCGTGAAATAGAAGTACATCAGCATGCTGAATGCATGCCCATGGTAATCAGATCCAAAGATTTTTGAATGGAAGAATCGCCTAGTGCAAGGTGATGATGGAAACAAGTGGGGGTGAAAAATGTAATTGAATTGAAGTTAACGTCCAGCCAGTGCGCTCGCACACACTGGGTGCTGCTCCCCAGCCATCTGAAGGGACGCCAACTGACCTTTGCTTGAACGGCGAGTCAACTCCAGTTGTGGGAGTGACCAGCAGCCAGCGTCTGCGTCATGAAGGAGTAGGGGCAGCGAGGACAGTAAGGATATCCAAGAAATAAAGCATCAATAGGGGTTGTGAGTTCAGCAGCGCCGTTGGCGCGCGTAAACATGGGCAAAAAGGGTAACATGAGAACAGAATTAGACCGCCAGGCCTTTGTGGACGAAAAAAGAGCCCGTCCCTTTCCAGCGGAAGCACGTTGCCAAGTCGTCGGCGGGTCGTAGATATTCGTAGATTGTCATACAGAAGAATGGGGTTTTTATTTCAAGCTGACAAAGGAAAACGAAGAAACGAGCGAAGAAGTCAAGATGGTTGTCAGTGGATCAAGAAGTAATCCACGTCATCCCTTTTAGAAGTCCATACTCCAAATCTTTGCAAAGCCGCAGAGATTTACATCAAAGCGACCATGATCATGCCGGCAACACCAGCCATAGCGATCTTGCTGGCCTCAAGAGCAACGCCAGCGTTCTGGGGGCCCTTGGTAACGGTAGCGATGGGGGCGCCAGAAGTGGCAACAGTTGTAGGGTGGAAAGCAGTCGAGCTGACAGCAGTGCCGACAGACTGATGGCTGGCTGAGGTAGTAGCAGCGGCAGTGGTGGTGTTGTGAGCAGCGGTGGTGGAAATAGAAGTGACAGTGTGGACCTTCTTGAGAGTGACAGTCTTGGTCAGGATGGTCGTCGACGTCTCAGTGGTGGTGGACTGGGCGAGAGCAAGAGCCGGCAGAGCGGCGACGGCGAACATGGACAACTTCATCTTGATTCTTCGAGGTTTGGTGTTGTTTTGCTGGTGTTTTGTTTTGATGTAGATCTGCGCACAAGCTATCTAAGCGTCGCGAAGAGATGGGTGAAAGTGAAGCGCAAGTATAGCGGTAGAATCAAGCAAGATGGTTGATATCTGCGATGATTTACTCGAAATGTTCGAAATACTGCGAGTGGTTAGCAAATGACGCCCCCCAGAACGACGTGCGTGCTTCTAACCTTGAGATGCGCTGGAGGAAGCGGTTACGGTGCTGTGGTATGTGATTTGTTTGTTATTGCGCGATGCAAATGAGTGTGAGGAGGGTATAACAATGGACAATCGATATCCAAGAGATGCGTTCAAGTGAATGAATGGACAAGACTTTGCCAACGAAGTCTTTTGTTGATGGAGTTTGTGAAACGAGCAGAAACGTTTGAGGAGACGGTGAGGAGAAGGAGAAAGAAAAAGAAGAGAGGAGGCGAAACGAAACGATTTGAGAAAAAACGAGCCCAGCCCAGTTAAGGCGCCATCGCAGGGCGGACTGGCTTGGAGGGCGACTTGATCCAAGACAAGCAGCCAATAGTGCTCTCAAGTGCCACCCAAACAAATATGGGGCCGCCGTGCAGGTAGAGGCGACATGGTGGGCTTGGGGGGGAATGGTGGAATCAGCAGGTAGACACGACCTGGGGTTTAGTCGCGCATGGACGCTGATGAAATTAAGGTGTGTCATGTTTGGTACTTGGTGTAAGGCCGGGCCCCAAATTGTTGCCAGGCTTGTCGCAGAGGCAAAGTTAATGCGGTTGAGGATGCCGCGGTTTCACCTCTTGTTTTTTGTTTGATTCCTTTCAATTCCACGAGTCGAGTCGGTTTCTTCTTTGTTCCATTTCTCGTTCAGTTTCGTATCTTGACCACCCGAGTACTCCACAGCTTCATCTCGCCATGTCCTCCTGAATGAATTGATCACCTCAGCTAGGTATTACAGTCTCATGTCAGTTCTGCCAGCATCGCCATCCCCAGCAAAACGTCGTCCCAGCCCAGCCCAGCCCAACCGCTGCAGCCGCCTCTTCTTGGTCACATTGCCGTCTCCATTCACCCAAATACGGGCTGACAGGGCAGATCTTTTCTCGCTGGAGCACGGCGATCTGCGCTCGACGGTCCAAAGCGAGCCCCTCCTCCGCAATACTCTTCAGAGCAGATCCTGTCCCCCCTGGCTGTGGCTGTCTAGGGGTCCAAGAAGCAGAGAGAAAGAGAAAGCCTGACTCGTCGCGATGTCGTGCCCTTGCTCAAACGTGCTGCATCCTTGTTGCGGCCGATGTTGTATGTACCTCCGCATATAAACCACGACGAGCAAGTACATGCGATGCAGAAGTTGAAGAGGAAAAAAGACCCATCAGGGGTTGTTGCGGCCGCTCCTTTGGTGTGCACCTTAAAATACCTTCATTTCCTGCCGGCAGCTGATTGGTGGGCATTGAGTCTGTTCCTGCATGGTGCCTGGCACTTGTTCTGCTAGCGAGCAAAATTACTGGGCAGAGGCCACGCCGCTAACTTTTTAGTGCAGCGCTTTGACGGTGCCTGAAGAGAGCCTGAAAGAGCCTGAAAGGTGAGGTGATGCAATTCTTGTGAGCTCCATCGCATGCAACTCGGATCCTTGAATGGTCGGGCTGGGTTCAATGAGAATTTTCTTGTTCACCCCGGCTGGAAAATACGAGGCACGTGAACAAAGCACATGCAATCATCCGCTTTTTCTCTTTGTCTTATTCTTTGCTTTGATCTGTTTCGACAAACAACAAGGCAATCCCGCCCTTTTGACTCGTGCTTTCAAGGGCGGCAAACACCATCATGTCGCACCACGTTGCTCTTGAAACTCAGCAGCACGGCTTGGACCTCTTCGCGTACGAGCAAACCACCGACATTCTAGCGTCTTTCGGGCCCCCTCCGAGATCTCGCGTGAAACTATCGACGGCTGGCTTGAGTTGGCGAGTTGCTGTTAGTGCTACAGAGTAATACTGGTACCAACACTAACACGGTAGTAACACTCACTATGCCTCTCCAACTACCTACCCAGCGATCATCGCCAGAGATCTGCGTAGTTTTTCATTTTGTCTTTATTCTGTGGGAAGCAGTAGGTTCAAGTTTGCAGATCGATCTCGTGGCTTTCTTATCTGACTTGGCTGTCGAGCTGAGAATTTATTTCAACAACAAAAAAAAAAAAAAAGTGCAAGCTACTTCCAAAAAGCAAAGAAATTCTATTACACATCTGGCAGATGTCCCAAACCCAGGATCCTACTAATAGTAGCCTTGTCTATCGTGCCATACAAACAACTCAATCCAAAAGAACTATTCGTACATTTTCTTCTGCTCATGCCTCGATTCGTCCCCAAGCACCTCCTCCAGGAGACTCAATCACGACGCTCTCTCCAGCGTTCAGCCGTGTGGTGGCCTTTGCCCCCAGATTGATGACTCTCTTCAGCCCTGTTTTCGCATCGGTAACCTTGATGCTGTTTAGACCAGCCTCGCCGTCGCCGCCGCCCTCCATACCGTAAGGACGACGCGATCTTCTTTCGCTAAGGATAGAGCATTGCACGGGAACGCGGAATTCAATCTCCCTAACGGTTCCGTCGCCGCCTCCGTTGCGTCCCTTTCCTCCCGAGCCTTTGCGTAGCTCGAAGCGCCGCAAGATACACGGATATCTCTTCTCGAAAACCTCGGGGTCGGTGATTCTCGTGTTTGTCATGTGCGTGTGCACACCACTCTGTCCGATCCAGTCGGGCCCGGCGCCAGATCCGCCAGCAATGGTTTCGTAGTAGCCAAAGCCCTCTTTATGCTCCCCTGTGTTGGGATCCTTTCCACCGGTGCCGAATGTGAGGTTATTGCAGCAGCCTTGACTGGCAGCACAGGCGTTGAATGCGCGGAGGACGACATCGGTAACGCGTTGGGACGTCAGCACATTGCCGCCAACAACGGCGAGGCCGTCTCCGGGATTCAGAATGGTGCCTTCCGGGATGACAATCTTGATGGGTGACAGGCAGCCTTGGTTAAGGGGGATGGAAGATGATACGAGACAGCGCAGGCAGTAGATGATGGCAGAATGCGTAATGGCCATGGGGGCGTTTGTGTTGCCCAATACCTGAGGGCCGGTGCCCGTGAAGTCAAAGACGGCAGATCCATCGGGGGAAATGTTGATAGACAGATGGATGGGCGTTCCGTCATCCATGTAATCAGTCGCAACAAGAGGCTGAGAGCCATACTTGGCGCGCGTTTCCTTCAACAGAGCGCGGACGGCGTCTTCTGCAGTGTGCTGGATGGCATACATGTATCTGTGTACAGAAGCCAGGCCGTTCTCTTCAATAAGGCCTTTGATCAGCGAGATGCCCTTTGCGTTGGCTGCGATCTGGGCTTTGAGGTCGGAGATGTTGTCTTGCAGTCTTCGGGTGCCTGAGCAACCTTCGTACTGGGCAGGCTCCTCCAGCAACAGTCTTACAACCTCTGCCTCGTTGAAACGGCCCTCGCTAACAAGCTTGGTAGATTGAATGGCAGCACCTTCCTGCCAGAGTGCTGACGAGGTAGGGGGCATAGAGCCTGGGAGGATACCGCCGATATCAGCATGGTGGCCACGAGAGGCAACATAGAAAGCAAGCTTGTCTCCATCAAAGACGGGTGTGATGACTGTAATGTCGGGGAGATGCGTGCCACCACATGAGGGGTGGTTTGACATGAGCACATCTCCATCACGAAGCTTTCCTTCCCAAAGACGATGCTGGTATTGGACCGCGAACTGCATGGATCCCAGGTGGACGGGCACGTGCGGTGCGTTTGCGACGAGGCCGCCGTCAGGGCTGAAGATGGCACATGAGAAATCAAGACGCTCCTTGATGTTGGTTGATACGGCAGTTCGCCTTAGTGTGCGGCCCATCTGCTCCGCGATGCCCATGAACCTATGGCCAAAGACTGTGAGCTGGATTGGACTAAACTCTTCCTGTTCGCCGCTTGTCTTGGACCCCTTGGTGTTCAGCGCACCGTCAATGACGACGTAGCTGTCCAGGATCGTGGCTGTTGTTCCGGGAGCAACGACAATGGTTTGAGTGTTGTCAATGATGAGTGCAGGACCGGCAATTCGCGATCCCTCTGGAAGCTTTTGAAGTTCATAGATAGGGGTGTCCACACGTCCAACGCCTTCGAAATACACTGGATTTGATCCATCCGCGCTGGGGGAAGGGAGACGGAGGCTCTGAATCTTGATCATCTGGGCAAACGGAGACTTGGTGTGCTTTGAGCCGGTTCCGCCGACAGCTCGGATGCGGATGTCATCCACAATGATATCCTTCTCGGGGAAGTGGAATCCAAAGCTGCGCTTGTGAGCATCTTCAAACTCCCGCTTGAAATCCCAATCTTGGCCCTTGAGGATCATGAGGGAGCTATTTGAGCCCGCGTATCTCATGCTGAGGTAAGAATTGTGCGTGATTTGTTCCACTGAAAATCCCTGGCTCACGAGCGCATCCGTTGCCTGTCGGGCTAGGCCCTCGAGCTGAGATCGGATTTCGCTTTCTGTATTAGAGCTATAGACTATCGCGGCTGGGCGCTGCGTCTCGTGAACGACGTCTGCCAACGAGATGCCGTATGCGGACAAGATGGAAGAGTACTTGTGCATGATGATTCGAGAGATGCCCAGGACGTTGGCCACCGCGCAGGCATGTTGTCCGCCTGCGCCGCCGAAGCAAGCAAGATGGTGGTCAGCGGCATCGTAGCCACGAGCCTCTGTAAGAGCGCGAATAGGTCCCGCCATGCCCTCGTTGGCAACTTTCAGGAATCCGAGGGCCACCTCTTCTGATGAGAACAGGGAGAGTCCAGAGGCTTTTCTGTCCTTGTTGATCTCATTTGTGAGCTCTGCAAACTTGAGCTGGACAGTTTCGCGATTCAACGGCTCGTTCTCTTTGGGGCCGAACACTTTGGGAAAGTATTCCGGTAAGATTCTGCCAAGGAACAGATTTGCATCTGTGATGGTCAATGGGCCGCCTTTGCGGTAACAGGCCGGACCGGGATGAGCAGATGCGGACTCGGGTCCCACGTTGAAGAGGCCGTTTCTCCAGGAGAGGATAGAGCCGCCTCCTGCGGCGACTGTGTGAATGTCGAGCTGCGGGGACTGAATAGAGATGCCGGCTGTGGTGGTTTCGAAGACGTGATCATAGACACCTGCATACCGAGACACGTCTGTCGATGTGCCGCCCATATCGAAGCCAATGATTGGTCGCTTCTCCTCCTCGTCCCACGACGTTTGGGCGTAGCCAACGACGCCGCCCGCAGGACCTGAAAGAATTGCCTTGAGGCCGCTGAATTTGCGGTAATCCGCTAGGCCTCCGTCTGACTGCATAAACTCGATTCTGGTATCTGCAGAAGAGAATCCGCCGCGGAAGTTTGCCTCGATTGAGCTGATGTAATTTCTGATGATGGGAGTGAGGTAGGCGTCTGCAATGGCAGACGTTCCTCGCGGCACCACGTTGATCATGGGCTGGAGCTCTGATGACAATGTGACGGAAAAGCCCATCTCCAACGCGAGCTTGCCGACGAGAAGCTCGTGGTTGGGGTAGGCATATGAGTGGATGAAGACCACGGCGATGGAGCGGAAACCCTGGCTCCATACTTCTGCCAGCTGATTTTGAATCACGCTGAGATCAGGCTCTTGCAGGATCCGAATGGTCTCGCCGGTGACTGCGGCGACGAGCTGTGCATCTTGGGCTGTGGGGGTGGTTTTGACGGAGTCTGGGTCTTCTGTGTAGTCCTCCATGGTGACGCGCTCATCTACTTCGACTACATGGTCGTAGAGAACTTCTGGTCGTGACACCGACAGATCGAAAATCTGCGGCCGCGACTGGTTTCCGATGGCCAAAAGGTCGCGGAAGCCCCTTGTGGTGACGAGGGCAACCTTTTCGCCTTTGCGCTCCAGAAGGGCGTTTGTGGCGACGGTCGTCCCCATGCGGATGGACTCAAAGTGGAAGAGATCGAGGGGCTGGCCTCGCGGCAGCTGCTCTCCCGTCACCAGCTCCAGGATCCTCCGGATGCCTTCTGTTGGGGCATCTTGGTAGTTGGCGGGATCAACGGACAGGAGCTTGAGGATGATGTCGTCTCTGCCGGGGATTGAGGCGTGGACGTCAGTGAATGTGCCGCCTCTGTCGATGGAGACTCGGATGCGGAGAGATTTGATGGCCATGGTTGGGTATATTGGGGTGTTGTGTGGTTGATGGAGTCCAACAGCAGAGCAGCAAGCGGCTAGTCCTTTATATTATCACACACACACACACACACTCTCTCTCTCTCTCTCTCTCTCTTGCCAAGGCGATGACGAGACAAAGATGAAAGCGTGCAACAACACTTTGAAATTGTCTCCATCTCTCTGTTGGATCTCACATTCCATCTCCGCATGTCGGAATCTCCTCCGCGCTCCCCCAGACGCAAGCATCCATGCCCGTTGATTCGCGAGTGCGGAAGTACAAAATCCGGTGGGCAGGCCGGTGTGGGTCCCCGAGATGGAGTCGCAGCCCCGGAATGAATCGCGACAGTTGGTCTAAACCAAGAAGAGGTTAATGTGCTGCAGATGAGGAGTTCTTGTCGGGGTCGATTCCCGACGCAGAATGACGCTGGATTCCCCGAACGCAGGTGACATAATCTTGCCGAACGAAACGAGGCACACACTTTGCCGGGAATCCAGCCCTGTCGACGAGGCTTATCGTTCTTGGCTGTGGTTGTGATACCCGGGACTGCGGCTGAGTGCGGCTGTCTATCTCTGCGTGCGCGAGGGAGTTTTTGGCGTAGGCAGATTTTCCATTTGAATGTCTGCGTCCATCTCGGGATAGAAGCCCGGCGCGTTTCGGAGGCCTTTGCGATCAGCGGGCTCGCGATCAGGCTGAGTGAGGCTCTTATGCTTGAGCGCGCTTGCGGTCTGGAAGAGTCAAATACAGCAAGACGACGGGGGCCTTGTTCTCCTCGATGGCCCACATCTCGCAGGGTTCGTCCGAGTCAAGCAGATTTGCGAGTGGTGATGCTCGTGTTGCAATTTCATAGACGTTTGAAGATTTTGTCATAGTCATACGATGGAAACTCCAGAGGATTCACCTGGGCAAGTTGCGGAGCAGTTTACTTCAAGGCCAGTTGCGTGAGTGGAACTCCTTTCTCGGCATGCATGCTTAGGATATATACTCATTTCACATTCTTCTCATTTAGTTGTTTGAATTGCCGCCAGCGACGCTCATACTGCTCCAAGGAGAAGCCTGCGTGCTCGAGATGTCGTGATTCTCGATTGAAATGCGTTTATGAAGGGGCGCGGAAGATTTTGGTTAACGAATCGTATGCCTAGATGATATTTTTTCATGATTTTTCTCCAAGTCAAGACTAATTCTGGTCAAATAGTTATTTGCGAGAGCTCGAAGCAAAAGCAAAAGCCCTAGACAGTAAGTCCACATATGCCTCTATTTTTTGAGGGGAGCTCTGAACAAGATGAATTTCGTTACTAAGACACTTTATGCAGGCATGCAGCCCGGTGGCTCGACTGCCACGATCCGCCACCGCAGTTCCAATGATGAAGACGACGATTTTGAAGATGAGCAGCCTCTACTTGAGCCTTTTACTCAACTGAGCCTAGACAAGCCCTCCACAAGTGAGTATCCCTCTACGATATTTCATGAGATGAAAATTTCTAATCTCAACTCTTCCTCCAGGTTTCCAAGGCCCTGCATCAGCAGACAACTTCCTTCGCAATGTGAGAAAGCTGTCTGGCTTCCAGGGTGATGATGGGAGTCTCGACTTGGTGAACAATTTCTATGAGCCTGATGCTCTGCCTTCACGGCGACAAGTCGTGTTCAGCATTCGCTCGCGGCTGCCGCCCATTGACATGGCTCGACGGCTCTTTTCAGCACAGTACATGTATATCGGCACCATTTTTGCGTTTACTGATCCGAGGGACTCGTTTGAGCGCTTGCTTGTTGAAGCTTATAGCGGATTACCGGATCCTTCCGACAAGACGGCGTGCTTGGAATACGCCAAGGTGCTCCTGATCCTTGCCTTTGGACAGCTATACTCGGTGAATCAATGGGTCGATTTTCGAGGACCGCCCGGGTTCGATTACTTTAGAGATGCGCTGAATCTGCTTCCCGAGACTCATGAGGAAGGGTCTATTCTTTGCGTTGAGACTTTGGCGCTTGCGGGATACTTCATGCAAAACATGAACCGACGAGATGCTGCGTTTCAGTACATTGGCAAAGCTTTGCGCATGGCCATTTCACTCGGGCTGCATCAAGAAGTGAGCCCTCACTATAGCTCACAGCAGGGCCCGGTTCTAGACAAGGCGGAGAGAGAGCATCGTCGGCGAGTCTGGTGGTCTATCTACAGCTTGGACAGGATTCTGTGCGTCAAGTCCGGTAATCCCATCACTATTCAGGACGAGGACATTGGAGTAGACATGCCCTCGCTGCTCCCAGAAGATGCCGAGTATTGTCCTGCCGTGGTGCTGCGACATTACACCGAGCTGTCTCGCATTCTCGGCCAGATTCACATGACGATATACCGCAGATCCAACAAATCCGCACCAAAATCCGGCAAGAGCCTCATGGCGTCGGTGCAGAGCATCATTTTTTCTCTTTCGAAATGGAATCGCGAGCTGCCCGATGAGCTGCGTTTCGACCCTGCACAGCTGACTTTTAGTCGCGAGAGTGTTGGGGCATTTGCACACTACTATCAGTGCATCAACATGACTGTACGACCGCTGTTATTTCATGTGGTCCAGAAGCGTTTGAAGGCGATTCGAAGCGGCGATGGTCCGGCTGAGAAGGAGCGCGACTGGAAAGAAGGGCTCTCGCAGACGACGGTGAGAGTCATTGACATGTGCATTGGAGCGGCGAAGGATGTTATCAATATGATGGCCATTGTGGCACAACGAGACTTGGTTGGTAAGTTGACGAAATACACATCCCCTTCACTTCTGTCGACTCGGCATTTTCTGACTTGCTGTCTTTAGCAACATATGGCTACATGGACGGGGAGCACATATTTTCCGCCACGATTGTGCTCGTCATGGTATGCACGGCATTTCCTGACAACGCCGCCAACAACTTGGCCATGGCAGCTGGGCTTGGCCTGTTGAGGAACATGGGCGAGCGAGGGAATAGCCATATGGGCGCTCGGTATGAGTTGCTGGCGAACATTTACTCGGGCTCGAGCATTTTCTCTCCCACAGCCCATCAGCAGCAATTCGCCATGATGACGCCTGTTTCTCAAACTGCCACGCCGATGAATGGCAAGGGAACGGTTACGCCGCGCATATCGATGGCTCCATACCCCATCACAGAATACAACACTGCTGTCGTAGGCGGTGGGAATGGACCGTTCACTTTTCCGGCGGTCAATAACGATGCACTGAACGAACCGTTTTATGACGAGAGCGTGAGCACGGGCATGGATTTTGGGCTTTGGGAAGAGGGATTTGCGTATCCGACGATGGATTTAGACCTAGATTTGGCGCAGCGCACATCGACGGTTGGGGGAACTGGCGGGCCAGATATTCGCGAGTGGATGATTGATTTCATGGGGCAGGGTAATTCGGCATGAGATTGACGTTAGACACGAAGAGACGAGAGATGAATTGAATTCCAGTTGCAAAGATATGCCGCTCGATTCCCATCTCCACAGTCTTATCTCCGACCAAGGATCATGTGTTCATCGGAAACCCACAAGAGTTGATATCGAAACGAGGCGCTGCTATCAACTGCTACCTCATCCAACCCTTTACTTCATACTGCTTGCTACCGTACACGAGTAATGTGATAGACATGCAATGCGACATCATGATTGTCACCACATCTCCACTGTCAACGCCATGTTCCCAGACGTCTTTCGTCTTACTGACCGGCTGTCCATCTGCCTATCTCCAACTTCCCCGCACAAAGCTATCCTCTTCTCCTCCTAGTTCTTCACCAGAAACCCAATCGCCACCTCCAGGGGTCGGTGAGGGTCTCCGACCAGCCCCGCAACCTCCACTGTCTTACTCGATTCTGGAGGCTATCAAGCTATCTCGGATGCTGCTATCGGTGAGCCAGCGACGAACTAGGCATGGAGGCTGGAGGTAAGCGATAAGAAATTGGTGCTGGAGATTGTCGAGATGGACCAAGATGTGTGTGGCAGTTTTCTTGCGTGGTCGGATTCGGGCTCCGATTCTGTCTCTGAGGCCACGATTTTGTTTAAATGGGACGTGATGCGACACCACTCCACCTGACAGTTGCATCTGAATGCAGATTCCCCGTGGGGTTTTCATAATTTGATGTTTTTATTGACGCGGGGCTGAAAATTTCGATATAATTAATTCCTCGTTGATCTCGATTTCGTTTCCTTCACTATCTTGAAGTTTAGTTTATGCTTGACTGAAGTCATCCCGTTATAAACATGGCTTCAGAACCAGTCGATGTGAGATACGACGACGACAAGAAGGGTCCGTCTTCCAGCGATGACTTCCCTCGTGATGTTGACGAGTCAGCCTCGTCCATTCCGCTGCTCGACCCTCATGCCGAGAAGCGCCTGTTGTTGAAGCTGGACACTTACTTTGTCCCCATCATCATGCTCGTCTACCTGACTTGTTTCCTCGATCGAAGCAGCATCGGCAACGTCAAGGTTGCCGGCATGCCCCAAGATATCGGCGCCAGCCCGAAGCAGTTCTCGACGGCGGTTTCCATCTTCTATGCGACCTACGTGGTGTTTGAGCCCCCGTGGAGTATCCTGATGAAATGGGTCACGCCACGCATCTTGCTCACGAGCCTCTGCACTGTTTGGTCTCTGACGACAATCTTCTCGGGCTTCATCCACAACGTAGCTGGATTGTATGCCGTGCGACTCATTCTCGGCGCCTGCGAAGCCGGACTCTTCCCTGCGCTGAACCTGTACCTCACGATGGTGTACAAGCGCCACGAGCAAGGCATAAGGGTGTCGTATCTGTTTGTTTGCACGGCGATCTCGGGTGCCTTTGGAGGATTGCTTGCGTTTTGCATTCTCAAGATGGACGGCGTTGCGGGCTATGCGGGTTGGAGATGGGTGTACATCATCGAAGGCATCTTCAGCTTCATCGTTGCGCCGATTATCTGGTTCGGATTGCCCAACGATCCTTCCAACGCCTACTTCCTTAGCGAAGAAGAGAAGGCTATGATGAAGGTTCGTGAGTCACAGCGGGCTCAGTACATGGGTAGCGAGGAGTTCAGCTGGGAGGAGATTCGGATTAGTCTCAAGGACCCGAAGCTATATCTCAGGTAAGGACAGCGTAACATTGCCTTTGGTATCAGCAAGGAACCATACTGACATTCGAACTATAGTGCCGCCATTCAATTCTGTCAGGATATTCTCCTGTACGGCTTCAGCACATTCCTCCCTTCCATCATTGTCAGCATGGGCTACACTTCCATCCAAGCCCAATACCTCAGTATTCCGGTGTTCTTGTTTGGCGGTATATGCTTCATTGCGTTTGCCTATATTTCGGACCGGACTTGTATTCGCGGGCCAATGGTGTTTCTCGCCAACATTCCGGGCATCATCGGCTACATACTTATCCTCTGCCCTACGAGCAACCCCGTCAAGTTCTTTGGCACGTTTCTCTGCGCCGTTGCAGTTTACAACGGCCCTGGATTAAACCTGACGTGGCTCAATGTCAATGTCGCGCCGCATTACCGCCGTGCTACCTCGATTGGAGTGCAGCAAGGTCTTGCAAATACGGCTGGCATTGTCGCAGGACAGATTTACAGGACCGCACCGTTTGTCCTGGGGAATGCCTTCTCTGTGGGCGCGCTGGGAGTTTCGCAGCTGCTTATTGTTGCCAAGTGGTTCTATATCCGGCACCGCAACAGCCAGAAGGAGAAGATTGCCAACGGGGAGATGGAAGACACTCGAAAGGTCCAGACTGGAGACCGGGCTGTTGATTTCAAGTATCACCTGTGATACTATTCGCATCCTAGTCCGATGACAAGCTATGAAGCTTGCATAGCTGAGGGTTGAGGTATACGTATATGCTCTCTAGATAATTTTCGATATGTAAGCAGATGAAATATTTACTAATGATTGTTGACTTTAATAAGTCATGTTGTCTCGTAATAAGTCTAGTCTTGGTGCGGGAAGTGCCGCGTTGTTGATTCCGTCGTTAGTAGGGGAACATGTGCGGTGCCTAATGATTCCAAACGGAGATTAATCATGGAGTAGAAATAGGCTTATGCTCGGTACTATGTGGGATGCGAATGATATTACCAATAACAGCCCGTCTCAGTCGCCTAGATCGCTGTGAAGGATCAATTCAGGTACGGCATCCTCTCTCTTCGCCGGTGAGGCCGAGGAGATGATTCTACGGTCCACTGTGGAAGCCCTGTATCAAGAGTAAATGACGGGGGCATAGTCAGCACTACTGTCCATATGCGGTATATGCTGACTTTAGGCTGCATGCCCCTAGACTGAAAACTCCAAGCTTAGGAGGATACCTTGTTAGTCATGGGTCGTTTATTGATTCACTGAGGCAAGATGTGAGTTGCGGTGTTGTTCTCATTGATGGAGATGTACGGAGTTAATAGTTTCTATATAATATCCTCAGGTATCGTCGAAATATCGTATGTTGCCTCATCAAGTCATCTATCTATTAGTTGCTCAACAAGTAATTCTAACCTCTGCTATTACGATGGCGGAATTAGCATACCAGATACTGCCGACTATCAGCCAAGTCGAAGTCGGCAACTATTCAGTCTTTTATCGCGAGGCTGGTCCGGCCAATGCTCCAACTCTCCTATTGCTCCATGGCTTTCCCTCATCATCATTCCTATTCCGACACATGATTCCCCTTCTTGCTCTAACATATCATGTTATTGCTCCGGATTTTCCTGGATTTGGCTTTACAAAGAGTCCTGCCAACTTTCCTCACACATTTGACAACATAGCCGATGTTATGGAAGGGTTCCTTGACGCTCTTAACATCCAGGAGTTTGCCGAATACATCTTCGACTACGGGGCACCAGTTGGACTACGCCTCGCTGTGCGACGACCCCATGCAGTCAAGGCTATTGTATCTCAGAACGGAAATGCTTACTTGGAAGGTCTTGGACCTGCATTCGAACCCGTGAGAACATATTGGGCATCTGGGAGCCAATCGTAAGTGGTAGTATAATCTCATCTGATATGCTTGTTGCTAATTTCGTTAGTGATCGCGATGCATTGCTCCCCTTGTTGACCTTGAACGTAACCGAGGGCCAATATACGACCGGAACACAGAACCCCGATGCCTTGGAGCCAGAGTCTTGGTGGCTGGATTATGCCCTCATGAATGACCAACCCGGGAACGTCGACATCCAGCTGGATTACTTTTTCGACTACCAAAACAATGTGGCGCAATACCCGCAATACCAAAAGTATTTCCGCCAATCTCAAGTGCCTCTGCTTGCTGTATGGGGAGAAAACGACCAATTGTAAGCATGATCCTTCTTAACCTAGAACTAAACGCAACATTTCACCAAGACCGACTTCTAATCGTACAATGTGCAGTTTCCTTCCTGCTGGTGCGAAAGCGTTCAAGCGAGATTTGCAGCATGCTGAGATTCATCTGATTGATGCCGGGCATTTCGCTCTGATCAGCAATCCTAAGGATATCTTGCACTTTATGCTGCCATTTCTGCACAAGACTTTGGGCAGCGGGGCGCATCACCACTAGAGCGTCCGTGTATCGGTATTAACTCAGAACGATGAGAGGCACATATTAATCATAAATAGAAGCGGAAGTAATATTGTCATTAGTATAATAGATTTTTCACATGCAACTATTGAACGAGTAGATGGATGTAGTTATATAGATGGACTAGACGGTATTTTAACAATTCATCGGTTCATATCATGAAACTCAGCGTAACACACAACTCCCGAATACCCGCCAGAAAGCCCGCAGTTCCAAAGTGGCGTCGGAGTTTGGAGCCTATGAGATCCCAGTTCTTCAAGTCCCCACCTCGTTAACACCGGCTCATCCCCTTTTGCTCTATTCATTGTCATCATTGGAGTCTTCCCGATTGCTGATCAACTCATCGAAAACAAACAAAATGGCGCCTCAACCGTCTGAGCTCGATCGCACGTTTGTCAACTTGACCGATGATCCTGCGGAGGGCCGAGGCGCAAGGCGCACGTACATTCGGCGAGCGGTGATGAAAAACTTCCACAAGCAGCGAAGCCAGAAGAAGAAGGCCATGAGGCATGAGGCTGGGGCAACTTCGATGACTCTCCGAATTGGACAGCTAGATCCAGGTGCCTTACTTGATTGGCAACCGAGTCCGCCATATCATGCCATGGTTAGTTTTCATGACAGAAAAAGAATTGCGAGGCTTATCCTTAACTGGTGATGCGCTGAAGCTACCCAAGTTCAGCCTCTTTGAACAGAAGAGATTCTCCGACCCATCAATGATGCAAATGAGTAACTTCGTATTGCGATACCTGTACGGTCAAGCTTCGAAAGCGACACACGACATATGCCTAGTAGGATTTGTCCATCCCTTTACTGAGCACGAGATTGAAAGCGACTCTGGAGACGCTAGTATGAAGCTGAGTGCTCTAAAGACGTGCCAGAACTTATTGCGGGCGTACGGCTCGTATAAAAGCAACTCTCTCTCTTTGTCTGTGAATAAAGAGGAGTTATGGGAAATGATTCACCAACATCAAGAATGGATATACACAAAGGCAAGAGAATTAGCTTCACATCTTTCATGTTGTGGGGTTGTGTACGTACTTTGAAGATCCGGTTACAACTAACCTGCTGTTAAGATCAACACTTTTACCTCATGGGAGCTACTATCTGCAGCGCAAACTGTTGCCATCTACGTTCTCTTGAGGATTAAGCTGGGGGAAAACAGCGCGGCCTTTCCAAATGGAGACATTGCGCTCCTTTATACTCTCGGGGTGAGATGCGCTGTGCCCTTCCTCTGTAGCGAATCTACAGAAGCAGATAGCTAACTCTATTCCCAAGGCCATCTTTAGACGCCTTCATTCTGAAAACTCACTAGACCTTTCTCATCATCCCAGCGGTGACTGGAAACAGTGGGTGTTTGTTGAATCTTTCCTCCGCATCGCCACCATCTACTTTACTCTAAACGTCATTGTATCAATGGAGTTCGGGCTGCCCTGCAATAGCCCACAAGATTGGAACATCGATAGCATGCTGCTGCCGGCTTCGAAGGTCTCGTGGGCCACCCAGAACACGGCAGATTGGACGAAATTCACAAATGGCTTACCGCCATACAAGCAACTGACGTGGAATGACTTGCAAGCTCCGGCACAAGCCTTACACGACTGTCCAGTTGAAGAATGGAAGGAAGGCTCTGACGAACTGGGAATGATTGTCACAATGGTCATGACCTTGAGAGCTCAAGCGCAACGCTATCAGAGTCCATCTTCTGGGTCGAGCTGACTGGTGCAAATAGTTGCCTCTCTTCCAATCTATCTGAGGCGACAGTCAACGAGATTGGTATTATTGAGGTTCTGGTTTTGCGCTCTTTATCACCTACACTGGGATCCGGACGTGAATCAAGTCCCGGGCACTGATCAAAGAATTGGCGCATCTTCGACTCGTCGCCACCATTTGCGTAGCGAAAATGAGACACCGGAACGACCGCGGCCATGTTGGTTCCTTCGGCGATATAGATATATGGAATCACAACCATGAAGAATAATTATCTTCATTCTTTCGACACCTGTAATAGGTCCTGGAGCCGCAAACCGCAAAGCTTACCCGTCCATCCATACGGAATAAGTTATATCCTCATCCTCTCACGCCACCATACCCTCGTGGGATTGACACTGGACAAGCTTGACACCAAATAAGACGGATTCATATTGGATGGAGTAAGGGCTGGAAGACGGCGCAGAACACCATACCTTCCAATCAATACTAATGCATGATAAGACGCTTATAAGTCTAATATTCCTATTGATGGCCTCAGAATTCAGATTCAGATTACAGTCTGACAACATTTTCATGAACTGGTTTCATCACTGGCCTACACAAATAGGCACAATCTACCCATTCGGCTCCCCCCCACAACGACATTATTCGTGTCCTATAAGCGGCCTCAGATTCCAGGAGCAAATGTTCACGATTATTGCTATCCGTGAATTGGTTTCATCACTGGCCCCGGTTTATAACGACTTTTAGATGATGTTCCTCGGGGATTAAACCCCTACCATTGCTGCCTCGGAATTCAATATACAGATAACATGTGGTTGTTGCTCTCTGTAGACTGGGGTCTTCACTGGCGACCCATGGTGTTTATACACAAGGTCTCCCCTGCGATCAAAACTCCCATCACTAACCTGGGACAATGGTACATGTCTATGACCTATATGTGGGAACTCGTAATGAAACAGAAGGGGAGAGACAATGAGGGGAGATTGGTACATATATATATATATATACCTAGTACTTGCATCACTCGCTTATCTTCTTTAATGAGGTATGACTCAACTACTAAACGATAGGCGCTCATATAAAGTTATAAATAAACTCGGCTGAAATTTATTTTTCCTTAGCATAAGCTATGAAAACTTACTAGGTAGTATTATTGAGGAATAAAAGTTCCAAGATAGCCCACCAACCAGCGCACATTTATGAATGTCCCTCATATGTGTACACAAGCGGTGTGTGCCAGGGGTTGGGGCTGGTGCCCTTTGCAATGATCCAAGCAGCATCAAGAGCCTTCACAACCTCCTCTGGCAAAGGACCCTTGTTCAGATCCAAGATATTCTGGTCCAACTGGGCAATCTTGCTGACTCCAAAGATAACGCCGTCGTTTCCTCCATCCTTGGCAAACTTTAAGGCAGAGTGATGCACGAGCCAACGGAGAGCGACCTCGGGCATCGTCAGCTTGTGGCTTTCAGCGGCAAGTCGGAGGATGTCGAGCGCTTTGAACAAACTCTCGTTGAAATACATCTGTCTAAAAATAGGCCCAAGGAACGTGCTGTTGCTGAAACGGCCCTGCTCCTCCTCGTCATCGAGGGTCTTGTAGCGCCCGGTTAAGAGACCTCCACCGAGGGGGGTAAAAATGACGACTTCCAATCCAAAGTGGCGACAAGCAGGAATAACTTCCGTCTCAAGATTTCGAGCTGTGGAATTATAGTGTTAATATATCTCCGGGATTGCACACACACACACACACATATATAGATGTGTGCTAAAGATGCTATTGGGAAGAAGTTCCTTACTGATGGCGTTATACACCCCCTGGTAAATCGTGGGTTTCACCCAGCCTCGATGTTGGCACAGCATGACAACCTCTGCGACTTCAAATGCAGAAAAGTTGCTAATTCCGAGTTGCTTGAATTTACCCTCCTTGTACAAAGTGTTTGCCGCTTCCAGGGTTTCGGCGAAGGGGACGGAGCGGTCGGCCGAGTGCAGGTAGAAAATATCTACAGATGTAGTACCAAGCTCAGCCAAAGATGTTTCCAAGTCCTTGCGGAGGTTGGCGGCCGTGTGCTGCCAGGAGTCTCGTGGGTAGCTCTTTGTAGCGAGCTTGAGGCCACGTTCTTTGTATCCTGCTTTTGCTGTGAAAGCTTCTTGTTCACCGCCAGAGTAGATACGGGCCGTGTCAACTTCATTGTATCCATGCTTTTGGAGAGCATCAAGATGAGTTTTGAATTCTTCAAGTGTTGTAACACGGTTGTCTGGAAAGTTGTCAGGACCGTAGGTCATGAGACCGAGGATAGCTCTGGGCTTGGGAGAGGCCATTTTTGCTCGCGCTGTGAATTTTGGGGTGTAGAGTAGTTGGTATTGTTGTTAATGATGAGGATGATTCTACGACTGAAGAGATTCAGAGCTACCTTTATATCTATCGAATTGCCCCTTCAACATTTCATCACATCGTTCATCTTGATGTCCTATATCAATGTAAAGCCTCTTCCGTATAGCTTCATTCTGGTGAGATACCGCATTGGGTATGACATGGTGAACACTAGCCTCATCAGGCAATTCATAGAGGGCTCCGCCGGCTTATTAATGACCATCACCCGTTGGAACGAGAGGCGATGAATCCAGGATTGATGCTCAATGAGCTGGTAGCCAATGTCCGGATTAGGGTATATGGCGGTGGCTGCTCTTCCTGTATCGTAAATACGGAGCTTGATGGATTTAACGATGCGGAGAAGAGCGACATTCAGGAGCACCTTCGGGGTTTAGGCTGCAGCGAACGACATATTGAATTGCGGATCGATGACTAACCTCCGCAATGCATCGTGAATTCTCCCTTTGGGCAAAAGTTCATGAGCACATACAATAATCATCTGAGGTCATCGGACACTAAAGTTCTGGAACCGCCGATATGAAGCTCAGGGATACTGTCGGCAGCATCAAAGAAGAAAGCGTTACATCTCTCAACGTTGATATTTTCGTCGTCATGTGAGACCGCCTATTACGATGATTTGTCGAGATGTGGGAGGTCGGCTGAACAGTATGTTTCACTAAAGATGCGGTGGCTGCGAGAGAATTAGAGCAGTGAGAATCACGGCACTCGAGATATTATTCACGGGGTGACATATGTCTTTGCGAGAAAGACCACCGCATCTGTGTCTCTTCGTTATTGCTCTCATATCTTCTCATCCGTCACGGCTTTGGACTAATCAATCTGTCTACTCGTATATCGTTCTCCGCTGTAACATAGCTACATATGTTTCATAATGCGAGATGTTCCCATCAATTCTAGATGGTTCTGCGACTCGTATCATATAATACGAGGTTTATATTTTTAATACGGTAAGAGGGTCAGTAAAGCTCTAACGGCTGGTTTAGAGTGAGGCCATGCCCCAGCCTTCGATTTAATCTCCGGAATCAATACGTAGGTCAATCTGGCCGCTATAGACAAAGAAACCAAATCTTAGAGATTCACGCCACATAACATACCCACTGATGAATAAGAGTTCGGGTCGAACTCAAAATGCGCGAAAAGGCCCGAACAACAAGGTTCAGGCACAGCGCAGATTTCAAGCCCACAACGTTGCAATGGCTGAACCAACATGATAAGATCGCGCTGCTAGGTTATAAAAGGCAGTCACAATCCCGTGGCATACACATACTCTTACAAGAGATCTAAAGTCAGTCAAAATGTTTCAGTATTTGCAGTATCTTATGCTCTCTTGAATTGGCCGCCCTTGGCTCAACCGTGAGAGAATTATTTCACCTTACTCGATTGACTTTCCTTCACTGGTTTCATCAACACATATTTGGATACTACCGAACCCTTCAATTTGTCTCTTTTCGTCCAAATGGAAGAATGGATGAAGACCTGAAGCCTGTGTATTCGTAAGTTCCCCACCTCACTCCTCTTTGTGGCACCCACACTGACATCGAAAGCCCTTATCTCCTTATTACTATCCCGTTAGAATTCGCGGATGGCTGCGTACTCCACATACCACCTCATCTACTTTCTCAGAGCCCTAAGCTAGCGGCTATGTATGAGGCGGATGAGCTCAATTTTCCCGATGTTCCGAGTGATGTAGGCCATACCATCATTCATTTCCTTTATACCGGCACCTATCAGCCCCTTCAAGCGGAATACTCGGGGGCTATAAAGGCGCTTGCTGTTGAGTTTTCAATAAGCATTCGTACTTATAATGCAGCCAAGACTTACGCACTTCCCATTTTGGCGGAACTTGCAAAAGTTGAGGTTGAGCGGGTGGGCGAGATGCTTCAAGTTACGCGTGTTTTCGAGATTTTACGAAATGTCTGCCCAGATGTAGACTCTGATGAGGTCTGGCTCAGACAATTTCTGAAGAACCGACTGAAGAGTTTTCTCAGAGATGGTTTCTTGAAACCACTGCAACACAAGACGGGTATTCCGCGTAGAATAGGTACTGCGCACAAGACCGTGACAATCAACCACATCCTCTTCAAAGGCATGCTTGAACTATTTCGAGAACAGGAAGCGCCACTGCGCAAAAAGACGCACGACACATTCGAGATGGTGGCGGGGGATCATCCAGGCTTTCCGCATTCATCGAGGTACTTGTTTGCCATGCCAGTTGTCGAATCCAACCAGTTTATTGGAGAACTCGAGGGCAGCCTATTCGAGCCTACTCTGATAAACAAGAACAAAGGCGAAAAGGGGAATCCTACGACTGAGGCATTGGAGAATAACGATTCAGAGGATAAGTCCCCGCAAGATATTGGAACGGGCCAGCATGAGGAGAGCGAAAAGAGCTACGACATCGTGGGCCCACTGAATGAAAAGGTAAGAAAAGAACAGGCTTCCCCGAAAACATAACAGCAAGCCATACGAGCAGTTGAACAGGAAGAAAAAGACGCCGGAGAACAAATTGACCAGGATACTGCAAAAGTTGCAGAGGAGGCTGCAATTGCTGAAGAAGAGGTGGAACTTGCTCGACTGATGAAGGCGAGAGCAACTTCACCTTGTGGCCTGGATATATCATCAGAATCAAGGCTATTTCTCCTCCATGAAAGGGCCAAGGATCAGGCTGAAGGACAAGCTTCTCATAAAGCGGGTAAATCAGCCAAAGGTAAAGTCATCAAGGTCAGAAAAGGTAACAAGGGCAAAGGGAGCTATGACAGTAACTTGGTAGAGTTTGATCACCTATCTGAACTAACAGCGAATCTTCTCATACTCGAACAGCAGACAAAAGACAAGGAAGACAAGGAAAACAAGGAAAACATAGAGGACTCATGGGTTTCACATGGACAAAGCGAATCTAAAGGAAAACAGACGATGGATAGGGACTCTGTGTCAAATGCTCCGATATGTCATTCATCAGATAATGATTCGCCATTTAATATGGGGGAGCACTTCACGAGGATAGAGCATACTTGAAGGAAGAAGGATGGAGCTTCTAGGGTCTCGGTCGAGATAGAAGGAACTTGGAAGCTCCCCATCTACCGCGTATCTCTGGAGAGACGGAGTTCCACAGAAAGACTGGATGAAGCCCACGAAGGAAATGTTAGAGACTAATTTGCGCAGGGTGTTGGATTTTTGTAAGTGTTGAAATGAATGATATATAGGCCTCAACAGCTTTCGGCCTTTTTGCAATTTCAATAGTAAGAAAGAACCGGTCGGAGTTGTTGGGCTATGTATCTTCAGAGTCTTTTACCTAGGTAGTCAATTGATTTTTTATCTGGAGTATTAATATTTTACTTTTTAAACCATCCAATCAAATTTCTGATGGTTGTTCAATTTGTTTTGTGTAGTTAATTTACTGACGACTCGTGGGGCATAATGAATTTCTGCCCTGGTTTTCAAGGATTTATTATTCATAAAAACATATATAAGAGTGCGTGAATAAATAAGTGTATACGACTAATACGACGAATGCTGTAACAGAGTATTTCGTATGGTATATCATTTTCCAAGTTTGTGATATTTCGTCAATCTCATAACCTAATATCAAATCCTGCGATTCCCATCTATTCCACGATTTTCTTGAGAACTCCTGTATCAGTATCGTGAATCCAACCCGTCACTCGAATATTGCTGCGCCAAAAAGGATGATTTCGAAGATACTCCACCTCCTCTCTGGTAGACGCTTCCAAATCATGAAAAGTAAGGACCTCGAAGTTATCCACATCCTTGGATTCCGTCAATCCCAAATTCTTCTTCATAACATCATGCACAACCTCAGATGGAACACCCAACAGCCCGCATCTCGTATGCTTAATCAGGAGAACCTCCTCAGCACCCAAAACATGAGTCGTCAGAAGTACCGAGCGCGCCGCATCTCGGCCAGAGGCACCGGCGTTGCGAATGGTGGTGACTTCGCCTAGCTCGAAACCGTAGGCAGATTTTGGATCAAGACGACAATCCATGCATGTGACTGAGACGAATGGTTATTTTATATGTACGAGTTGTTATGCGAGTCGTGGAAAACATACTGAGAACGGCTTTCTTCAGAGGAGGGCATTCAAGACCACTGTGCTTATACGTGCTGGCGTATTTGGCATTGGCTTCGAGGACTTGAGATTCAAAGGGAGTAGACATTTTGATCTATTGATAATGAATCTTAATTAGATTGAGTGATAAAGTGTGTGAGTAATTGGAAGTTGGGCTGTAGATTAAAGAGTGTTGGAAGCTTCATGATGCAGGAATATCAAGGCTACTTATAGAAGAGCTAACAAAGATGAGAGCATTGGTTCCGTCCACACCGTCTGCCGAGTTTTCGAAAGCTCTAAGCACAGCAACATAAGAAACGTGCCAACTTCGAGGATATTACAAATGTATTCTTCAGCGCCATTGCGGTTGACGAAACGTCACAACATTCTCGTCTCTACCTGGTAGCCGGTAGCCGGTAGTCCAAACAAGAATTGGTAACATAGCAACACTATAGCAAGGCAACCGGCACAACGTTATCTCCCCTAGGACTATCTGTAATGAAAGATAGGGAGGAATATAAATTAACATTTGCCTAAAACAATTGATCTCTGTCAGCCGGTGACGCAGTGGCTCATGTACGATGGATTGAGCATTGGCCTAATGCGTAGTAGCGCACGTTGTCCCAAAAGCTGACAAATTTACACGATAATAAGAGCCCGAGTCTTTCAGCTTGTACGCTGTAGCCGACTTGGATAAAACCCGACCAACTGCCAGATCCCAAAGGCATCTGTTCAAAAGCTTTATTTGCACTCAATCATATCATTCCCGACGACATAGTTTCATTTTTTTTTTCAAAACACATTTACCTTTCTTTGATACTCTCTCGCTCCCCTAGGCGTCATTTCTTCACAATGAGAGCTTAGCTTTATGCTTACCGACCTACTCTACCTAGTAGTTACCGTTGCAGCTTCTTTCACCTGTATCAAACATAGGTATTGATATGTGACATTTTACTATCGAAACTAACTTTTGGATATGTGTTCATCAACATGGCGCTCATCTAAATCATGATTGGCAAGATACCCAAGGCAACGGTTCGACAACACCTCGAGCGGTCCTAGCAACTTTTGGCAATATACAATGAGAAAAGCTTCATCTTGAATCGCCTGTTATATACATTAAAAAATTGCGGCGGGATATACATATAACCCATCTACATCTTGCTCTCATCTATGCCAACCAGAACCATATCTTCTGCAGGAAGTTCTTGGGCACAGGAGGCTGATCCATGGCCTCCATTTCGTCCATCTCCTTCTTGCCGGTAATAACATCAACCTCGGGAGTCCTGATGCAAAAGGGGGTTCGCTTCCATATCTTGTGGCCAACATAAAGCACGAAGAAGATGGGCAGTGTGATGTAGGCAGCGAGGAAGTCGCTCACATTCCAGTTGTCGCCGATGAAGACTTGGAAACCATTGGTGAGGGTCAGTATAGAAATAACAAAGAGCGCAGCATAGGTGCCGTAAGGCTGCAGGGGTGTCTTGTACGGCAATTCTCCCCAGAGATTGTTGAAGATGATGGCTTTGCGGAAGCGAAGATAGGTGACCATGATGACAATCCAAGCAAGGAAGCCAGAAATGGTTGAAATGTTGACAAACCAGTTGAAGACAGTGGCACCGGAGTTGTTGACATTGAGGAAGGCGAGAAGAGAGAAGGCCCAGGTGAACAAAACGGCAACCCAGGGGACACCCAAGCGATTGGTAAGGGCAAACAACTTGGGAGCCTGGCCGTTGATGGCCATGGAGTATAGAACTCGACTGGCGGAGTAGAGGAAAGAGTTTCCGGCCGACCACGCAGAGGTAAGAATGACGGCGTTGATGATGTGGTTCAGGACAGGGATACCAGCATTCTGAATGCCGATAACAAAGGGTGAGGCGCTGGCGTTTGAGGCTCCGAGCAGTCTAGAGTCGTTTGAGGGGACAATGATGCCAATGATGAGTGACGAGACACCGTAGAATAATGCCAGACGGAAAGTAAAGCGACGGGCCGCCTTCTTGAGGTTTCGACGGGGGGAAACGGCCTCTCCGGCGGCGATTGCGATCAACTCGGGGCTGGTAATGAAAGCAAATCCTGTGAAAAGATCAACCGTCAGCTTAACTGCGCATGATTTTGTAGTATACGGTAGATGGATATTAATGAAAGTTTGGTCAAACATACCTGCTTTGACAAAGGCGTGCCAGTAGCCCAGAAATCTGCCTGTCGCACCCTTGGCATTGTATTCCACAAATGCGCCAGGGTCGTTCCAATAGTGGAAACCGAGGACATGATGCTGATTCGGCCCGCCACCAAAGAACAGGACAATACCGATGATGCAGAGAACAAACAAGGCAATCAGCTTGATGGATGCAAAGATGAATTCAGCCTCTCCAAATATGGCGGCGGCAAACAAGTTGAGTCCCAACAAGACAAGAAGGACGATGGCAATCCAGACGGCGACATTGACATGGGCTTTCCAATAATCCAGGACTATGGCAGCAGCTGAAGCTTCTGCGGCGACAAGCATTGTGTAGGCATACCAGTAGTTCCAGCCGGCAGCGAAGCCTAAGCTGGGATCGACAAAGCGGCTGACGTAGTAGGGGATGGTGACACCTCTGAATGGGAGATAGACTGTCATTTCTGCCAGGACGTTCATGACGATGTAGACGATCATGGACATGGAAATGTAGGCCATGAAGAGCGGCGCAGGGCCGGTATCTGCGAGGATGCCACCAGATCCCACGAAGAGACCGGTTCCAATGGCTCCTCCCAGGGCCAGGAACTGCAAGTGTCGACTCTTGAGACCACGCTTGAGCTGCTCGCCATCGTGGGCAAAGGTGAAGTCGGTGTTGTCATTTGGTGAGCTGGCCTCGACGTTGACGTCGTAGGCGTCGTCGGGCCCGGAGCCGTATTTCTTCTCCATGATTGTCACAGCGCCGGAGTTGACGATGGGATTCTAAATGATGGAGAAGGACAAGAAGAGTTGAAACAGGAATGAGAAAAGGAAAAAAGAGGAGAAGAAGAAGAAAGATTGAAGAAAAGGCAGCAGGGTATAGATATAGAGAGGGCCTGAAGGAGCAGGAACCACAGCGAATGCGGCAACCACCGCCTTGTTTATCGCTGGTCCAGCGCCTTCAAGACCCTAGAGAAACCCTAGAGAGCACCCTAGAGAGCAGATCCCCGGCACATTGACGCCTCTGTTAGCTGTTTTCAGCGTAGTTTGCTGCGGGGGGGCCAAGAGACAGGGAGCGGGCGTTGTGGATGGAGGTACCGGTACAAGGATGCTCTTTGCAGCACGCTGGTTGGGATGATTCGAGTCGTTGCGACGGTGGGGGATGTCCGTTGGGTTCCGTCTGATCAATGTTATCACCAGACTGGGGCCTGAGGGATGATGATCGAGATAAGAACGTTATCTCTTCGTCTCCGTCTTCTCTTTCAATGTTTCTCTCCTCAGTCTTCATCTCTCCATACCTTAGTAGTACCTACTGTACAGTTGCCGAAGCTGAAATGCCTTCAAGTCCCTCTCGGCTCAAGACCTCAATGCCGTGTACATGTACGGGCTACTCTTTGGTGGCGTCGGCATTTATTTCCCCGAGCCCCATCTGGCTTATCTCTCCAATCCTCTGCTTGCATGTTCCCGCCTCGAGCGAACTTGAGTCTTGAGGCTTGCAAGCGAAGTGCCTTTGCCGCGTGCGGAAATGTTCCAGAACGCGCCCTTCAGGACAAGGAAAACAAAAAGAAACTCGTTGTTCCGGCTGATTGATGCTGTGCCTGCGTCGAAATGCATTAGTGGCAGCCTCGTTTGCATGTGAGAGTTTCATCCCGGTCTGATGGGCGCATGTGCATGAGCATGAGCATGTACATGTACATGCTGATTTGCCGTTCTGACTCTCTCTCTCCACCCGCTTGAACAAGTCGCGAATGCTTATCTTTTCCCGTCTCTCTGGCCACAGGCGAGGACGGGGAACTGGATGCGGAGAGACGAGTTTGACGAGGCGGATTGACTAGGGTGGGCAGAGACATGATTCAGTTGCGCGCCAACATGGCACATCAGCTGTTACGTACAAAGATGATCAACCTTGGAGGTTTGTGCCACCCCACTTGGCGAGAAGAGGATAAGATTGAGTGGTAGCGCATGAGAAGAAGAGTCTTGTTTGTCTCTTTTCCCTACTGGGCATCTTGGTCCGGGCAAATGATAATACTCTGCTGAACAGGTACATAGTCGTATCGGAAGACTGGAGGCGAATACACTGACAGTACAGCAACAGTGACAAGAGTGGTTACATGTACATTGCCATAATAAGCTTGTGATTATGGCCTCACCTTTCCACGGCCACATGCAGCAACCTTGGCAAACATACATGTACCTCTCTCTCTCTCTCTCTCTCTTCAACAGCTGAAATCAGCTCAGTCGCCAAGCCTTCCTTCACGCTGGCTTCACTCTTATCATGGAGCATTGACGAGAGCCGGCACCAACCAGCACACCAAGATGAGAAAACAATCTCCACAACACTCCGCCCAATGTCCACCTTACACCCTACGCAAGGTCCAGCAAGGCTATTCAGCTTCCAGCACAATCAAGCCATCATGGCGAGCCGACAAAAGCCGTCGGCCTCTCCTCTCCTCGTATCGTCCTAAAAAGGGCGCCCGTGAGCCGCTTTGACCACAATCCTTCACGGATCAAACTTGCGTAAGGCGTACGAGGGAGGAGAAGAAAAAAAAAACCGGTCCTCAGCCACTGAGATCCCGTTGCCACCATCATGGTCCACTTGGGCGGTTCTTTAGTTGGGGAAAGATTCCAGAAGCTGGCACTAGCCAGTGGTTCGACCGCCTCCAAAGCCCCTCATTCCCCCGGGTTTCCCCAAGTCCATCATCTCCAACCATATCTGGGCCTGAAGACGGGGGGGGGCGAGAGCTGGGGTACGTCGAGATCAGCCCATGAGAGGTTGAGCTGAAGATATGCGGTCATATAGCTCCCTTTTCGAGATGAACTAGAAGATACAAATGCCTCACTTCTCGAGTGCGGGCCCTCATGATCTAATAGCGTGTACGAGTAGATGTTCATAGTCCAGCTTATGCTCTCTCGGTCAGGACCTTAGCGAGTCACGCAATCCGGACGGCGCAGATATACGCGTCCAGGGCTGTATTACCCATTTGATACTGGCTTCCACCGAGATACTAACTTCTTCTGCGTCAGCATCTAATTGGTGCTGGTACACATCTACCTGGGCCCTCATATTGCGCAGAAGAGCTTCACCTGCTCTGGTCCCGAAATCCGGCATGTCCCGGCCAGTCGTCGCCTTGTTCCGGAGAACGTAACGTTAGATATGGAGTAGCAGATAACAATTGATTTGAATTCTTGGTTCATCCTAAGTAGCCGTCTAACGTCAATCGCTAGACAAACGCTTATCACTTGCTCTTCATGAGCTCAGCTGTACTCCGTTTTTTGTGATATTCATACGTTCGGTTCACAAGTGGGCACTTGAAAGTCTTTCCCCAAGTGAGAGAATATATGCAATCTGATTACTATTGGAAATATTGACTAGGAGTTGAGGTGTTCTGGAAGCATTGTCCGCCCAAAGCCGTATGCAGCCGTCTTCAGCTTGCCGAATGCCGGCCAACTACCTACTTCTAGTGCCTTTTGCCTCCTTCTAGAAGACCGAGTGTTGTAGATCGGCTTACCTGTGGCGGACTAGCTATGCCGCTATTGAGGTATGTAAAAGCTACTAAGAGGCCGAGGAACGCCTCGATTTGTAGGAGCTAGAGGGACTGCTTCCGGTAGCGGTCGAGTTTGCATCGTTAAGCGACCACCTGGTCATCTGCAGTATAATCTCACATGTGGCTCCATAAGCATGTCTCAAGATGAGATTACACAGTATGCCATGCCGTATCCCTACTAGATCTCCTAAGAATACAATTGCTCCATCGCTCGTGTGTTTTTTCAGCTACACCTTGGAGACTTCCACAATGCAAGAGTCTGAGTCTGCAACTTCAGCTTCACTCAGATATCATTGTAAGGGGCCTACAAAATAGTGACATCTCCATCCAGATTCCCCCGACGCGTTAAAAGGAGAATGACAGTATCAGATACCTGTAGATATAAGCAATTAGCTGGGGCGTATATGGGGCGGCATAGTCAAAAAAGTGGAAAGAAAGGGGCCGACAAAACTGACGTGACGAGACACATCGCGCCCTCTAAGTAATCACTTTTGCCGTCTCGGCATAGCTCGGCTACTAGTAACGTGCCAAGGAAGATGGAAATCGTCTCCAAAGTAGGGAAATGCAAAGTCATTGGAGGGCTGGATTGAGTTGCCCATGAGAAGAGGACCAATGCTGGCGTAATGAACAAGGCGACATTCATGCTTCGGCCGATTGCAAATTCGAGGGCCGTCGTCATGTGGTTGTTATATGCGGCTACGATGGCTTCAATTCGACCCGGCCCGTCGGTTGCGAGCGGTAAGAAAACAAAACTGACAGCTCTGCTGCTGATAAAGCGGGAATCGGTCACAGAGCTCAAGGTACGCATGAGGAAGTAGGAAGACATCGAAGTAAGACCCAAAACGGAGATGAGAAGAATGCCTTCAACGATTCCAAACACTATTCGATTTATATCGGAGCTGTCAGTCAGAACAGGTGATGTACCTTCTAGGAATAGTTGGCGGTGTGACCTCCATCGATAGTGCTGGTATATAACGAAGAGAAATAGCAGGGCTAGAGATACTGAATGCGACATTCGCACCAAGTTGTCTTCGCATTTAGGATCGGCTCTGCAGCGCATCTCAGAGATTGCAGACGGAACGACTAGGGAAGTCGACGCGACTATCATAAGAGAAGATGCTGTCGATGCAAAAGTGGCGTTAAATATGAGTTCGCGATTGTGAATGCTTCCAACCAAGAAACACCATCCCACAACCTTGTTGCGTATTAACACTTGGGAATGAGGAGGGAATTGATGTCACTTACGAGAAGCAGATTGGCCAAGACGCTTCCAAGAATACAGGATTGTGCAATATGAGCAGCGCCGTGTTGAATGGCGGCAATTCCTACCTGATCGTTGATGAGTACTTGCATACTTCTAGCATCGGGGATTATAGGAAAAACGTACAATTAACAAAGGTGCATTATCCAGTATTGCATGTAGGAATCCTGCTCCCATAGGGCCCAACATGGACGACAGCTGGCGGATCTTCCGAAGATTCAACTTTGAGAGCGGGATGATGGCTAAAAAATTGAACCAAAAGATGAGCTCTGGGCTTCTATTCTGGACACCATATGTTATCCCTAAAGGCATGAAGACCAGAAGGAGATTGGAGTAGCCGCCAGGAGTGAGAAGCTTTAACACGATCCGGAGGTCTCGACGACATGTGTCGGAGCGTTGCAAGAGAGGAGATTGCTCGTCAACATATTCACTGCAGGCCGGAGCCGGCAGAGTGGCAGCGGAATATCTGAGGTCAGACGAGGAATTCTCCATGTGCTTCGATATTCGATACAAGGTATTCTTTGGTGCCAACTCATGGTGTTTTTGCAGGTCGAATTGTATCGTGGGTTGAGGCACAAGAACTGACCTTTATCCGTTGTTATGAATGAACAAACGCTACTGGGTGAGTGGCGCGAGGCGGGGAGAATTGAGTTTCCCATGGTTTCCTGTTACGTTGACTTTTGCCATCAGCGAACGACATTTCCTCACGTTAACTTTTCCATCAATTGTCACTCGCTAGTTGGCCCAATAGTGCGATTGGCTAGAGTTTTGATCGAGGCTGAATCCGGCGTCTAGTCAACTCTCTCTCCGCATTGTTATAAGTGCACTGGTGAAGCTGTGAGAGCTTCACCATTCCCACTCGAGTCCAAAATACAGTCAACTGAAACGCCTCAGATTGAGGTGGATTTGTTAACCATAACATTGTCAACACGAAAATCACCCATCACGATGATAGATTCCGGAAATACTAGAAAATGCGATACATTTGTTAGAGAATATTCCCAATAATCGCAAGTTCGTCTATTCCGTGTGACGTCACTGAGGCTTGAAACCACGGCGAGGCCATTGAAATAAAGTTTCATTTTTTTCAGCTGTCTCTATAAAGAGAATAGAGCTCTCCATGACAAGATTTCGTAGAAACAGAATATTACTTAGTATTCCTGACGGTAAAGCGGCCAAGAGCCACCATGGACGTCTCGGACTTTGAAGATCTAGGAATCATATCTGATTTCGAGGAAGAGGAAGAAGCAAACGAACCATGCCCTGGAAACTGGATGAAACCCACTATGCCGACAGCTCATAGAGATGGCGATAGGCCACATCCACCATGGGAAGGGCACCGAGACAAACTTGTCGGCATTGTAGATATGGGAAGGTAAGTCATCGTCGCTGCCGGCTCCTACAGTCCGTGTATTAATGATCGCGATGCATCCCTAGCAACGGCATTCGCTTTTCTATCACGGATCTATCTGCTGGATTGGCGCGTATTCTACCGACAGTGCTGACCTATCGATCTGGTATATCGCTTTACGACTCCCAATACGATCCTGAGACGGGAGAACAGATTCCTATCCCAGACGATGTTATTGCCGACGTAGTTACACTCTTTAACCGGTTTCTCATCGTCTGCCATGATATGGGAGTTGACAAAAAGAATATCCATATCGTTGCAACAGAGGCGACCCGCAAGGCTCTCAATTCGGCCCAATTTATAAAAGTTGTCAAGGAGAAGACTGGGCTGTCTATCGAGATGCTGCCCAAGGAAATTGAGGGCCAGATCGGAGCGTTGGGTATTGCGAGCGGATTTACTAAACTATCCGGCCTTGTGATGGACCTTGGAGGTGGTAGCACCCAAATCACTTGGATGGTCAGCCAAGGAGGCCATATCAGAATTAGCCCTCTTGGGAGCTTTAGCTTCCCGTATGGCGCGGCTGCTCTATCCAGACAGCTTCATGATTTGCGGAAGGGCAAGAAGAAACAAGAAGGGGAAGAAGCTGTTGCTCGATTCCGACAGGAAATGGTGCAAAAGTTGAGAGACGCATATGATCATTTGCAAATCCCCGAAATTATGATTGAAAAGGCCAAGGAACGGGGGGGCTTTCGTATCTACCTATCTGGTGGTGGGTTCCGAGGTTGGGGCTATTTGCTGCTATATCTCAACCAGTCCCACGGCAAGCACTATCCAATCTCCGTCATCAATGGATACACAGTCGGTAGAGAACAGTTCGAAGACACAGATACTGTGAAACAAATTGCAAAAGCGGCAAAAGATGTATTCCGGGTCTCGGATCGCCGCCGGTCACAAGTTCCCGCAGTGGCATTCCTGGTGAATGTCTTGGCCGAAGCTATTCCTCATGGAATCAGGGAGGCTCACTTTTGCCAAGGTGGAGTGAGAGAGGGATATCTCTTCCGGACTCTGACTCCCGAGGTCAGAGAACTCTCCCCGCTGTCAGTCGCAACGCAAAATTTCGCGCCAGTTTCCTATCGCACTCTCCAGGAACTGCTCAAGAGTGCCATCCCGAAACCCTCGAAGAACCAGACAAAGAGGTTTCCCGAAGAATTCGGAGAGCATGTTATCGATTCGTTTGCTAACGTCATGTATGTTCATATGTTCATGTCTAAAGAGACGGCATCAACAACTGCTCTTTACTCAACCAGTGTTGGAATCATGTCATCTACCCATGGAGTGTCTCACCAAGACCGCGCCAGACTTGCGCTGATGCTTGAATCTCGATATCGTGGAGAATTACCACCACGAGAGATGGAATTCCGCGAAGCACTGCGCTCTCTTATTACACCGGAAGAGGTATGGTGGACTAGTTATTTAGGCAGAGTTGGATACATGATCACCCGACTGTATCCATCTGGAGAAATTGATACTGCAAAGCCTCGGGTCGTATTTTCCGCTGAGTGGTCATGGACCATGGGGAAAAAGAAGAACAAGGAGGGCTTTGTCTTGACGCTATCAGTGCAGAAGCTCAAAGACGATCCAGCACATCTCAAGAAAGCTTTGGAGGACAATGTCAAAGTGATTCAAAAGGTCGGGAAGAAGAGGCGCTGGATAGGAAAAGAAGATCCATGGGGTATGAAGGTCAAGGTAAATGTCGTCGAAGAGGGTATTTTGGAAACTCCAGGCTGTTAGTGTTAGCTGAGCGAGGCGATGTATACTAGTTGTATCAATACTGTGACTGTTTATTTATTCACGTTGGTCAAATATAATTTTACACATGGCACTGATGAAGTATGAAGGAACAATTTTGATATGACTAAACTACTTATCAAATGTAGAAGCTCAACAAGCTTCAAAATCTAGCAGAATAGAATGCACTAAGTGAATGAGTGATTCAGTGCGAAGACAAGAAGAGAAGTAAAAGAAAAAAAAGAAATAGAAAAACAGAAAGACAGAAAGATGAGAAATCCAAAATTCCTTCACAACCACGCTCATAGCCCTTTAACCATGTATACGCTGGAAAGTTCCGGCGCGACGAGGCTTAGCAAAACCGTCAGTGGACGACTGGATGAAGCCAATTTCCATCAGATAGCGCATGCTCATTTTAACAGCCGTGTGCCACTGCTCATGTTCAACACCCTCGACTTCAATTTCCTCGGTAGATCGAACAAGGCCAAGGTTACCAAGGAAGTGCTGCACAGGCCACAGGGGATGCTTGTCGCCAATTTCATTCATTGATTCCAAGGCTCGGTGAGTCCATTCATCCGATGGAAGAGGCTCGCAAGGGATTTCAAGCTCCTTGTTGATGAGGTCCCAGAAGACTGTGGCTGGCATACCACCATTGACGCTGACGAAGGGCGCGATGCCTTCCTTTGTGTATAATTGGCTAAGCACGGATGATGCAACAGTAGCAACGTCAACAACAGAGAGCCAATGCTCCTCCGGTTCTGAAGGATAGGCACGAAGGGATGCAGCGGTAGAAACAACACGCCACAGCATATCATCCACATTAGCTACACCAGTCTCAGGCGATCCGATGATGCGACCGGGTTTGAGAGTAGAAATGCGGTTCTGATCAGCGGGGAGAGTATTGATGACCTCCTGAATAACGCCCTCGGAGACAAATTTGGTCTGGCTGTAACCAGTGGTTCGACCGAGATACTGCGCGAGAAGAGTGCGATCTTGAGTAGGGTCCGACTTGATACCGCCAGAGATGAAGATGAACTTGGGAGAAGCAGGGGAGTTGACAGCAGCCTTGAGGAGATCAATAGTGGAATCCACATTAGCAGCACGCATCTTGTCATAATCGGCATTCCAGTTTACGATGGCACCGTTGTGGATGATGGCATCGACATTGTTGCTAGACTGGCCGGCTAGGCGTGCCCACTGCGTATCGCTGAGGCCCATTCGTTTCTCGCCCAAGTCACCACACCATATCTCGATCTTACTCTTGTAATCTTCGTGCCACCAGCCAGCAATCTTGGCAGTTTCGCGGATACGGTCCAGGCCATGATCGACAGACTTGGATCGCACGAGAGTTATTATTGAAGCAATGGCATCGTTAGAGATGAGTTGTCTAAGGATCTCCTGACCGAGGAAACCTGTAGCACCAGTGAGGAAGACAACAGCTTGGTCAGGCAGCTCGGTTCTAGGATTGGCAGCAACATCCAGGGCACCAGTATCCAATACAGAGCGAGAAAAAGACGAGATTTCAGCGTTAAAATCGATGTCGCTGAATTGCTCATTTTCTTGTCCGGCGAGTTCATTGTCGATGTGCTTGGCCATATTTGCGATCGTAGTGTGCTTCGAGTTGAGAAGGGACATGCCAAGAGAAACACCATACTGGTTGAGGATAGCTTTAGAAATCGTAACAATGCGAATAGAGTCGCCTCCGAGGCTATAAAAGTTGTCATCTACGCCAATGGTATCGTCAGGAAGATCAAGCGTGGTCGCCCATTGATGTCGAATCCAGAATTCAATATCGCTCGAGCAGTCGCGGAAAGGTAGACGTTGGACGGCGAGGTATTTCGAAAGGTCATCAGTCGTGAGATTGGTAATCGACTCGAGGAGCATCTTTCGATCCAATTTGCCAGCAGCATTATGAGGCATATGGTCAACAGGTATGAAGTACTTGGGAATCATGTGGTTAGGCAGAGCGGAGCTGATACTAGTAGCGATATTAGAGAACATTTCACGAAGCTCGTCAGCGAGCTCTGTGAGGTGAATCTCCTTGGAAGCACTTTCGGCTTCTTGCTGCGAGTTGAAGCATACGAAGGCCAGGAGAGACTCGCGACCATCTTTTCTAGTGATACCAACTACAGCGTGCTCAATGGCGGTATCGGAACGCTTGATATGATACTCAATCTCGCCAAGTTCGATACGTTGACCACGGATCTTGACTTGAGCATCCTTTCGGCCGAGATACTCGATGGAGCCGTTTGAAACATAGCGGACTAAGTCACCAGTCTTATAGAAGCGGCGTTCTCCCACATCAACATTAGATGGCAACCATTTGACTCCTTCAATGAATGATTGTCTAGTTCTGTTTTCATCGTTGATGTAGCCGCGAGCTAGAGAAGAACCTTGCAGCAATAGCTCACCAATGCAACCGATTGGCGTAAGCTGGTCATGATTATCAGGATCAACAATCCAGAAGCCGTGGTTAAAGCTGCCGCCGAGGGTGGTAGCTGAGACGGTGGCGGTTGAAGAACATAAGTAATTGGTCGTAGCAACGCAAGCCTCTGCCGGCCCATAAACGTTGCGAAGCTCTACCTCATTGGCCCAATTCTCAATGACCTCTTTTGAAGGAGCCTCGCCTCCAATCAGGATGGTCTTCATTCCAGGAACCTGATTTGGAGATAGAGTCTTGATGAAGGTGGGTGTTAGGAACGCATGGTTGATGCGAGCCTCGCGAATGAAGGCTGCTGTGTTGCTCATACGTTCATCTTCAGTTGGTACGCAAACAGTAGCACCCACAATAAGTGAAGTGAAAATTTCAATCATGCAAGCATCGAAGACATAGTTAGCAAATTGAAACATTCTTGAACCGGCGTTGATTGAAAAGGCATCACGTTGCCTGAGAAGCGCTGCAGAGACGGCCTTGTGTTCGATGATGACACCCTTGGGCTTACCAGTTGAGCCGGAAGTGAAAAGAACATAAGCAGCATTATTGGGACTTGGCATAACAAAAGGCTGTTCGTTAGTATCGATTGCAGAAATGAAAGCAATCAAAGAGGGAGAAAGCTCGACTGTGTTTTTGACCATGTCCTGACAATCGGGGGCGGTCGTCGGTGACACAATCATGAACTGGGCGCAAACTTCATCAATCAAAGCCTGGCGGCGGCTGGTAGGATGTGATGGATCGAGTGGGATAAAAACACCACCGGCTTTAAGGATGCCTAGCATCACGACGATGGACCACATGGACTTTTCAAAGCAGAATGGCACGATAGTCTCAGGTCGGACACCCATACGGCTGAGATACACAGCAAGCTGAGTCGTCAGACGGTCAAGCTCGATATAGGTTATGCTTCCTTCACTGCTGTAAAGGGCTTCGTGATCTGGTCTGCGAGTTGCCTGTTTGGAGATGAGATCGTGTAGAGTGGTGTCAGCAGAGCCATAAATTTCATCATTCCACTCGAGCTGCTTTTGAAGATCCCAAGAACCAGATACTTCGATATCGCCGATTAATGTCTCTTTTTGAGCAACGAGTTGCTTGGCAACGTTGCTGAATTGCTCAGATATGGATGTAGCCTGGAACTCTGTCACAGCATTGGAGTCGTAAATAAGTAACAACTCGAAATGATTATCCATGATAATAATTTGAATGACCAATGGATAGCTGGTGAAGTTTTGCAAAGAGCTCTCGGCGGAATGCTCAGAGCTGGCGGGTAATAGGATGACATCAGTACCAGCCACTCTGTTCTCATCTGTAGTCTGTTGCTGAGCAGGTTGAATGCTAAGCAAGCTAGAAAAGTCGCATGCTTGCTTAGCCTCAGTGCTTAGAGTAGCGATGTTTTGGAGACCAAATTGCTCATATGCAACCATTTCCGAGGCTTGTATCTGAATGTCGTGCAAGAACCGTGAAGTTGGCTGATCTTTATCAAGGCGCACTCGGACAGGAACAGTAGCAACCATAGGACCAGGCATAGAGTCTAAACCAGGCACAGAAGCATGACGGCCAGAGACGGTTGTACCGAAACATACATCATCAGCATCACAGTATTGAGCTAGAATAATCGACCAGGTAGCTCGCATGATTGTGGCCTTGGTGATAGATGTGTTTGTTAATCTTGGGAAGTCCACAGATTTTGTTAATATTCGGGTCACATCTACTTTGCTATCCGTAGCAGCTAGTTGCTGGTTAATTGCTGGGAACGAAGCCGGCTTGGCATCGAGAAGTTGATGTTTCCAGTATTCTGCAGCATCATTCTGATCAATGCTTGTCGCGTATTTGACGAAGCGGGCGAAAGGCTGCAGAGGAGGCATCTCCGTGCCAAAGTAGGCGGCATAGAAAGTGGACATGATAAGCGGTTGAGTCCAGCCATCATATACAGAGTGGTGGATATGCCAGGCGAAATAGTTATTACCACCATCCTTAATCAGAGCATAGCGGCAGAGTCGGGAACCATAGCCCATGTTGAAGATTTGGATTGCATTTTGCATATAAGACTGCAGCGACACATCCTTGGTAGGTTCCCACAAGGACTCTGAACTGCATTTGATAACAGCCTGGATAGTCTTGGGTCCAACAAGAACAATAGAAGTTCGGAGATTGTGACAGACCTCGACAGTCTTGTTCCAAGCTACCCTAAACTTCTCAATGTCGACGTGCTCAGGAATACGGTACACGTACTGCGCCGTATAGGAGCCTGGCTGTTTGACAGATAAAGCCACAAGACCTTCCTGCAGCTTGGTAGTAGGGTAAGCATCCTCAATCGACTGAGAGGTAGAGAGGTTGCATTGCTGCTTGATTTCACGAATGACAGATTCACGTTCAGACGGATAAATCAAACTGAAAGGTTCGGCCTCATACGTGTCGGTAACATGACCGAGGCTGGCAGATGTAGCAACTGCTGATAGTCTGGGGTCGGCGAAAATACTTGCCACAGTGATTTGGATACCATGCTCTTGAGCTAGGGTAACCAAATGAATAGCTGAGATAGAGTCACCTCCAATTTGAAGGAAGCTATCGTTCTTGCCAATCTCTTCTGTGGGGATTTTAAGAATCGTGGCCCAAAGATCTCGTAGCTTGAATTCCATATCAGTTGTCGGCTCAGTCTTGTCTGTTTTACTTGGTGCAAATGCGGCAAGCTCCTCAGATGATAGAGAACCTGCAAGAGTTTGTAGCTGCTTTCTATCAAGCTTCATAGATGTGATAAAAGGCATGCATTGGAGAGGCAGGATGATATTGGGAACCATGTAACCGGGTAGAGTGGCCTTTAAGCTGTCTCTCAGACTACCAAGCGCTGACCTCATCGCATCATCAGAAACATGCAGATTCAGGCGCAGGTTGTCGGTGACCCATCCCGCGTTCACATCGCCAACAAATGAGATAAAAGCAATCAGTGCATCACCAGCCTGCCTATGAAGAACATCAACAGCGACGAGACGCACGCTCTCAAGTGACTGAGTGATGGTGTACTCAATCTCACCTAGCTCAAGACGCTGGCCTCGTAGTTTGACTTGAGAGTCTTTTCGTCCGAGGTATTCTAATTCACCATCTGCATTATAGCGGACAAGGTCTCCGGTAAGATAGAATCGCTTCGGCTCGTGCAGGAGAGAAGATGGAAGAGAACCAATTTCGCTAACGAACGACTCTTCCGTCCTGACTTTGTCATTGAGATAGCCGCGAGCCAGAGCATGACCCTGAAGGACAAGTTCGCCTATACAGCCCATAGGGGTGAGCTTGTTATGATTGTCTGGTTCTACAACCCAGCAGGCACCATTGAAACCGGATCCAATAATACGAGGAGATTCAGCACTGGACTTGAACATATGTGTCGTGGCGTAATTACAGGCCTCAGCAGGTCCGTAACCGTTGAACAGAGTAACGCGGTCAACCCACATTTCCAAAATGCTCTTAGAAGCAGCTTCACCACCGAGAACAAGAGTCTTCAGGTGAGGCACTTTATCTGGCGTAAAGGTTCTTACAAAGGACGGCGTCAACATGGCTGTGTTGACCATGGCTTTGTGCATAAAGTCGGGAGCGCATTGAAGGCGCTCATCATCGGTAGGGATACAGACGGTTCCACCAAAGGCTAATGGTCCAAAAATCTCACCAAGGCTACCATCGAAGATATAATTGGAGAACTGGAAGATTCTTGACGATGGGGAAAGGTTATACACCTTGCCATATCCAATGGTTGTAGAGCTGAAAGAGCCATGCTGCATGACAACACCTTTTGGTTTACCAGTCGATCCAGAAGTGAACAAGACATATGCCGTGTTCCTCGGTCCAACCTTGGGTAGAACCTTGGGGGTAATAGAAGTGGCAAGTTTGCTTATTACACTAGGTGACAACTCGACAATATGCTCAGCCATACCAACGCACGAGGCGATGGCATTAGAAGACGCGATGAGCACGCGAGCATTAACTTCCCTGACTAATGTCTCACGGCGACTGTTTGGATGCGACGGATCAAGAGGTACAAAAGCGGCGCCCGCCTTGAGAATAGCCAGAATCGCAACCACAGCCCACATTGATTTCTCGAAGCAGAACGGTACTACTGTTTCTGGGCCAACATTTAACGAGCTCAGATGTGTGGCAAAGATATCGGTCAAATGGTCAAGTTCGCCATAAGTGAAACTACCTTCTGAAGAATAGATGGCCTCGTGATGAGGGCTGTTAGAAGCATGCTCAGCAAATATGTCGTGGAGGCAAGTATGTATGAGATCAGGCTTCTTGCTGTTCAGTTGCACGGCCTGCTGGGCGTCCCAAGGCCCTGAAACACACACCTCACCGAGCATTTCGTCGTCCTGGGCAAGCAGTTGCTGGACAACATGATCAAACTGATGCATGATGGCGCCTAGTTGAGCTTCGCCAAGGACGTCAGAATCATAGATGAAAACCAAATTGACGAGGTCTTCCAAGAGATGACACTGGATAACCAGAGGATAAGAGAAATAGTTTTGCAGCATGTTCTCAGCTTTGATTTCGGGTAGAGTGGCAGGAGTTACAAGGGCATTCTGATCACCGGAAATTTTGCTATCAGCACTCATGTGCTGAACGGGCTGGATAGCCAAGAGAGACGTGAAATCACAGGCATCTTTCGCGTCAGAACCAAGTTTGGAAATATTTTGGATGCCAAACTGTTCATAATCAACCATGTCGGAAGCCTGTGATTGTACCTCTTGAAGGAATTGAGTGAGAGGCTTTTGCTTATCAAGGCGAATACGAACAGGAACAGTAGCGACGACAAGACCAGGCATAGATTCAAGGCCGGTTACATTAGCATGACGGCCCGATACTGTGGTTCCAAAGCATACATCATCGCTATCTGAGTAGCGTGCGAGAACAATAGCCCAGGCGGCACGTAAAATAGAAGCCTTTGTGATAGATGTGTTTGTTGACTTGGGGAATTCTATGGCCTTATTCATGACACGAGTTTGAGAAACCCCAGCCTTGTCACTAGGTGCCGGGAAGCTTGCGCGTTTGGCACCATCAAGCTGCATCTTCCAATACTCGGAAGCGGCGTTGTTATCGAGGCCCAAAGTGTACTTTACAAAAGCAGCGTATGACTGTAGAGGGGGAAGCTCAAGATCGTGATATGCTGCAGACAGTGTGCCCATGATCAACGGCAGAGACCAACCATCGAAGACGGTATGGTGAATGCTGAGAGCGAAATAATTGCTGGGCCCTTCCTCAATGATCGCATAGCGACACAGGCGCTGAGCATATGCCATTTCGAATTGGAGCGTATCACGAGCATAAGCTGAAAGTGAAATCTCAGAGGTATCATCCCAAGCAACGTCATTCTTGAGTATGACTTGTATGGTAATACCATTTATAAGAATCATGCGTGTGCGCAGATTGGCACAACTTACAACGGTTCTTTCCCAAGCAGCACGGAATTTTCGAACATCCACGTAGTCGGGAAGTTGATAGACATGCTTGGCAATGTAAGATCCAGGCTGCTTGATTGCGAGGGCCATAAGTCCTTCCTGTAGCTTTGTGCAAGGATAGGCATCCTCTAGCAGTTCATCTCCAGAGAGATGACATTGCTCCTCCACAACATCAGAGATGAGAGATTTGGTTAGTGGCTCTCCAAGCAAACTGAAAGGCGCGATGGGTGCAGAAGCATTGATGCGGCCATCGTTGTCAGCAGCTGCTAAAGCAAGCGCTGAAAGGCGAGGATCGTCGAAGATATCCTTGACTGCAATCGAGATACCAGCCTCACGAGCATTTGTAACAAGCTGGATAGCTGTGATCGAATCACCACCAATTTGCAAGAAGCTGTCATCACAACCGATTTGTTCTTTAGGCATGTGCAATACGGCAGACCAAAGCTCTTGCATGCGAATTTCCATTTCGGTCTCGGGTAGGCGCTTGACACTATTGCGCAAGGAATAGGCGGCATAGTCGTCTTGGCTCAATTCTGAAACGAGCTTCTTTAATCTATTTCTGTCAAGCTTTGTAGAGGTGATGAAAGGCATGTAGCGACATGGAATGAAGAGCGAGGGTACCATATAGCGAGGTAGCGTAATATTGAGCTGGCTGATCATCTTGGCAAGCTGTGTCCGAAGCTCTTCTGTTACAGGTAGGAATATGTCTTCATCTGATTGAGAAATACCGGCAGTGCGCGTTTTATCCGTGAAACAGAAGTATGCGATGAGTCTTGTGCCAGAGTCTGTCGTTAAAACGTCAATGGCAACTTGTCGAGCGCCTTCAAGGCCACTCCGGACGTGATACTCAACTTCGCCAAGCTCCACACGAAGGCCGCGAATCTTGACTTGTGTATCCTTCCTGCTGGAGAATTCAAGCGTGCCATCAGTATTGTATAAGGCCAAATCACCGGACTTGAAGAATCGCGACCAAGAGGGTTGATCTCGGGATGGGGCCCAGGCAGGCAGCTCATACATTATAGTAGCTTCAGTACGGTCGGTATCAGCGAGATATTCCCTCAAGATTGTTGGACCCTGGATGACGACTTCGCCTACTGTGCCGATAGGGGCGAGTTTGTTGGGATTTGTCGGGTCTACGACCCAACAGAAGCCTCCTACGGGACGGCCAATTGTTAATGGCGACTCATCCACGGATTGGAACTCATGTAGAGAGCTGAATAGACAAGTCTCCGCAGGACCCCAGCCGTTCCATAATCGAACTCTACCAAACCAAGTGGTAAGTATGTCGCGAGGAACGGCTTCACCAGCTAATAGCAAAAGGGTGACCGAGGGGATTTGATCCGGACTCAAAGTCCTCACAAACGATGGTGTGAGCAAAAGTGTGTTTATTTCATGCTCAGCGATGAATTCTTTCAGACCATTCATCCGAGTGTGCTCCGAAGGAATGAACATACAGGCGCCCGAAATCAGCTGTAGTATACTTTCGCCAAGACACAGGTCAAACACATGCGAAGCAAATTGGAGCGTCCGGTTATTTGCGTTTATACCTATTCTCTTCCTGATAGCAGTCTGACTGGTTGCCAAACCACCATGAGTCATTACTAGACCCTTGGGCACGCCCGTAGATCCAGAAGTAAATAACATATAGGCAGCGTTGTGAGATGAGACTGGGATCTGAGGGTCATTTGCACCGAGTGAGCTGTTGATCTGCTCATACAAGGCAGGAGAAACTTCGACTACTCGGTCGATAATGCCGGAAATGAAGCTTCGGGTATTACTGGACGTGAGAGCCAACTGAGATCGAGTCTGTGAGGTAACTTGGCGAACACGTTGCTCAGGATGGGATGGATCTAGAGGTACCCACGCAGCACCAGCCTTGTTGATAGCAAAGATAGCTACCCAATACCAAACAGATTTTTCGAAGCAGACGTGTATGAGATCCTCAACTTGAACATCATACTCATTGATGAGATAGTGAGCTAGATTATTGGCGGCTTCATTAAGCTGGCCATAAGTCAACTCCCCATCCCAGGCCCAGATAGCTGGTGAATCAGGAGTTTCCCTTGCGCGTAATTCGATAAATTGATGGATAGAAGTGTCCATAATCTCAGGGAACTCTGAATTAAACTCGTTGGCACGATGAATATCCCAATCAGATGCAACGACCAAGTCACCTAACGGGCGGCTTTCGTCCGTGAATAGCTGCGAAGCCACATGCTCAAATTGATAGCACAATGCTTGCATAGACGATTCAGAGAGCACTGAAGAGTCATAGGTGATTATCAACTCAATTGAATCACTGAGGAGATGGCCCTGGACAACAAGAGGATAAGAAAAGTAACCCTGCATCGAGTCTTCAGCTGAATTACCTTCAATATTAGCAGGTAACAGCAGCGCAGATGATGTGGCCTCAGCTTCTTCAGATGTGCCTTTGCCGCGTGAATCCAAGTGTACTCGAGGTTGTACAACCAGCAAACTCGTAAAATCACACGCTTCCCTGAAGTCGGGGTTGATCTTCCCGATGTTTGACAAACCATATTGCTCGTATGGAACCATCTCGTGAGCTTGATTTTGGATAACCTGGAGGTACTTGCCAATAGTCTGTGTCTGATCCAGATGCACACGCACAGGAACAGTTGCGACCACAGGGCCAGGCATATCCATGAGGCCCGGCACCGAAGCTTGTCTGCCAGATATCGTCGTACCGAAAGTTATATCATCAGTATCGCAATAGCGTGCGAGTAAAACAGCCCAAGTCGCGCGTACTATTGTGGCTTTCGTGATGGCGGGGTTAGCCGAAGCAGGAACTTGGATTGTCCTGCTGGCGACTCGTGAGGGTCCCTTTGACATGGAAGTTGGCTTGACTGGAGGATAAGATGCCTTGCTAGCTCCTTGAAGCTGCTGATTCCAGTAATTGGCCGTATGTGGAGAATTGATATCCGTAAGATACCGAATAAAACCTGAGTAGGGCTTAAGGGCGGGCAAATCCAAGTTATAATAAATACTCTGGAAAGTAGTCATTATCAGACGAACAGTCCAGCCATCGTGAACTGCGTGATGAATTGTCCAGAAGAAGTATTTGTCCCCATTGTCATCATCAACCAAGAGAATTTGAGAAAGACGAGAACCATAGGTCATCTCAGTCTTCTGAGCCGCCTTGGCTGTGCTGATGGCATCCATGTGTTCTTGAGGCTGCCAAACAGAACCGTCTTTGATAACAATCTGTACGCATTTGCCATCGATGAGAACTATTCTAGTACGCATGGTTGTACACAACGATACAGTACGTTCCCAGGCGTCCCTGAAGCGGGCGATATCAACTTCTTGAGACACTCGGTAGGCATATTTTGCGATATATGAGCCCGGCTGCTTCACCGAAAGAGCCATTAGACCTTCTTGGAATGTGGTGGTCGGGTAGGCATCTTCGACTTCTTCGTTAATTGCCAAGCCGCAAAAGCTTCGGACTTCATCGCTGACAGCCAGTTGGTGTACCGTAGTATCAATAATGGAGAATGGAGTAGTGTTGATGATGGATATCTGCCCGTCTTCTCCAGCCTCTCGAGATTTGCTAGCAACAGCAGATAGACGAGGATCGTCAAATATTTCCTTAACAGAAAGTGATACGCCGGACTCTCGGGCGGCACTAACCATGTGGATAGCGGTTATGGAATCGCCACCAAGGCCCAAGAAGCTATCATCACGACCTATAGATTCGATCGGAATTCTAAGTAGCTCAGACCAAAGCTTCTGGAAGAAAACTTCCATTGGAGTTTCCGGTGACCGTTTCTTGCCATTGAGGAGAGAATATTGGGCGATTTGCGCCATGTCCAGTACCTCAGTAAGCTTCTTCAGCTTATTACGGTCAAGCTTGGTCGAGGTAATGAAAGGCATATAACTGCAAGGGACGAACATGGCCGGAACCATATACCGAGGCAGTGAAATGCGGAGCTGACCAACAACTACTGCTAATCGAGACTGCAAATCTTCGCTAATTGGCAAGAATAGGCTGTCAGAAGCATCATCGCTAGTGTCTGCAGTTCGAGTCTCGTCACTGAAACAGAAGTATGCGACAAGGTTTGTACCATTTTCGCCCTTATATACGTCGACAGAGACTTGCCTGGCCGTCGGAAGTGCCTGCTGGATATGATACTGGACCTCTCCAAGCTCTACACGTAAACCACGGATCTTTATTTGGGTGTCTTTACGCGTTGCGAATTCAATAGTGCCATCTTGGTTGTAATAGCAGAGATCGCCAGACTTGTAGAATTTGTTCCAGTGTTTAGAATTAGGGCGGGGTGCCCAGTTGGGAAGATCATACACTGTGGAAGACCGAGTCTGTTCAGGATCAGATAGATATTCCCGTAATAGGGTCGGACCTTGAATAACAACCTCTCCAATTGTTCCAGTCGGAGCTAGACGATGAGGGTCTTCTGGATCAACAACCCAGCAGAAACCACCGACTGGCTTACCAACTGTAAGAGGAGACTCGTTAACTGACTTCCACTCGTGGAGTGTTGAAAATACACAGGTTTCAGCAGGCCCCCATCCGTTGATTAAACGAACCTTGCCAAACCAGGTGGCTAAAACGTCCCTTGGGACGGCCTCGCCGGCAAGTAAAACAAGTTCAAGTCCTTGAACTTCTGCCGGATCAATTGTCCGGATGAATGAAGGCGTAAGGAAGGTCCAATTGATCTCCATTTCTCGAATAAACTGCGTAAGGCTATTCATCCTGGTATGCTCCGACGGTACGCACAAACAAGCGCCTGTTATTAACGGCGCAATTATCTCTCCGATAGAAAGGTCAAACACAAAGGCAGCGAATTGTAACATGCGTATATCGTGCGTTAACCCAAGTCTTTTGACGATAGCTGTCTGAGATGTACACACAGAGCCGTGCTGCATGACGAGACCCTTCGGTACACCCGTTGATCCAGAAGTGAACAAAACATAGGCAGCGTTGTCTGAAGTCACAGTCGTTGCCGGTCCCATTTCGCTGTTTTCCTCAAGTTTAGATAGCTGTAGATCAAGTTCTGCGCTTACGGTTACCACAAAATTGACTAAACCAGACATCAAATCTCTATTTGCCACCGAAGTAAGCGCAATCGTGGCACGTGTCTGAGACACTACCTGTCGAAGCCGCTGTTCCGGATGAGTAGGATCAAGGGGCACCCAAGCAGCGCCTGCTTTATTGATAGCCAAGATAGAAACAAAGAACCAAGCTGACTTCTCGAAGCAGACGTGTATTAGGTCGTCTGTTTTGATGTTATAACTGGCCGTAAGATAATTAGCGAGTCGGTTAGAGGCACGATTGAATTCAGAATAGGTCAAGTCCATGTCCCACGCCCTAATCGCCATTGCATCAGGTCGAATTTCAGCTTGGTTCTCAATGAGCTGATGAACGCAAGAGTCCATAATATCGGGGATTTCGGAATTAAATTTAAGACATTGTGCGACATCCCATTCGGAAGCGATAGAGATTGATTCCAGGGCCGATTGAGGTTCAAGAACCAACTGCTCAACAACATGTTTAAATTGCTGGGAAAGGGCGAAAAGTTGGGCTTCTGGCAGAGCGACAGAGTCGTAGATTAATACAAGATTGATGAAGTCCTCCTGTAGATGCGCTTGGATGACCAATGGATAGGAGAAGTAATTTTGTATGCCTTCCTCCTTACTTTCAACCACAGATGCAGGAGCAGCAAGTAGAGTCTCTTCGTCCTCGTTATTATAGATGATAGTTTTCATTGGCTGAATGACAAGAAGTGATGAAAAGTCGCAAGCATCCTTCGCGTCTGCACTTAATTTACCGATATTCTGAAGGCCAAACTGCTCGTAGGGAAGCATTTTCGTAGCTTGACCTTGAATGTCTTCAAGGAAGTCATCTACAGACTTCTGCTGATCTAGACGGACTCGAATTGGCACCGTTGCGATAACTGGTCCCGGCATCTCCATCAAACCCGAAACAGGGGCTTGTCTACCCGAGATTGTCGTTCCGAAACAAACGTCATCTGTATCGCAGTATCGGGCAAGGACTATGGCCCAGGCTGCGCGGAGGATAGTGGCTTTGGTGACGCCCACAGTGGTTTGAGGCAAATCAATTCTCGTTTCCATGAATCGTGTCATGTCGCTCTTGTCAGACGCATCAATAGAAGAAGTAGACGGGAACGTAGCCTTCTTGACGTCGTGAAGCTCCCTCATCCAATACTCGCTGGCATCTTGATAACTCATATCCATCGTATATTTGACGAATCTAGCATAATTTTCGACTTTGGGCATTTCGAGACCTCTATAAGCGCTGTGTAGCGCGCCAAGAATGATGGGCGTTGTCCAGCCGTCGAAGACAGCGTGATGAATGCTCCACAAGAACTGGATATCCTGGCCTTCTTCCTCGATCAGTGCGTAACGGCACAGGCGAGAGCCATAGCCCATTTCTGTCTCTTTAGTAGCGTGTAGATATGATATTAATGTCATGCCGGTAGTATTCTCCCAGGCAATATCGTCCTTGATCACAGTTTGAATTGTCATGCCGTGAACATTGACAATCCGAGTACGCATATTGGCACAGAGTCTGACAGTTTGTTCCCAAGCATTCTTGAATCGGGCTACATCAACGCTAGCAGGTAGGCTATAGTTGAATTTGGCAACGTATGAGCCCGGTTGCTTTACAGCCAAAGCCATCAGACCTTCTTGCAGCTTCGAGCAGGGGAACGCATCTTCGATTTCCATATCAGTTTGTAACTGAAGATTAAATGAGTTGCTACGAATAATGCCACGATGAGCCTCATCAATGAGGGTAAATGGCTCAATGACAGCAATTTCTTCATTCTCTTCACTCAGGCTCGTCGCTTTCGCCGCAATAGCAAAGAGTCGGGGGTCACTGAATATATCGTCAAAGCTAATGGAGACGCGGCTCTCACGGGCCTTGGAAACAAGACGAATAGCTGCGATAGAGTCACCGCCGATTCTCAAGAAATTATCGTCTCGACCGATTGAAGTAGGAGGCATATTCAGAACAACGGCCCAAAGGCTTTGCAAGATGTGCTCCATCTGAGTCTCTGGTTGCTTTTTATCGCCACCGGTAAGAGCGTATTCTTCCAGTTGTTCTTTGGCTAGCGAAGTGGTAAGCTTTAACAAAAGCTTTCTATCGAGTTTACCAGACGTGACGAGCGGCATTGCCTTGCAAGGAACAAACAGCGTGGGGACCATATATCCAGGCAAGACAACATTAAGTTGACCCAGCAGACTGGTAATGTTATCTTTAAGTTCGCCCGTTAATTGTAAGACAATATCATCTCTTGTTAGATCGCTAGTCATGCTAGCCGGAAGGGTCTCGTTATTGAAGCAGACATAAGACACAAGATTGACACCAGCGTCAGTCTCGAACACAGCCACAGCGACCTGTTGGACGCCATCAAGATTTTGGCGGATATGATGCTCAACTTCGCCCAATTCCACACGCAAACCTCGAATCTTGACTTGTGTGTCTTTTCGGCTGTAGTATTGGATGGTTCCGTCTGTATTATACTTTGCCAAATCACCTGTCTTATAGAACCTGTTATAGTGGCGGGAGTGACGATAAGGAGCCCAATCAGGAAGACTAGCAACAATTGATGAGGCAGTCTTATCTTTGTCCATAAGATATTCGCGAAGCAAATTAGGTCCTTGGATGACAACCTCACCAAAAGTGCCGGTTGGGGCTAGCTTGTGCGGATCTTCAGGATCAACAATCCAGCAGTGACCACCAAGTGGCCGCCCAATTGTCATATGCGATTCGTTTAAGGACTTCCATTCATGCAAAGAGCCAAAAACACACGATTCTGTAGGACCCCAGGCGTTGAATAGACGCAGTTTGCCAAACCAAAGCTCGAAAACATCCCGGCCGACAGCTTCACCACCAAGGATTAAGACCTCCAAGCAAGGGACTTCGTGCGGATTTATAGTGCGGGCAAGAGAAGGAGTTATCAGTGCCCATGTAACGTTTTCCTCGCAAATGTAGCTTGCTAGTGAATTCATTTGCGTGTTCCAAGACGGAATGCAAACACAGGCGCCTGAAATTAGCGGGGCGAATATTTCAGCAACACTGGCGTCAAACATAAATGAGGAAAATTGAAGCATTCGGACACCAGGAGCATGGCCGAGTTTCCTGCTATAGGATGTTTGACTGCTACAGAGAGCTCCGTGTTCTATAACCACGCCCTTGGGGACACCAGTTGATCCAGAGGTAAAAAGTATATAAGCCACATCTTGAGGCGTAACTTCAGTCAACGGCTCACTGTCGTTATATTGCTCTGCCAAGGTATCAACAAATTCTTCTGTCACCTCTAAAACGTGGGCCACTAGATTGATAAATTTGTTAAAATTGGCTGCGGAAGTGAGAGCTAATTTTGATTTAGTGTGGCCAATAATTTGCTGGTGGCGCTCAGCAGGATGTGATGGGTCGAGAGGAATCCAAGCAGCTCCAGCTTTGTTGATTGCCAAAATCGAGACCACATACCAAGCCGACTTCTCGAAACACACATGAACAAAGTCGCCAAGCTCTACGCCCATGAATCGACTGAGATAATTTGCCAATTTATTCGCAGAACGATCTAATTCGGCGTAGGTAAATATAGCATCCCAAGCGCTTATAGCTTGAGCGTTGGGATTGATCAGGGCTTGTCGCTCAATCAGATTATGAATACAGTCATCAATAACAGCGGGTTCATCATGGTTTGCGGCTCGTGAGAATTGCAAATCCCATTCGCTTGCCACTGAAATGGTGGATAGAGAGCTATCGCCCTGTCTAAGCAGTTGAGAAACCACGTATTCGAATTGGTGAGACAGGCCAATGAGCTGGAGTTCAGCAATAATGTCGCAATCGTAGACGAGGGCAAAATTGACGCTGTCATCGAGCAAATTACACTGCAGAACCAAGGGATAATTGAAATAGTTGTCTAGCATCTCAGCAGTTTGAATATCCTCAGCTGCAGCAGCAGTGAGAAGGGCCTCTCCCTCTTCGCTGCCAGTGGATGTGATATGCTGGACGGGCTGCACGACTAACAAGCTAGTAAAATCGCAGGCCTCCTTAGCTTGGGCATTCAGTTTGGAAATGTTTTGGATGCCGAATTGCTCATAAGCAACCATCTCAGAGGCTTGTGACTGGATACTGTCCAAGAAGCTATCTAGAGATTGCTCCTGATTAAGCTTAACGCGAATAGGAACAGTCGCAAGGACAAGTCCAGGCATCCGCTCTATTCCAGGGACAGGGGCATGGCGACCAGAAACAGTAGTTCCAAAGCAAATATCATCAGAATTATTGTACCGTGCTAGTACAATGGCCCAGGCGGCTCGGAGGATAGTTGCTTTCGTGATTGACGTGTTGGTAGAATGTGGGAAGTCAATTGTCTTGTGCATCACACGAGTCGAATTTTCCATCTTTTTGCTTTTGATTGCTTCACTTCCAGGAGGGAATATGGCTTTCCTGGCGCCAGAAAGCTGTTTAGTCCAATATTCGCTGGCAGCACTGCAGTCTATATCCATCACATACTTCACAAAGCCAGCATATGGGAGAAGTGAGGGAATATTAGTACCACGGTAGAACGCGTGAAGCGTACTCATTATCAGCGGCAAAGTCCATCCGTCGAAAATGGTGTGGTGGATGTTCCAAGCGAAATACTTTTCTCCATCCTGTTCAATAATAGCATATCGGCAGAGAGGAGAACCATAGCCCACTTCGGAATTTTCCGCGGACATGATGAATGAGCGGAGATCGGAAGATGCATGCCACTCAACAGGGTCTTTAATGACGGCCTGGTAGGCAGAGCCATCAACAAGGACGATTCGCGTCCTGAGTGCTGCACAAGCTTCAATAGTCTGGTCCCAGGCATGCTTGAAGCGCTCGATATCGACACCAGCAGTAAGGCGGTATAGATGCTTTGCAACATATGATCCAGGCTGCTTGACAGCTAGAACCATCAGACCTTCCTGTAATCGAGTACAAGGATAGACATCCTCGATAATGGCGGTTTTAAATAGATCGGTGCACTGAGACCGCACTTCAGTAAATACTGTATCCATTAAAGAAGCAGGGATGATGCTGAAAGGCTTAGTCTCGTATACGGGCAGGATTTCACCAGTGTTGGCAGCTTCAGCCATGTCCGATAAGCGAGGATCGTTGAAGATGGTAGCCACTGTAAGTGCAATGTTGTTTCGCTGTGCCAAGGAGACGAGCTGAATAGCAGTGATCGAGTCTCCTCCAATGCGGAGAAAGCTGTCATTCTTACCAATAGACTCAGCATCAATCTGCAAAACCTGGGCCCAAAGTTCTCTGAGCTTGAATTCCAGAGGAGTGCTTGGTGGTTCACTCTTGCCAACAACAGGCGCAAATCGCAGGCGGTCATGTGTTGACAAATTATGGGCGTGAGAGAGCAGAGCATTGCGGTTGATTTTGCCATTAACCGTCTGTTCGGGTTTGCCCTCAAACAGTAGATAAGATGATGGAATCATGTAGGAGGGCAATACCATTCCAAGGGACGAGTCAATGTCGGAAATCGTAGAGCGAGCATCATCTGTGACGATTTCCATGAATTGAAGGATTGAGTGAGCGGCCATTTCGCCTTCCGTGTACCATAGGAAAGCGAACAAACTGTCATGCCCTTGCTCGTCCTTGACAACAGCCACGATAGCATCCATATTCTTTGGCAGGAACTCGTGGATACGTGACTCGATTTCGCCAAGTTCAACACGCTGACCATGAAGCTTAACTTGGGTATCTTTACGACCAATAAATTCGAAAGTGCCATCCGCGTTACGTCGAACTAAATCGCCAGTCCTGTAAACCATCTTCTTACTGTCCCCTGGAAGCCAGTCGACATTCTCTATCCAGTTAGACGCAACTTCGGCGGTGACGTTTAGGTATCCTCGAGCAAGCATTGGGCCTTCAATAAGAAGTTCACCGATGCATCCTACAGGGACAAGTCTCCTATTATCGTAAGGTTCAACTACCCAGAAAGCTGAAGAAATCGGCCTTCCAAGGTTAGTTGACCGGCCAATCTTACAAACAGCAGGATTCCAGGCGCAAATAGAAGCTTCCGCAGGACCGTATAAGCCGTGCAGCTCGGTGTGGCTGATCCAGCGGTCTGCACATCTCTTACTAATGGCCTCACCACCCAAACAGAGAACCTTGAGATCAGGAACGTCAGCTGGCGAGAGAAGATCCGCCACCGTAGGGGTAAGGAACACCCAGTTAGCTTTTGTCGCATTAATAGCTCCTGCAAGGTCATTAAGACGAGCGTGGTCTGACGGAATGCAAACAGTTGCGCCACGCATAAGGGAAACAAGACAGTCGAGTACGCCAACATCGAATGTGTAGGCAGAGAACTGGAATACGCGCGTGCCAGGTCTAATGTTAAGATCGCTGCCATAAGCATTACTAGATGAGCACAAACTGTTATGCTGAATAACCATTCCTTTGGGCTTTCCAGTTGATCCTGATGTGAATAGCACAACGCTTGCATTTTCTGGCCGCACCACAGAATTGGTAGCGGCTGCAGAATCGGATAGTTCAATCAATAGAGCCTCATCGACAAGGAACACCTCAATGCCGAGATGACGAGCAGCATCTTGGCAAGACGGGCTAGCAACAACTAGAGATGACTTGGTATCTTCAATGATACCACGAAGGCGAGCAACGGGTGCGTTGGGGTCGAGGGGGACAAAGGCACCGCCAGCCATTTGAATAGCAACCATTGCAACAACTGCCCACGTGGACTTTGGGAAGCATAGAGGAATGAGAGATTCAGGTCCAACGCCGAGCGCCTGAAGTCTCCACGCCAGGCGAGATGCAAATATACCCAGTTCTGCGTAGGTAAGGTTGCCATCCCAAGAAGCAATAGCGGGATCGCTGGGTTGCTCCTTAATGCGTTTTTGAATAAGCCAATGTGTGCATGACTCCGTAGAAGGCTTAAGTCGAGTAGATGCAAGAGCGTGCTGAACGTCCCAATCGCCAACCAGATTAATACTCTCAAGTGTGTCGTCAGTTTCACCCAAAAGCTGCTGCATAACATGGTCAATATGATTCGAGAGTGCAGATACCTGAGTCTTAGTTAAGACTTCGGAATCATAAAAGAAACGCTGAAGAACATGGTTCTCGAAAGGATTAATGATAATAACAAGGGGATAATTAAAGTAATTTTGCATGGCATCATCGGTGCGGCTCTGTTCCTCGTCGCCGTAGACCAAGATGTTGCTTTCAGCGTCCTGCTCTGAGACAGTGGTTGCAGGTGGCTGAATAACAAGCAAGCTCGAAAAGTCACAAACGTCTCTAGCATCGCGGCTTAGTTTAGAAATATTTTGGAGGCCGAATTGTTCATAGGGAACCATTTCATGTGCTTGATTTTGAATGTTAGCAAGGAATTGGAACTTGGTGATCGCGCGATCCAAGTGAACTCGAACAGGAATAGTTGCAATCATTGGGCCTGGCATAGTCTCTAAACCAGCAACCGGGGCATGGCGACCTGACACAGTAGTACCAAAGCTTACATCATCAGTGTCACAGTATCGCGCAAGAACAATCGCCCAAGCAGCCCTTAAAGTAGAAGCCATGGTGATGGTGGTCCGCTGAGACTGTCCCAATCTGATAGTGGACTTTAACATTTGCGTTGATGACGATGAACCGGTTTGGCGGGCTGGGAAAACAGCCCTCTTGGAGCCAGACAGTTGCTCTCGCCAGAAATCTGCTGCAACTGTATGATTTAGCTCCATGTTGTACTTGATAAACCCAGAATACGGCTGTAAAGCTGCAACCTCGCCGCCGAAATAAACGGTGAACAGGGTATTCAGCAATATGCGCATCACCCAGCCATCATATATCGAGTGGTGGGCTGACCACACGAAATATTTATTGTTATTATCTTCGAGTATTCCGTACCAACAGAGAGGTGCTCCATAGCCCATCTCCAAGTCGCGAGGAGAGTTGGTGATTGTGGCAAGTGTATCATTCTCTAGGGATTGCCATTGATTATCTTCCCTGAGGAGCAACTGTATTGGTGCTCCATTTAGCAAGACAATGCGCGTTCGCATGTTACCACAAAGCTCCACGGTGCGACTCCACGCGGCTTTGAAACGATCTGTATCGACAGAATTATCAAGTCTGTAAACATATTTGGCAACATACGAGCCCGGTTGCTTCACCGTTAACGCCATCAGACCTTCCTGCAGTGAAGTGCAGGGATACGCATCTTCAATGATGTGATTATCAAGAAGGCTGTTAGACGTGCGGAATTCACCACCGAGCACCAGGGCACGAGTCTGTTCGTTCAAAAGACTGAACGGGGCAATGTGCTCCTGTTGCCCCTTGTCTTCCTCCAAAAATACTGCCTTGGATGCGACAGCGAGTAGCCGAGAGTCATCAAAGATGTCCTTGATTACGAATGAGATTCCCGCTTCGCGCGCCTTTGACACAAAGTAAATCGCAGTGATAGAATCGCCACCAATCTGAAGGAAGCTATCGTCACGACCAATGGATTCAATGGGAAGATTAAGTATTTCGCTCCAGATAGCCTGGAGGAGAGTTTCCATCTCCGTCTGGGGTATGCGCTTCTTGCTATTAATAAGCGAATAGTGCATTAGTTGATCCCTATCAAGAGAGGCTGTCATTTCCTTGAGTGTCTTCCTATCCAATTTTGTGGAGGTAATATAAGGCATGAATTTGCAGGGAATAAACATCGTAGGGATCATATAGCGCGGAAGAGTTACACCGAGCTCGCCGACCATAGCAGTAACGTGATTCTGGACGTCGTTGTCGAGAGGGAGATATATATCGCTGGCTTTGAGGTCTGACGAGACAGACTGAGAATCGTCATTAAAGCAGATATATGAAACCAGGTTCGTTCCTGTTTCTGATTTCAGAACATCAACAGCAACCTGCTTGACACCTTTGAGTGATTCGCGAATATGGTGTTCAACTTCGCCTAATTCCACACGAAGACCACGGATTTTAACCTGGGTATCTTTACGGCTGTAAAACTCAAGCGTACCATCAGGGTTGTAGAAGCACAAGTCGCCCGACTTGTAAAAACGGCTCCAGAAGTGAGGGTTAGAGTCTTTCTTCGGCACCCATGACGGCAATGCAGTAATAATAGACTCTTTATTCTTCTGGGGATCAGCGAGGTATTCGCGGAGTAGTGTTGGACCCTGTAAGACGACTTCACCTAAACAACCAATTGGTGTTAACTTATTCGAGTCTTCCGCATTAACAATCCAACATTGCCCTCCAACCGGTCGTCCGATTGTTAAAGGTGACTCATCAATGGAAGACCACTCGTGCAAAGTAGAGAACACACAAGTTTCAGCAGGCCCCCAGCCATTAATCAGCCGTACCTTACCGAACCATGCGTCAAGAATATCCCTTCCCACAGCCTCGCCGGCTAACAGCAATAGCTTAAGACTAGGTACGTCTTCAGGCTTTAACGTTCGAACGAAAGAAGGCGTTAGGAAGGCCCAATTAATGTTTCTGTCCAGGATGAAATCCTTTAGACTATTTATTCTTATCTCTTCTGATGGCACACATACGCAAGCTCCGCTGATTAAAGGAGCCACAATCTCACCAATAGAGAGATCAAAGACATAGGCAGCAAATTGAAGAATTCTGACGTCTGGAGTTAAACAAAGCCTCTTGGCGATAGCAGTTTGACTCGTGCAGACAGCGTTGTGCTGCATAACGAGACCCTTTGGTGTTCCTGTGCTACCCGAAGTGAAGAGAATATAGGCAGCGTTGTTTGGCGATACGTTGACAGCGGGGTTACCGAGACCATTGTGAATTATAAAAATGTCATCAATGAGACTGAAGGAGACTTCGATGACATGATCAACTAATTTGCTGCAGAGAGCAGCGTTGACGGGTGACGAAAGAGCTACTTTGGCCAGAGTCTGGCCCACAATCTGCCGCAGACGTTCTTCAGGGTGAGATGGGTCAAGCGGTACCCATGCGGCGCCAACTTTGTTAATTGCAATTATGGAAACGAAGAACCAGAGAGACTTCTCAAAGCAGACGTGGACTAGATCGTCAGTCTTGATACCTGCCTTGAGTATATGATGGGCTAGTCCATTAGCAGCCTCGTTGAGTTGGTTGTAGCTCATCTGGCCATCCCAGGCGCAAATAGCTGGTGCTTCTGGTCTGATGCGTGCTTGTTTCTCTATAAGGCTGTGAATGCAGGTATCCAGGATTTCGGGATCTTCAAGATTCCATCTCTTCGCTTGCTCAAGATCCCATTCGCCGGAAATGGTGACAGAGCTAAGAGCATCATTAGACTCATGAACTAGCTGGTTTGCAACAACATCAAATTGATGAGATAGGGCCTGCATTTGGACTTCTGACAAGACTGTCGAGTCATATGTAAGAAGAAGCTCGATGGAACTGTCAAAGATATGTCCTTGTATCACGAGAGGGTATGTGAAATAGTTCTGCATTAGTTGTTCACCGCTTCTTACTTCGGTCGCTGGCGTTAGGAGGGGATCAGAAGATTCCTTGCTTCTAATCAAATCCAAATGAGTTCGGGGTTGTATAACAAGAAGAGAAGAGAATTCGCAAGCATCTCTCGCATCTGCGCTCAATTTAATAATATTTTGGAGACCGAATTGCTCAAACGCAATCATCTCAGTTGCTTGAGACTGAATGTTGCTAAGGAAGTGGGAAACTGATTGACTAGCATCAAGGCGAACACGAATCGGGACTGTTGCCACAACTGGACCTGGCATTTCAGTAAGACCGTTTACAGGAGCTTGACGGCCAGAGACAGTGGTTGCGAATGTGATATCATCGGAATCACAGTAGCGAGCAAGAAGAATTGCCCAGGTAGCACGAAGAATAGTAGCCTTTGTGGCAACAGTCTTGACGGATGGAGGGAAAGATATCGTCTTATTCATCATACGAGTGATACCACTATGGGATTCAATCCGAGGCATTGGGGGGTAGGTAGCACGCTTAGCATTTCGCATCTGCTCGCGCCAGAAGTTGCTGGCCTTGTCTGTATTGATATTAACCGTGTAGCGGATGAAGGAGGAGTAGGGCAGAAGTCGAGGAGGCTCTTGGTTCAAGTATACACTGTAGAGCGTGTTCATGATGATTCGAATCGTCCAGCCATCATGAACAGCATGATGCGACGCCCAGACGAAGTGATGGCCAGACTCAGCATCCTCAACCAATGCATAACGGTTGAGACGAGAACCGTAAGTCATCTCAGAACGAGTCATATCGATAGCACCCTGTAAATTTGTTGGATATGTGTCATCCCACTCAGCGGGCCCGTCAATCAATAACTGAACGCAAGTATCATCAATGATGATAATGCGGCTTCGAAGATTAGCGCAAAGCTGGAGTGTTCGCTCCCAAGCAGCTTTAAACCGGACGAGATCTACGCTACCCGACAACTTATACACGTACTGTGCGACGTAAGAACCACGCTGTTTGACAGACAAAGCCATGAGCCCTTCTTGTAATTTTGAACAAGGGTAGGCATCTTCGACAGTTTGACTCGGGGATAATGATATCTGAGATCGTATATCATCACTGTGAACCATAGCACAGAAATGATCAGATAGTAAACTGAATGGAATAACCGACATATCTTCATCAACTGCGTCAAGGGCGTGAACCTTGGAAGCAACTGCAGATAGACGAGGGTCGTCAAAAATTTCCTTTACAGAGATGGAAAGCCCAGCCTCGCGACACGCAGTGACGAGATGGATGGCGATGATTGAGTCTCCTCCCAATCCAAGGAAGCTATCATCGCGGCCAATAGAGTCGGTCGAAATTGATAATATTGCCGACCAGATCTTTTGTAGTTGATATTCCATAGGAGTTACGGGCATACGCTTACTGACCCCATATAGCGAAAACCTGTTTAATTCGGATTGGCTGAGAGCTGCTGTGTGTCTTTTAAGCTCCTTTCGGTCAAGTTTAAAAGATGTTATGCTGGGCATGTAACTGCATGGGATGTAGAATGTAGGAATCATATAACGTGGCAAAGCCGCGCTTAATTCACCTACAGCCTCAATAAGCGTCTCTTGAAACTCAGCATCGGAGGGGGCAAATGGGCCATTGGCATCAGCTTCGTGAAGTTGTCTCATCTCGTCGTTGAAACATAGGTATGCTACCAGATTAGAGCCGTTGTCTGTTGTTAGAACGTCTACAACAATCTGGCGGATTGCTTTAAACGAGGTTTGGACGTGATACTCAACCTCACCAAGCTCGACACGAAGACCACGAATCTTAACCTGCGTATCCTTGCGGGATGAAAACTCGATCATGCCGTTGGTATTATAAAAGCATAAGTCACCGGTCTTATAAAATCGGTTCCAGTTGTCTTTATCCGGACGGGGCGCCCATTCTAGTAAATTATTCGTGACTGTTTCCCGCGTCTTTTGAGGGTCACCGAGATACTCGCGAAGTAAAGTTGGTCCCTGGATCACTACCTCCCCAAGAGTCCCGATTGGTGCAAGACGCTGAGGGTTATTTAGATCGACAATCCAGCAGAAACCACCAACAGGGCGGCCAATGGTTAAAGGTGGCTCATCAACAGATTCAAATTCATGAATACTGCTAGCGATAACTGTTTCTGCAGGGCCCCAGCCATTCAGGAAGCGAACGCGACCAACCCAGGTCTCCAAAACATCTCGTGGCAAAGCCTCGCCTGCTACAAAAACCAATTCCACGCTCGGAACGTTGCTGGGGTGAATAGTACGCAAGAAGGATGGTGTAAGATAGAGACAGTTGATGTTCATGTCCCGGATGAAGTCGACTAGGCTATTCATGCGTGCGTGTTCGGAAGGGACACATATGCAGGCCCCTTGGAGTAATGATAAGATAATCTCCATAACAGAGAAATCGAATACATACGCGGCAAATTGTAGAATACGGGCTTTTGAGCCATGGCGGACTCTTTTAGCAATTGCGTTTATATTTGTGCATAAAGAACCGTGCTCTATCATGAAGCCTTTAGGCGTGCCAGTTGAACCTGAAGTGAAGAGAACATACGCCACAGCTCGCGAAGTGATATTGACTTCGGGACTATTGAATCCGTCTTCTTTCGGGAGCATATTGTCGAGGTCTGAAGTTACCTCAATGACGTTGTCAACTAAGCCTGAGCAGAGGGCCACGTTGCCTGGTGAGGCTAAGGCCAGGGTGGCCTTAGTTTGGCTGATAATTGATCGTAATCGTTGCTCTGGATGTGAAGGGTCCAATGGGACCCAAGTTGCACCCGCCTTGTTTATTGCGATTATTGAGACTGTGTACCATGCTGATTTTTCAAAGCAAAGATGAACAAAATCGTGGGGCTTGACGCCGTAAACGTTGATGAGGTAATGAGCCAACCTGTTGGCTGCTATATTAAGCTCGCCATAGGTATAATTTCCATCCCAGGCAGCAATAGCTGGAGCCTGTGGACTCAAGTTGACCTGTTTTTCAAACAAGTCATGCATGCAGGCATCAATAACTTCCGGTATCTCAGAGTTAATATCCATAGCCTTCTGGACATCATATGGTGAAGAGATTGAGACTGTTTCTAGAGTAGCAGGCTTATTGGTAGTTAGTTGCGTCATTACATGACTGAAGTGGTGAGATAATGCAACTAATTGAGCTTCGGGAATGATGTTCGAGTCATAAATGAGCGTTAAGTCTACATGATTATCATATAAGTGACCCTGAATCATAAGGGGATAAGAGAAGTAGTTCTGAAGAGCACCATCCCCACTAATGCCGGTGTCAACGAAGATACTATCATCGTTACTCATGCCACCAAGATGTTGCATAGGATGAACGACTAGAAGGCTGCTAAAGTTGCATGCATCGCGTGTATCGTCGCTTAATTTAGCGATATTTTGAAGACCATATTGTTCAAAGGCGACCATCTCCACAGCCTGTCTTTGAATACCTGCAAGGAAATCAGAGACAAGCTGCTGGCGGTTAATACGTACACGGACCGGCACAGTGGCGATTATAGGGCCAACCATTTCTAAAATGTCTGGGATGGGCGCCTGTCGACCGGATATAGTAGTACCAAACGTCACATCATCTGAATCGCAGTATCTAGCAAGGACAATAGCCCAAGTTGCTCGGAAGACTGTAGCCATTGTAATGGCCGAGTTTTTCATGCTTGAGGGGATCTCAATAGACGTTTGCAACACTTTAGTAGCAGCATCTTTGGGGTGAGAAACATCGCTTGTTGGCGGGAATATCGCCTTTTGGGCGTTGTGAAGCTGCCCTTTCCAGTAGTTGACCAAAGTATCCTCTTCGAGTTGAAGGGTGTATTGGATAAATCGAGCATATGGCGGGAGAGGCGGAACGTCAATACCCCTGTAAACCTTGAATAGCGTATTCAGGATATTCTGCGTTGACAGACCATCAAAGACAGCATGATGCATATGCCATATGAAGTATGTATTGTTGCCATCTTGAATAAGTGCATACTGGCAAAGCCGTGAACCATATCCCATCTCAAGAGATTGAGATTGGACGAGACATGACTGTAGATTGTCGTCGATTTCATCCCAGGTAATATCGCCATGAATGACGACTTGGATGGAACGCCCTCCAGTTTGGATGATCCGCGTTCGTAAGGCGCTGGCTATCTCAACTGTGCGCTCCCAGGATACCTTAAATTTATTAACGTCAACATGTTCTGAAAGCTTGTAGACATATTTGGCGATGTAAGAACCTGGCTGCTTTACAGCGAGAGCCATGAGACCTTCTTGGAGACTGCTGCAGGGATAAGCATCTTCGATGAATTGACCATCAGCAAGAGCATGTGTCAGAACAAGATCTTCAACATTGGTAGGCAAAAGACTGAATGATTCAATTGCCGCCACAGCATTGCCACCTTCGCCCTCGTCAATAGCTTTAGCAGCGACCGAACTCAGGCGGGCATCATCAAAGATATCGTTCACCGTAAGGCCAATTCCGACGTCGCGGGCCATTGAAACAAGTTGAATAGCAGCAAGCGAGTCACCACCAATGCGCATAAAATTATCGTGTCGGCCAATTGAACTTTCCGGCAAATCTAGAATCTCAGCCCAGAGCTGCTGGAGACGAACTTCCATCTCGGTCTGGGGTTCTTGTTTCTCATTATCCAGCAAGGAATAAGTTTCCAATTGGTCTTGACTAAGCTCGGTGGTTAAACTTCGAAGCTTAACACGGTCCAACTTGGAAGACGCAATGAAGGGCATGTATTCACAAGGAATAAACATAGTCGGAATCATGTATGTTGGTAGTACAGAGTTTAGCTCGGTAAGCATCTTGTCCAGCTTAGATTTCAGCTCGGTACCGATAGCCAAGAATAGGTCTTTGCCTTCAAGACCAGTACTCTGAGCTGGAGTCTTCGTAACATCAGAAAAGCAGAAATAAGCAACCAAGTTAGCCCCCTTTTCGGTTTTGAAGACATCGACAGCAACCTGGCGAACGCCCTCCAAAGAGCCTTGAATGCGGTGTTCAACTTCGCCTAACTCAACACGCAATCCACGAACCTTGACCTGCGTGTCTTTTCGGCTAGCAAAATGAAGTATGCCATCATGATCGTAAAAACCCAAATCACCTGTTTTATAAAATCGGTTCCATAACCCAGATTGGCGTTGAGGAGCCCACTCAGGAAGCTCAGTCACTGTAGCAGTAATTGTTTTCTCAGGGTCCGCGAGATACTGCTTGAGGAGAGAAGGACCTTGGACAACAATTTCGCCTAAACAGCCAGTGGGCGCAAGTCTCTGAGGGTTGTTAGCATCAACAACCCACACATGCGCGCCAACAGCCCGGCCAAGCTTCATGGGAGACTCGGTATTTGAGTGCCATTCGTAAAGTGAACTAAAAACGCAGGTCTCTGCAGGACCCCAAGCATTAATAAATCGTGTATTGGGAAGACCGAACCAAGCGTCGAGTACATCTTGAGTTGTAGCCTCGCCAATAAGAAGTAGCAGCTTAAGATTGGGGAAATCTTTGGGTTTCAAGGTCCGAGTGAATGACGGTGTCAGATATGCCCATGTGACATTGAAGTCGCGGACGAAGCCATCAAGGCTATTAAGGCGCATGTGATCTGATGGAACACATACGCAAGCACCGTTCATTAGAGACTGCATGATTTCGCCCACTGACACATCGAAAACAAACGATGAGAATTGCAGCATTCTAACAGTGTGGTCAAGACCCAGCCATCCACTGATTGCTGCTTGGCTTGTGCAAAGTGCTCTGTGTTGCATCACAATACCCTTTGGCATACCGGTAGATCCCGACGTGAATAAAATGTAGGCAGCGTCGGCAGGGGTTACATTAATATCCGGCCCCTTTTCGCTAATGCCGTATGAATTCAAAAGCTCGCTGTCCATTGCAGATGAAACTTCAACTACGCATTCCACCACTTGCTCACAGAGGCTTGTGTTGACAGTTGAAGCAAGGGCCAACTTGGCATCAGTTCGACTAGCAACAGCTTGGAGTCGCTGGAGAGGATGCGAAGGATCAAATGGAGCCCAAGCAGCGCCGGCTTTATTGATTGCCAGAATAGCCACGACATACCACTTGGACTTCTCAAAGCAAACATGCACAATGTCGCCAATGCTGACTCCATAGTTATTAACGAGGAGGCGCGCCAATCTATTAGCTGCGCGGTCTAATTCACCATAGGTAAACTGTCCGTCCCAGGCATTAATAGCAGGTGCATTCGGTCTCCGTTCAACTTGTCTCGTAATAACATGATGAATGCAGTCATCAATGATCTCGGGTCCAGCACCATTAGATTTCTGGGCAAGCTCTAGATCGAATGAACCAGCAACTGAAATATCTCCCAGCTTGCCATCACTTTCCTTCGTCATCAATTGCTGTACAACGTTGCTAACGTGGTGGCAAAGAACGGTCGACTGTGGCTCGGAAATAACTGTAGGATTATAGATCAAAACGAGGTCGGCATGGTCATCGTAAACATGACCCTGGAGAACCAGAGGGTAGTTATAATAGTTTTGAACCAAATCCTCAAGCTCTACCTGAACGGGGGTCAAAAAGGCATCATTTGACTGCATGCCGAATTCTTGTCGTTGGACCGGTTGGATTACCAAGAGTGATGTAAAATCACAAGCATCTCTTGCATCACTGCCTAATTTAGCAATAGTTTGAAGACCATACTGCTCATATGGCACCATTTCGTGAGCTTGGTTTTGGACATCCTGTAAGAATTGAGAAATTCTCTGATCTTTGTCAAGCTGCACGCGAACTGGGACAGTTGCAACTGCCGGGCCGGCCATGTCTAGAAGGCCATATACAGGTGCTTCTCTGCCAGAGATTGTAGCTCCGAAGCAAACATCATCACTTTCGCAATATCTTGCAAGAATAATTGCCCAGGCAGCTCTTATAATGGTAGCCTTCGTGGCGACACTCCTGGATGATGTCGAAAATTTCACAGAAGTAGATATGGTACGAATCTTCTGTTCAGTGGCAGTAGATCTCGGCGCGAGATCGGTCTTTGGGAAGCTGGCCCGCTTGGCATTTTGAAGCTGGGTTCTCCAATAATTACTCGCAGCTTTCTGTTCAAGTTCCATGGTGTACCTGATGAAGCCCGCGTAATCCTTGGGAAGTCCCAGTTCGAGGCCCTTGTAGGCCTGACCGAGTGTATTAAAAATCACAGAGACAGCCCAGCCATCGTGTATTGAGTGATGGATCGTCCATAAAAAGTACTTGTCACCGGATGTGGACTCATGGATAGAGTATCTGGATAGAGGCGTGCCGTACGTCATGGTATACGAGTGAGTAACGCGAACAGCGTCATTCAGATCCGTAGAATCTTGGTAATCCCAAGCAATGCCCTCCTTGACTACCAGCTGAACGCAAGTATTGTTGACCATGATAATTCTGGTTCTTAAAGTAGGATGCCGGATGATGGTCTGCTCCCAAGCAGATTTAAAACGAGTAATATCAGCTTCCTGGGGTAGGCGGTAAACATATCTCGCAATATAGCTTCCTGGTTGGCTCGCGGATAACGCCATCAGACCTTCTTGAAGCTTGGTGCACGGATATGCGTCTTCAACGGTCTGGCCTGCGAGCAACTTGAGCTGCCGTGCGACACTGGAACCGACGACGATGTCACGGTTCTCAGGGCTGAGAAGACTGAACGGTGATATAGCCAGCGGCTGTTGTTGATCCTCAGCATCAAGTTCCTTAGCCTTATTGGCGACAGCCAGTAGACGTGGGTCACGGAAGATATCCTTTACAGCAAGATGAATCCCGTGCTCTCGAGAAATGCTCACTAGACGGATGGCTGTAATTGAATCACCCCCGAGCCCTAAAAAGCTATCATCACGACCAATGGCATCAACTGGTATGTCAAGAATCTTTGACCAGATACGTCGAATAAGATTCTCCATTCGCGTCTCGGGAGCCCTCTTTTTACCACTTAGTAGAGAAAACACAGCCAATTCAGACTTGGTAAGGGTCTCGGTGCAACGCCGAAGCTCGCCCCTATCGAGCTTGGTAGATGTGATAGAAGGCATATACTTGCAAGGGATAAACAGAGTTGGAATCATGTACCTAGGAAGAGCTACATTAAGCTCCCCTACAACAGCTGTCAGACGAGCTTGTAAATCCTCATCCAGCGGTTGAAATGGTCCAGAGGGATCGGCTTCGTGGATCTGGCGGGTTTCATCACTAAACGAGAAATACGCCACGAGGTTGGTGCCATTATCTCCCTTGAAGACGTCAACGGCGATTTGATGGGCACCATCTAAAGCGACCTGAACGGCATGTTCAACTTCACCTAATTCAACTCTTAAGCCACGTATCTTGACTTGTGTATCCTTGCGGCTGGAAAACTCAATAGTTCCATTAGGATTATACTTGCAAAGATCTCCTGATTTATAAAAGCGGCTCCAACTGGCCTGCTCGCGGAATGGTGCCCACTCGGGGAGAGATTCAACAACAGCAGCGTCGGTACGTTCTTTATCTGATAAATACTCGCGTAGAATCGTTGGGCCTTGAATTACAACCTCGCCTAAGATACCGGTTGGCGCGAGTTGAGACGGATTTTCTGGGTCAACTATCCAACAGAATGAACCCACGGGACGACCGACGGTAAGAGGACTCTCTTCAGCCGATTGCCATTCATGCAATGCACTAAAGCAACAAGTTTCGGCAGGACCCCATCCATTAATCAGACGGAGCTTGCCAAACCAGGTTGTGAAAACGTCTCGAGGAACGGCTTCACCCGCAAGTAGTAGAAGCTCTAGGTTAGACACCTCAGATGGTCTGATTGTACGAACAAAGGATGGTGTCAGATATGCCCAAGTAACAGCCTTTGTGTTGATGAAGTCAACGATGCCACTCATGCGGGTATCCTCTGATGGAACACATATACAAGCACCAGCGATTAGCGGTCCAACAATCTCGCCAATTGATAAATCAAAGACAAACGCAGCAAATTGCAACATTCGAACTTTTGAGTTTAGACCTAGTCTTTTGGCAATAGCTACCTGTGACGTACAGACGGATCCATGTTCCATAACAAGACCTTTTGGAGTTCCTGTGCTACCAGACGTGAATAGCACATATGCGGCGTTACGCGGAGAGATGCCCACAATAGGACCATACGCACTGGCTTCAGTTGCCAATAGCTTATTATCAAGCTCGGCGTTTACTTCGACTACTTCGCCAACGAGAGTAGCACATAGGTTGGAGTTGGCTGAAGATGACAGAGCCAGTTTAGCGCGGGTCTGGGAAACGACTTGACGGAGGCGTAATTCTGGATGTGAGGGATCGAGGGGAACCCAGGCAGCACCGGCTTTATTGATCGCAGTAATAGCGACAAAATGCCAAGCGCTCTTCTCGAAGCAGACTGGAACTAAATCTTCTGGCTTGATGTTATATTTACTGACAAGGAAATGTGCCAGCCTGTTGGACGCCTCGTTTAGTTGCCTATAGGTGAAATCGCGATCCCAGCTCACGATAGCGGGAGCATCTGGCTGAGCAGTAGCCTGGTGCTCAATTAACTGATGAATACAAGACTCAACCATATCGGGAATCTGGCTATTCTGCCTCATAGAATTGGCAAGGTCCCAGTCACTAGCCAAAGAGACAGAGCCTAGCTCCTGGTCTGATTGAGAAGCCAGCTGTTTCATGACTATTTCGAATTGGTGGGATAGGGCAATCATCTGGCTCTCTGGTAGCACATCCGCATTGTAAATCAGAACGAGATTGATGAAGCTTTCGTGCATGTGTCCTTGAATAACTAATGGATAGCTAAAATAATTTTGGACTGTGTCGCCAATTTCCTTTTCAACCTCTGCATGGACAAAAATAGCGTCTGCATTGTCATCCACATAGGACAGCGATTGTATAGGTTGAATCACAAGCAGACTGCTGAAACTGCAGGCATCTTTAGCATCAGAACTAAGCTTGGAAATATTTTGTAAGCCAAATTGTTCAAAGGGAATCATGTCGTTTGCCTGGCTTTGAATAGTTTGTAAATAATTCGCAATAGACTGGGTACGGTCCATGAGAACGCGGACCGGGACTGTCGCAATTGCAGGTCCGGTCATGTCTGCAAGGCCACGAACTGGCGCTTGCCTACCAGATATTGTGGTACCAAAGGTAACATCATCAGAGTCGCAGTATTTAGCTAACACAATGGCCCATGCAGCTCGAAGCATAGTAGCTTTTGTGACTGAAGTCTTGCCCATATTGGGCAGTTCAATCGCCTTCTCAAACGTGAGCGTGGTGTTTTTCTTCTTCTCATGCACCGACGATGGTGTTGCTGGGAAAACTGTTTGTCTTGCTCCTTGGAATTGAGCCTTCCAGTAATCAGCTGCAGCATTATTGTCAATATTCAGAGTGTACTGGACAAATCGTACATAAGGCTCTACAGCCACAGTACTTTGGTTGCGGAAGATGGAGTGAAAAATGCCCATAGCGACCCTTATTCCCCAACCGTCAAAAATGGCATGGTGCATAAATAATGCGAAATATGTTTCACCACTTTCTTCAATAAGGGCATATCGAGCCAACGTGGAGCCATAAGCCATCTCACAGGTTTCAGCGGCATGCATATAAGAACGCAAAGAGTGTTCATCAGTTGATTGCCAAGAAATATCATTTTCTAGGACCGCCTGGATGGAGATGCTATCGATATTAAAGATTCTAGTGCGAAGGTTGGGTAACAGGCGAACTGTCTCCTCCCAAGAGGCCTTGAAGTGTGAGATATTGACGTTACGGGAAATTCGATAGAGGAATTTAGCAATGTACGATCCAGGCTGCTTAACAGCGAGAGCCATGAGACCCTCCTGAAGTTTCGTACATGGATAGGCATCCTCAATTCCCCTATCCGTTGGAAGATTGTATTGACTTTGAATACTCTGGCTGAGAACGACACTTTTAAGGGAGTCGTCCAGAAGACCGAAGGGTTCAATATGAACCACTTCTTCGCCATCTTCACCAATCTCAGTGGCTTTGGACGCAATAGCCAACAGCCGTGGATCGTTGAAGATATCTCTGACGGTAATTCTGACGTTGGCGTCTTGAGCGACAGAAACGAGTTGAATTGCAGAAATAGAATCGCCGCCAATTTGAAGGAAGGAATCGTCACGTCCTATCGCGTCGATACTAAGATTCAAGACCTGTGCCCATAGTTTCTGAATGCGGCTCTCCATAGCTGTCTGCGGGGCGGTTTTCTCTTCGTTAGCGAGCGAGTAGACAGCCATTTCCTCTTGGCTAAGAGAAGCGGCCAGTTCCCTCAACTTCTTGCGATCTAATTTGGTTGAAGTCGCCAGAGGCATGTAGGTACATGGAACGAATGCACTCGGCACCATGTATCGGGGCATGAGGGTACCCAGAGTTCCTATCAGGCTACTAATTGTAGCCTGGAGATTTCCTTCAAGTGGCGAAAATATCACGTTTCCAACTGTCGCTTCATCAAGGCTCATGGGTTCTTTGGCATCAGAGAAACAAACGAAAGCGATGAGCGATGAGCCAGCATCAGATTTGACAACGTCTACAGCGACCTGTCGGACACCTTCGAGATTGGCCTGAATATGATGCTCAATCTCTTCAAGCTCGAGACGCTGCCCTCGAATCTTAACTTGGGTGTCTTTACGGGTACAATATTCTATATTTCCAGATTCGTTAATAAAGCCCAAGTCACCTGTGAGGTAGAAGCGATCCCAATGAAGAGAATCGCGCTGTGGAACCCATTGGGGAAGACCCGTAACAGTAGCGGTAGCTGTTTTGACAGGATCGGAGAGATATTCACGTAGCAGATTTCGGCCTTGTATAACAATTTCTCCAACAGTTCCTGAGGGTGCCATGCGTGTGGGATCGCCTGGATCGACAATCCAGCATGAGCCGCCGACTGGTCGACCGATAACCTTGGGCGATTCATTAACTGAAGTCCACTCGTGAATACATGCGATAACGCAGCATTCGGTTGGACCCCAAGCATTAAGAAGTCTGACCTTTCCAAACCATATATCGAGAATTTCACGTGTAGGAGCTTCGCCAGCAGCTAATAGCATGTCAAGGGAAGGAACATCCTCGGGGCGGATAGTTCGAGCCAGAGTCGGAGTCAGAAGCGCGCAGGTAATTTGATGTTTTCGGATATACTCTGTTAACTCGTTCATCTGTTCGTCCCATGAGGGAACAAAGAGACAAGCACCAGTGAGGAAGGTTGAGCCAATCTCAAATAATGCAGCATCAAATGAGTAAGACGAGAACTGAAGAACCCTAAATTCTTCCTGGAATTGAACAGCCTGTGATAGAGAAGTTTGACTGGTGCAAAGTGACGCGTGTTCAATCACGACACCTTTTGGTACACCTGTGGATCCGGAAGTGAATAAGATATAAGCGGCATCGCTGGGCGTGACTTCCACGGCTGGTCTTTTGGCGCTCCATTGACTATTGAGAGCCAATTTGGCGTCAAGTTCAGGTGTCAGTTCAATAACTTTTGGCAATAAACCAATACACCTGTGAGAATTTATAGCCGAGGCCAGTGCTAGCTGAGAGCCAGTTTGACTAATGATCTTCTGATATCGTTCAGCTGGGTGAGATGGGTCAAGGGTTGACCAGGCTGCGCCAGCCTTATTGATAGCCAGGGTAGCGATGAGGAACCAAGCCGACTTTTCGAAGCATACATGAATAATATCTCCGACTTTGACTCCGTGCTCAGCAACAAGATACTGGGCAATGCGGTTCGTTGTCTCCGTCATTTCTTTATAGGTAAACGACTTATCCCAACCAGAAATAGCCAAAGAGTCACTTCTAACCAACGCAACTTCGTCAACCATTTCATGGAAGCATCGTTCAACAGCGTCGGACGTTCTGCTATTGAGTTGAAGAGCCTGGCCAAAATCCCAGCTACTTGATAGAGATATACTACCAAGGAGCATGTCGCCTTTGCTAGTAAGTTCTTGAATAGCATTATCAAAATGACGAGACAAGGCCTGCATCTTGCTATCTGATAGAATTTGAGAATCATAGTTAAACATGAGGTTGATGGTGTTTTCGTAAAGATGGCCTTGGATAACAAGAGGATACGAGAAGTAATTTTTCATGATCTCTGCCTTTTTAGCAATGGCCGACTCAGCTGGGACCAAAAGTGCATCATCGCTGCGATATTCCAATTGATCGATGGGTTGGATAACCAACAGTGAGGTAAAATCACAAGCTTCCTTGGCATCCAAGCTGATCTTTGAGATATTCTGTAGACCATACTGTTCGTAAGGTATCATACGCAGAGCTTGATTCTGGACGCTCTCTAAGAAAGCAGATACAGTCTGCTGTTTATCAAGGTGAATTCTAGCAGGAACAGTTGCAACAGCAGGGCCAGCCATATTAGTGATACCACTGACAGGGGCCTGACGACCGGAGATTGTGGTACCAAAGGTTACATCATCGCTTTCAGAGTATCGAGAAAGTACAAGAGCCCATGCCGCTCGTAGGAGAGTGGCCCTGGTAATTGGAGAGCCGACAGTCCGAGTGTAATTAATGGACTTCTCCAGAACATTCATAGCGTTAGGTCGATATGGTGTAACTGGAGGGAACGTGGCTTTCTTTGCGTTATGCAATTGGTCTCTCCAGTACTTGACAGTATCCTCATTATCAACGTCCATAGTGAACTTGACAAATCTAGCATAAGGTACGGGTTGTGCTGGCTCTACGCCACGGTAGAGCGCATGCAATGTGTTCATCAATATCGGCACTGTCCAGCCGTCGAAAATAGCATGATGAATTGACCACAAAAAGAAAATCTCGCCACTACTCTGCTTAACCAGTGCAAACTGAGAGAGGGGAGATCCATAAGTCATATTGACCGATCTCATATCAGAAAATGCGGTATGTAAATCAAGGCTGAGTGCCCAGGTGATGGGCTCATTTGTAACAATTTGGGTGGCTCGTCCATCAACAAGGGCAATTCGAGTTCGAAGGTTGTCGCAAAGAATAACAGTCTGCTCCCAGGAAGCTTTAAAACGAGAGATGTCCACATACTCGGGTATGCGATAGACGAACTTGGCAATATATGAGCCAGGCTGTTTGACAGACAACGCCATGAGGCCTTCTTGTAGGGCAGTGCAAGGATAGGCATCCACAATAGTTCCAAAAGCCAAGTTACACTGTGCGCGAAGGTCATCACCTATGGCCAATTGCTGTAATTTCTCGCTAAGAAGCGAGAAGGGAGGGATGACTAGAACTTCCTGTTCTTCTGCATGCACCTCCTTGGCACATGAGGCGACGGCAAACAATCGCGGGTCATCGAAAATATCCTGGGCCGTCAATGACATGCCCTTCTCGCGGGACATAGTGACGAGGTGAATAGCAGTAATTGAATCACCGCCCAAGCCCAAAAAGCTATCGTCAAGGCCAATATTCTCAGATGGGATAGCTAATAGTCGAGACCAAATGGCTTGAAGATCTTTTTCCATTTTTGTTTCCGGTGCGCGCTTCTTTTGCGTTTGAAGAGAGTACATCATGAGCTCTTCTTGTTCGAGTACAGCAGTTCGTCGTTTAAGGTCATTCCTATCTAACTTTCTTGAAGTGATGTAAGGCATGTACCGGCAAGGAATGAAAAATGTTGGAACCATATATCGCGGCAATGAGATGTTTAGCTGGCCTATCACCGTAGTGAGATGTCCCTGCAATTCGTCATCCATTTGGACAAATGGACCACTATCATCGGAGGAAGCACGAGTACCAGTAATCTTGATTTCATTGGTAAAGCAAAAGTATGCCACCAGACTAGCACCGATGCCGGATCTGATGACATCGACAGCAACCTGCTGAACGCCGCTGAAGGCAGTCTTGACGTGGTGTTCAACTTCACCCAATTCAACACGAAGGCCGCGGATCTTGATTTGCGTGTCCTTGCGACTCACAAATTGAATGGTTCCGTCCGCATTATATAAGGCAAGGTCACCAGACTTATAGAATCGATTCCAGTACTTAGCTTTACGATTCGGGGCCCAGGCAGGAAGGTTCTTAACCATACTAGCTGAGGTGCGGACCGGGTCGTCCAGGTATTCCCTTAGTATTGTTGGTCCTTGGATAACAATCTCGCCCACGGCTCCGATTGGGGCTATTTTATGGGGATTTTCTGGATCAACAATCCAGCAGAAACCACCCACGGGGGAACCAATTGTGAGAGGTGACTCATCAATAGATTGCCATTCATGGAGGGTAGACACCACGCAGGTCTCAGCTGGCCCCCATCCATTGATTAAGCGGACCTTGCCAAACCAAGCATCCATGATATCTCTAGTAACAGCTTCACCTACTAGGATCACTGCTTCTAGATTTAGTGCGTCTTCGGGCTTGAGCGTTCGAATTAACGACGGCGTAAGCCAAGCCCAATTGATGTCGTTCTGTTGAATAAATTCAGACAGCGCATTCATTCTGTCGTGGTCCGACGGGATACATAAACAGCCGCCGGTAATAAGTGTGGCAACAATTTCACCAACCGCAGCATCGAACACATAAGAAGCAAACTGCAGTGTCCTGACGCCAGAGGGAAGTCTCAGACGCTTTACAGCAGCCGTTTGTGCTGTGCAAAGGCTTCTATGCTCCATGACGAGACCCTTCGGAGTACCAGTGGATCCGGAAGTAAAAAGCACGTATGCGGCATTGGAGGGAGAAATTTCGCAATCAGGGCCCCGATCAGAGAGCTCAGTCTTGTTCAAAATCTCATCCGTAGTAGACGAAACTTCTACCACATGCTCTACAAGGTCAACGCACGTCGAAATGTTTGAAGGCGAGACCAGAGCAAGCCGAGCTTTGGTTTGACCAACAACCTGTTGGTGACGCTGAGTAGGGTGGGAAGCGTCTAACGGAACCCAAGCACCGCCGGCTTTATTAATGGCCAAAATCGCAACCACAAACCAGCATGACTTCTCGAAACAAACGTGAATAAGCTCGTCATTCTTGATCTCATACTCTGCCACAAGGTGGTTTGCCAATCTGTTGGCAGCTTGGTCGAGCTGACTATATGTAAAATTTCCATTCCAACTGCGAACAGCGAGAGACTCCGGTCGAATGATTTTCTGTTGCTCAACGAGAGTATGCAAGCAAGATTCAATAAGCTCAGGTACTTCGTTGTTCTGACGTATAGCATACTCAACATCCCATGGACCTGACACAGACAAGTCCCCAAGAGTCCTATTGCTGTTGTCCGCTATAACAAGCTGCTGTGCAACATGCTCAAATTGATGGGCCAAAGCGAGCAATTGTTGCTCAGATAAAATATCCGCGTCGTAAATAAGGACCAAGTTTACTGAGTCTTCGTATACATGGCTCTGCACAACAAGAGGGTAGGAGAAGTAGTTTTTCATATACTCTTCCAAATCTTTAGTCGTCGCACTCATGTGTTCTAAGATGGCCTTATTATTGCCAGTATCAAGCAGCTTCTTCATCGGCTGGATGACCAAAAGCGATGCAAAATCACAAGCTTCTTTAGCTTCAATATTTAATTTTGCAATATTCTGCAGACCGAATTGTTCAAATGGAATCATTTCAGAAGCTTGGTTTTGAATACCCTGAAGAAATTCTGGAATAGATATAAGCTTATTCAGTCGAACGCGTACCGGAACAGTGGCAACAACTGGGCCAACCATTTCGGTTATGCCAGGAACCGGAGCCTGTCTACCAGAAATTGCAGTTCCAAAGGTAACATCATCGGTATCACAATGTTGTGCGAGGATAATGGACCATGTAGCACGCAAAATAGAGGCCATGGTGATCGTGGTCTGTTGAAATTGCGGCAGCTCAATAGCTTTCTCAAGTACTCGTGTTTTAGACTGCTTATGGCGGGCAAGGGCTGCAGGGAATGGCGCCCGCTTCGCATCCAACAACTGCTCAGTCCAGAAGGCCTTGGCAGCATCAGCATTAAGGTCAATAGTATAGCTGATGAAACGAGCATAAGAGGTAAAGGGGGCAAGGTGATTGCCCATATACGCAGAAAATAGGGTGTTTAAGACCAAGCGAGTAGTCCAGCCATCAAAAACAGCATGGTGGATAGACCACACAAAATAGCTACTTCCATCGGCTTGCTGGATGAGGGCGTGATGACTCAATGCAGAACCATAGCCCATGTGAGGACTCTGATTACCCTGGAGATATGACTGGAGGGTCATATTCATCGTATCTTCCCAAGGAGATACGTCTTTCAAGATGACTTGAATAGTAGTGTCGCCTGAGAGCACGATCCTAGTGCGTAGGTTGCTGCATAGTTCCATAGTGACCTCCCACGCGTGTTTAAAGCGTGCGATATCAGTATTCTCAGAGAGCCGATAGACATTTTTGGCCACGTGAGAACCCGATTGCTTAATAGTTAAAGCCATAAGTCCTTCTTGGAATGTTGTCACAGGGTAGATATCTTCAATAACGGCTGTGCCGGATAATCCACACTTGGCACGAACGTCTTCTAGTACTGAATCCAGGTCCATCGTAGGTACCATTGAGAATGGTACCACATCATGGACTGACTGTGATATATCCTCCACAGCTGTTAAAGCCAATGAGGATAGCTTAGAATTAGCAAATATGCTAGCCACTGTTAAACTAACACCAGACTGTTGTGCAAGTGCGACTAGATGAATCGAAGTAATTGAATCACCGCCAATTTGAAGGAAGCTGTCATTCTTGCCAATATCCCGGGGATCGATTTTGAGGACCTGAGCCCACAGCCCTGCCAACTTCTTCTCCATGGGAGTGCCAGGGGCGATGTAGTCACGCTTGACCATGGAGAAAGCGGTAAGTTCTTCCAATGATAAAGCGGCGGCAGTGGCAATTAACTTCTTCCGGTCAATTTTCATCGAGGTGATGAATGGCATTCTCTTCACGGGTAAGATGCTGGTGGGCACCATATAGCCCGGAAGAGACATCTTCAAATGCTCCATAATAGTAGCCAAAGCTAGGCGTAGATCATCGTTGAGTAAAAGGATGTTACCAGAAGATGCCATCTTTTCCTTAAACGAGATGAAGCCAATGAGGGCATCGCCAACCTCACGATGAACCACATCAACAGCCACGTGTTCAATATTAGGTAATGATCTCTTGACATGATACTCTATTTCGCCGAGCTCAAGGCGTTGTCCGCGAAGCTTGACTTGTGTATCCTTTCTACCAAGGTACTCCATCTCCCCGTTGACGTTATACCGAACAAGGTCACCAGTCAAATAGAACCTGTGCCGGCCGGGGATCGTGGATCTGGGTAAACAGTCTATATGAGTCATGAACGAAGCTGCAGTGCGTTCGGCATCGTTTATATAGCCGCGAGCAAGGGCATTTCCTTGAATAACCAACTCGCCAATGCAACCGATGGGAGTTAGCTTATTGTAGTCGGTCGGATCAACTATCCAACAAGCGCTGTTGAAGCCGCGTCCAATTATGCGAGGAGAGTCAGTAGCTTTGAAATCGTGTGTTGTCGCATAATTACAAGCTTCAGCTGGCCCATAGCCATTGACCAGACGAAGGCGATCGCACCACATCTCAAGGAGATCTTTAGAAGAAGGTTCGCCGCCAAGGACGAGCAGCTGTAATGACGGAACTTGTTCAGGTGTAAAGGTCCGAACGAACGAAGGTGTTAACATAGCAGTATTTACTCGGGCCTCTCGCATGAAAGAAGGAGCTCTTTGGAGTCTTTCATCATCAGATGGCACGCAAACCGTACCACCAAATGAAAGAGTGGTAAAAATCTCTCCCAAACTTCCATCAAAAATGTAGTTGGAAAATTGGAAGACACGAGAAGACGGATTGAGATTATATATGCGCCCGTGTCCCAAAGTGCTAGTGACAAACGCAGAGTGCTCCATCAACACACCCTTTGGTTTACCAGTAGATCCGGAGGTAAATAGAACATAGGCTGCATTGCTAGGTTCAGCCTTGGGCTGAATCTCTTGGAAAGCATCATAAATCGATGAAAGCTCTTCAAGTAATTGAGGTGTAAGCTCCACCATGCTAGATGTCAAATTCTCACAAGGGACGGATGATGAAGGTGAGACGATCATGATCTCGGCTCCAACTTCTCGGACTAGAGCTTCCCGGCGGTTGTGAGGATGTGATGGGTCAAGAGGTAGGAATGCACCACCAGCTTTTAGGATGGCGAGCATGGCGACGATCGCCCACGATGACTTGTCAAAACAGAATGGAACAACAGATTCCGGTCTCACACCAAGCTCATGCAAGTGATGGGCCAGGAGGTTCGAGAGACGATCTAAAGTAGCATATGTCATTGTGCCTTCATTTGAGTAGATGGCCTCATGTTGGGGATCTTTAAGTGCTTGTTGGGTAATAAGCTCATGCACACAAGCACTAACCATTATGGGCTCTTTCACATTATAACTGATGGCCTGCTGTAGATCCCATGGTCCGGCAACAGTTATGTTCTCCAGCCTCGCCTCGGCATCTTGGGTAAGCAACTGCTGAACCACATGATCGAATTGGGTGGACAATGCCTGGAGTTGATTCTCCGCAAGAACGTTGTCATCGTATATGAGCAACAAGTTGACCGCACCATCATCATGTAAATGAGCTTGAATAACAAGAGGATAAGAGAAATAATTTTGCAGTCTCTCTTCTGTAGTATCCTCGTCCATGTCTGGGGATACAAGAATGGATGTTGCATTGCTGACAATGCTAGACATAGGCTGAATAACCATGAGAGATGAAAAATCGCAAGCATCCTTAGCTTCTGGACAAAGCTTAGAGATTTCTTGCAGACCAAACTGCTCATATGGAATCATGTCGGTTGATTGAGCCTGCATACTTTCAAGGAATTCTGCGACTGTCTGTTTATGATGTAATCGTACACGTACAGGTACAGTAGCGACCACTAATCCAGGCATTGTTTCAATTCCAGCAACGGCAGTATTGCGACCAGAAACGTTGACGCCAAAGGTCACATCATTGGTATCAGAGTATTTAGATAGAACAACTGCCCATGCGGCTCTCAAAATAGTTGCTTTGGTAATACCGGACGTACTTGAATGAGTAAAGTTGAGAGGCTTCTCAAGAACGCGAGTAACAGACTGGGCTGATGGAGACGACGAAAGTGGTGGGAATGAGGCGCGCTTTGCATCCTGAAGTTGGTCACGCCAATAATTGGAAGCAGCTTCTTCATCGATGTCCATAATATGCTTCACAAATTCAGCATAGGGTCGGAAAACGGGAGCTTCAACGCCGTGATAAATCGACTCCAGCGTTTTCATAAGTATAGACAGCGTCCAACCATCAAATATGACATGGTGAATGCTCCAAACGAAGTAGCTTTCTCCTGACGGTTCATAGACGATAGCGTAACGGAGCAAAGGATCACCGTATCCCATATTAAACGTTTGAGACAGGTACGCCTCCAAAGTCGTACTGGAAATCTCCCATTGAACTTCCTCATTTTTGATCACAACCTGTATACTCAAATCTCCCACAACCACGAGACGAGTTCTCAGATTGCCACAAAGTTCAATAGTACGCTCCCAGGCCGCTTTAAAGGTATTGATATCAACATTCTTGGCCAGTCGGTGAACCTGCTTTGCGACGTACGAGCCTGGCTGTCGAGCAGATATTGCCATAAGACCTTCCTGAAGCTTGGTTGATGGATAAGCGTCTTCTATCACGGTATCGCTCGGTAGATCATATTGTGCGTGTAGAATGGCTGTGACGGCCGCCTGATCTAGAGTATCACTAAGCAGACTAAATGGTGCGACCGTCACATTGGTCACATCCGATTTGAGTCGAGAAGATGCAATATCTGCCAATTTCCAAAGCCGTGAGTCATCAAAGATATCTTTGACTGAGAATGAGATGCCAGACTTTCCGGCAGCTGCTACCAGTTTAATAGCAGCAATCGAATCTCCACCAATGCGTAGGAAGCTGTCGTGGCGGCCGATTGAGTGAGGCGTAAGACCTAAAACCCTGGCCCAAATGTCTCGAAGACAGATTTCTATCTCAGTTGCGGCAGCCTCTTTCTGGTTATTCTCTAACGCATAAGAATGCAGCTGATCTTGGTTTAATGCAGAAGTAAGTCTGCGGAGTCGGCCCATGTCAAGTTTGCCAGATGTTAAGAAAGGCATCCGAGAGCATGGGATGAACAAAGTAGGCACCATATAACGGGGCAGCAAAACGCCAAGTTGGCTAGCCATAGCATCAAGATCTCTTTGGAGATCATTGGTGAGAGGCATAAATATCGCATCTGGATCGTCCAAATCCTTTTCGGAATATCCAAGGTATGCAACTAACATTGACCCTGCTTCAAATTTGTGAACATCCACGGCAACGTGAACCAGATTCTTCGAGAGATTGCGAATTTGATGCTCAACTTCTCCAAGTTCTACTCGAAGCCCTCGGATCTTGATTTGTGTATCCTTCCGTCCATGGTACTCAATGGTGCCGTCAGGGTTGTAACTACAATGATCACCAGTGAAGTAAACCCGATTCCACAGTTGTTGCGGCTGACGGGATGGAGCCCAGTTTGGAATTGATTCAAGGATGCTGGCCTGCGTTCTTTTAGGATCATCGAGATACTCACGTAATATAGTAGGGCCCTGTATGATAGCCTCTCCAATGGTGCCCACCGGAGCAAGCCGATGGGGATGCTTGGGATCAACAATCCAGATGAAAGAGGCAACAGGCTTGCCAATCGTGAGAGGGCTCTCGGCTGCCGACTTCCACTCATGTAAACTACTATAAACACAGGTTTCGGCCGGGCCCCATCCATTGAACAATTTAACCTTGCCAACCCACTTCTCTAATATCGTCTTATCGGAAGCTTCACCACAGAGGATGACCAATTCCAAATTTGGAACGTCAGTGGGTTCGATAGTCCGGATGAAAGAGGGTGTGAAGATTGCCCAGTTGATGTTCTTCTCACGTATAAACTTTGCAAGGCTATTCATGCGAATCTCATCGGACGGGATGACAAGACAGGCGCCGCGGATCAATGAACAACAGATCTCACCAACAGAAAGATCAAAAACATGAGCGCCAAACTGCAGCAACCTGACGCCGCTGTGAAGGCCAATACGAGCAGTAATAGCGGTTTGGCTGGTACAGAGGGCTCCGTGCTCCATCACTAGTCCTTTCGGTGTTCCAGTACTGCCAGAAGTGAACAGGACATACGCGGTGTTGCGGGGAGAAACCGTTATGTCCGGAGCCTGAGTACTGGGCTCTGTATCTATGAGAGCATCGTCCAAGGCCTGACCGATTTCAAGAACAGTGTTCGATAACTCATTACCCAGCTTGAGGTGCAAGGACGAAGCAAGGAGCAGATTTGCTTTAGTCTGTCTTGCCACCTGTTGTAATCTCTGCGTAGGATGCGAGGGATCAAGTGGGACCCAAGCGGCACCAGCCTTATTGACTGCAAGAACTGAGACAACATACCATAAAGACTTTTCGAAGCAGCAAAGGATAAAGTCATCGGTCTTTATATCGAAAGTCTTGATAAGGTAGTGAGCTAAACGATTAGCCATCTGGTCTAGTTGGGCGTATGTCAACACTCCATCCCATGCGTCGATAGCAATTGCGTCCGGAGTGGAAACCGCATTTCGTTCGATTAATTTATGGATACAGTCTTCGATGATCTCAGGGTTTTCCGTATTCCACGCAACGGCCTGCTGGATGTCTTGTGGGCCGGCCAAGGAGAGGTCTCCAAGCTTGGTGTGATCGGTATCAAAGAGCTGCTGAGCTATATGCTCGAATTGACCTGCTAGTCGACCAAGATCATGTTTGGATAATATAGTGCTATCGTAGGTAAATACCAAGTCGATCCGATCGCCAAATAGGTGGCCCTGGATGATTAATGGGTATGTGAAGTAATCCTGCAAAAGGCCTGCCTCGGCTTCATCGCTCTCTATGGCCGGAATAAGAATGTTGTCATTATCGCCATCTCCATTACCTAAGTCTAAATGAGATCTTGGCTGGATGACTAGAAGAGATGAGAAGTCGATAGCGTCTTTGACATCGGGGGAAATCTTTGCGATGTTTTGTAGGCCATATTGCTCATGTGGGATCATCTGTGTGGCTTGCGACTGAATACTCTCTAGGAATTCAAGCACTGTCTGCTCGTCATCTAGTTTTATGCGCACCGGAATAGTAGCAACAATAGGGCCAGGCATATTGAGGATGTTCGCAACTGATGCTTGACGACCAGACACTGAAGTGCCAAAACAGATATCATCAGTATCAGAGTAACGGGCAAGCATGATAGCCCAAGTGGCCCGCAGAATAGTCGCCACAGTGACTGATGACTGTGTAAGGCTGGGAATTTGAATAGATTTTGTCATCATGCTAGTGACCGCCTTGTGTTGCGCTTCAGATCTGGGGCGAGGCGGGTATGAGGCCTGTACTGCGCCATCTAGCTGCTGAGACCAGTATTTCTTGGTGGCCGGATCTTGGACCACATCAGTTGCATATTTGATGAAATTTGAATATGGTTTCAGTGAGCCATTGTTTGAACTCTGATAGCAGTTTTGGAGTGTCTCAAGTACAAGACGAATAGTCCATCCATCGTGAACAGCGTGATGTACAGTCCAAATAAAGTAGGTCCCATCTGCTCCTTGGAATATTGTATACCGAGACAAAGAGCAACCATATGTCATTTGCACGTTGCCAGCTTCGACCACAGCAACATCGATTTCAGAAGCGGCAGACATCTCGATCTTCGTATCTTCCTTGATTACGAGCTGAATACATTGGTCATCCAAGAGCACAATCCGTGTCCGTAGCGTAGGGCAGAGAGAAACGGTTTGACCCCAACTAGATTTAAACTTCGATATATCGGTATTATCCGCCAGTCGATAAACGTGCTTGGCAACATGAGAGCCAGGGGACTTGACAGACAAAGCCATGAGACCTTCTTGAAATTTTGTACAAGGATAAGCGTCTTCAATAATCGCTTCAGGCCCAAGATTGCATTCGTCTCTCGTGCTTTCACTAATTGAAAGACGGCCCTGCTCGTCGTCCAATAAGCTGAATGGCTCAATGGTGAGATCGTCAACAGAATTTAGTAAGCCGGCAATTTTTGCGACTGAAATCAGCCGAGGGTCGTTGAAGATATCCTTGACTGATAGAGAAATGCCCTCAGCACGAGAAGCACCAACAAGCTGAATTACCTTTATTGAGTCGCCACCAAGACCGAGGAAGCTGTCATCACGACTAATCGAATCCGGCGAGATATCAAGGACTTTAGACCAAATCTGCTGAAGCTTGCGTTCCATATCAGTTTCTGGAGCTCTCTTACTTCCACTTTGCAAAGAGTATCCTGACAGTTGTTCGCGCGTAAGGATAGTTGTTTGGCGACGTAATTCTTTGCGATCTAGTTTAGTGGAAGTAATTGACGGCATGAAGCTGCATGGGATGTAAAGAGCAGGAATCATATATCGTGGTAGTGTCACGCCAAGTTCACCGACCAAAGCACTCAGTCGGCTCTGGAGATTTTGGTCAATTGAGAAGAACGGGCTGCTGGTCTCACAGTTGACACCAGCAACACGAATCTCGTCGGTGAAGCAGATATAAGCCACGAGATTGGTACCACGCTCGTCATTATACACATCGACAGCAATCTGGCGGACGTCTCGTAATGTGGCTTGGATGTGGTATTCCACTTCACCCAGCTCGACACGAAGGCCTCGAATCTTGATTTGGGTATCCTTTCTGGAGAAAAATCGAAGGGTTCCATCCGGGTTATACGAACATAAATCACCAGATTTGTAAAAGCGGCCCCAATGTTGACAATCAGGCTGGGGTGCCCACCGAGGAGCCTCGATAGAGGAAGCTGCAGTACGCTCTGGATCGGCCAAATATTCGCGAAGCAGAATTGGGCCTTGAATAACGACCTCACCCAATGTGCCCACAGGTGCTAACTTATAGGGGTCTTCCGGGTCGACGATCCAGCAGAATCCTCCAACAGGTCTGCCTATAGTGAGAGGACTTTCATCAACTGACTTCCACTCATGCCAGGTGCTGGCAACACAGGTCTCAGCTGGCCCCCAACCACTAATAAGGCGTACTTTACCAAACCAAGTATTTAGGATTTCCTTGGGAATAGCTTCACCGCCAATGAGAAGTACTTCTAGGTTAGGAACATCCTTAGGCGCCAAGGTGCGGAGAAAGGAAGGTGTAAAAAATGCCCAATTAATTCGTTGGTTCCGTATATATTGAGTGATATTGTTCATTCGTATATCTTCGGATGGTATATAAATGCAGCCGCCGCTGATTAATGTTGGAATAGCTTCTCCAATTGACATGTCAAACACGAATGAGGCAAATTGGAGCATTCGAACGCTGGATGTAAGACCTATTCGTTTAGCGGAAGCTGTCTCTGAGGTACAGAGAGACCTATGCTCCATAACGACGCCTTTAGGTGTGCCGGTTGAACCAGACGTGAATAAAATATAAGCAGCGTTGTCAGGCGTTACAACAACATCTGGAGCTTCAGAATCAGCCGTCGTAGCCAGCTCCCAGTCTAAGTTTGGCGTAACTGATAGCACGTTCCCAACCAAAGCCGAGCAAAGATCATAGTTGCCTGGAGAAGTCAGAATTAGATTGGCTCTGGTTTGATCAACTATCTGACGGAGGCGTTGTTCTGGATGGGATGGATCAAGAGGCGCCCATGCTGCTCCTGCCTTGTTGATAGCTAGAATAGCAACAAAGTGCCAAATCGACTTCTCAAAGCACACATGAACAATTTCATCTGGCTGTATTCCATGAGATTTGATGATATAATTAGCCAGTCGGTTAGCAGCACAGTTAAGCTGGTTATATGTAAACTCAGCATCCCACGCAGAGATGGCGACAGCATCGGGCCGACGTTCGGCCTGGCGTTCAATAAGCTCATGCAGGCATGCATTAACAACTTCAGGGATCTCGCTGTTAAATGAGATAGACCGATCCAAGTCCCAAGAAGAGGAAATAGATATTGACCCAAGAGTATTCTCGCTAGTGGCAGCTGCAAGTTGACTCATAACATGGCCGAACTGTTGGGAAAGAGCCTCAAGCTGTCCTTCAGCGAGGATAATTGAGTCGTATATGAAAACAAGATCAATGCGGTCTTCATACAGATGAGCTTGAGCAATCAGGGGGTAGGAGAAGTAGTTTTGTAAGGACTCGGCCTTTTCCTTCAGTTCTCTATCTGCGCGTACTAAGACAGATTTGCTGCCGTTAGAGTCTGAAATATACTGCATTGGCTGGATTACTAACAAAGATGTAAAGTCGCACGCGTCTTTGGCATCTTCGCTAACCTTGGCAATATTCTGCAGACCAAATTGCTCGAAAGGAACCATTTCTAATGCTTGCTTTTGAACAGCTCGGAGGAAACCAAACGCTGTCTGTGCTCGGTCTACCCGAACCCTTATAGGGACAGTCGCAACAGCCGGACCGACCATATCCATCAGTTCAGGTACCGGGGCCTGACGACCGGAGGTAGATGTACCAAAAGTAACATCGTCAGTATCACTATACCGAGCGATGACTATGGCCCAAGCAGATCGCACAATAGTAGCGACGGTGATTTCTGATGAAGTGATAGTGGGTAATTTGATCAATCTTTTAAGAAGTTTTGTGGTGCTGGACTCATAAGCAACTCCACTGGCCGCCGGGAAATTAGCTTTGCGAGAGCCCTGCAATTGCTCTTTCCAGTATGAAGCGGCGGTTTCTGTATCAAGATCAAGAGTATACTTGATGAATCGGGCATATGTCGGAACCTCAAGTGACTCGATACCCTTGTAGGCCTTCTCAAGGATCCTCAAGACGTTTTGGGCAGACAAACCGTCAAAGATGGCATGGTGAATGCTCCACATGAAATACATGTTGCCATCTGTGTGCGCTGCAAGAGCATAACGGCAGAGCCGGGAACCGTAGCTCATTTCTATGCCATGATGCAGCTGGAGATAGGAGTAGAGGTCTTGAGATTCAAGAGAATCCCACTCAAAGTCGTCAGGAATGATTATCTGCGTACTAGAGCCCTCAGTAAGGATAATTCTGGTACGAAGATTGGTGCAGGCATCCACCGTGCGCCTCCAAGCCTCCTTGAAACGAGCGACGTCAACATGACTGGGGAGGCGATACAGGAATTTTGCGATATACGAGCCCGGCTGCTTAGCAGATAAAGCCATGAACCCTTCTTGCAGCTTTGTCGTAGGATACGCATCCTCAATTCCCTTAGTTTCATCGAGACAATAGTCTTTATAGACGCTAGGAGATTGGACCAAGTCTCGAGTACCATCGTCAAGGAGGGAAAAGGCAGGGATAGAGCCCAAAATGGCTTCATCCTGGCCGGCTGCGCTAGCTGTAGAGGCTATAGAAGACAATCGTGGGTCTTCAAATATAGCATCCACAGTGAGAGTAATGCCGAGCTCACGAGCCATAGAGACCAGACGGATAGCGGCAATCGAGTCACCACCAATACGGAGAAAACTATCATCTTTGCCAATAGTTTGAGCAGAAATGTTGAGAATCTCAGCCCACACATGTTGCAAGCGGATTTCCATGGCTGTGTCAGGAGCGCGCTTATTAGCATCAGTCAACGAATAAGCTTCTAATTCTTCTTGAGCCAGCGCAGCTGTATTCTTGCGGAGCTTAAGTCTGTCTAATTTCCCAGATGAGATAAGAGGCATATAGCCACATGGAATGAAGTAAGTTGGTACCATGTAGCGGGGAAGCAAGACATTCAGTTTATTGACGACAACGTTTAATTCGTTTTGGATACCTTCGGTCATGGAAAGGAATATATCAGCTCCTTCGGGGTCGGTGTCTGGTCCGGGTGTTTTCGTCTTGTTGCTAAAGCAGATGTAAGAAACAAGATTGGCACCAGTCTCTGTCCGAAGCACGTCAACAGCAATCTGTCGAATTACGTCAAACTTTCGAATATGATGCTCAATTTCTCCAAGTTCGACTCGGAGGCCGCGAATCTTGACCTGGGTATCTTTGCGACCAGAGTAATGGATAGTTCCATCAGGGTTATAGATGCCTAAATCCCCGGTTTTATAGAAACGGCCCCATATCCTATCATTTAAGCGAGGTGCCCAGTTAGGCAAAGAGGTGAGCGTTGATGCAAGAGTCTTGGCTGGATCAGCCAAGTATTCACGAAGAAGCGTAGGTCCTTGCATGACGATTTCTCCGATGCATCCAACCGGAGCTAGGCGCTGGGGATTCTCTGCGTCAACAATCCAGGCAAAACTACCAACAGAGCGCCCAATTGTCAATGGCGATTCATCTGCAGATTTCCATTCGTGAATTGCGCTTAGGACACAAGTTTCAGCAGGCCCCCAACCGTTTACAAGCCTAGTTTTGCCAAACCAGAGGTCAAATACATCCTGACTAACAGGCTCGCCAGCAAGGACAATGAGTTCGAGGCTCGGGACATCGGCAGGGCGGAGCGTACGAGCAAAGGATGGTGTTAAGAATGCCCAAGAAACTTCAGTATCCCCTATGAACTTGGCCAGGTTATTTAGACGATCATGGTCGGATGGAATGCAAACACATCCACCGTGCATAAGAGAAAGCATAATTTCTCCCACTGAAACGTCAAAAACGAAGGACGAGAATTGAAGCATTCTAACACTACTTTTGAGACTGAGCCTCTTTGCAATATCACGCTGGCTAGTACAGAGGGAGCCGTGTTCCATAATAATACCCTTAGGTACGCCGGTACTGCCAGATGTAAAGAGCAAATAGGCGACATCGCTAGAAGCAACTGCAACAGCAGGCTTAATATCGTTGATATCTTGATCACTATTTAGTTGTTCATCCAAGGCGGAAGACACTTCGATGACGGTGTCTAGTAGCTTGGAGCATAGAGGTTTGTGAATAGAAGATGCGAGTGCGATCTTAGCACCAGTTTGGCTGGCGACTTGTTGAAGGCGATGGAACGGATGTGCCGGATCCATTGGTACCCACGCAGCACCGGCTTTATTGATTGCGAGCACTGAAACCACGTACCAAAGAGACTTCTCAAAACACACGTGGACGATATCACCGACTGTGACGCCGTGACTCTTGACTAACAGATTGGCAAGCCTATTAGCAGCACGGTCAAGCTCACTATAAGTGAGAGTGCCATCCCAGGCGTGAACAGCGCGGGCTTGAGGAGTCAGCTCAGTCTGCCGCTCGATCATAAGATGAGCGCAGTCATCAACGATTTCGGGACCATCGCCGTTGGAAGCCTCAGCGAGATCAAGGTCCCAAGAGCTAGCCACGGATATATCACTCAGCCTGAAATCCTCAGCGCTCAGAAGCTGTTGCACAACACCATTAAACTGATGAGACAACGCCAGGAGTTGTGATTCAGGAAGAACGAATGAATCGTAGATCAAGACAAGTTTGACCTTGTCGTCGTAAATATGCCCCTGTAAGACAAGAGGATAAGAGAAATAGTTCTGCACTTGATCTTCTTGATCATCTTGCTCTAACACAGGCTCTAAAATGGTGTCGATATCCTCCCCAATCAGATGCTGCATTGGCTGTACTAGCATCAAGGAGGTGAAGTCACAAGCATCTTTAGCATCAGCTCCCAACCTTGAGATATTCTGTAAGCCATACTGTTCGAAAGCAATCATCTCAGAAGCTTGGCTTTGAATATCCTGAAGGAGTTTTGACACACGCTGTTCGTAATTGAGACGGACGCGGACGGGGACGGTAGCAACAGCTGGACCAGCCATTTCGGTCAGACCGGGGACCGCGACCTGCCTCCCAGAAACAGTAGAACCGAAAGTCACGTCGTCGGTATCACAATAGCGGGCAAGGATCAGTGCCCAAGCTGCCCGGAGAACCGTCGCTTTAGTGATGGCTGGGTTTGTAGAGGTAGGAAAGGGAATGAACTTTGACATCATGCGTGTTTTGTGCTTCGACTCGCCGGAAGTAGCACCAGCAGCTGGGAAGCTCGCCCGTTTTGCGTTCTCAAGCTGGCCTCTCCAGTAATCAGCGGCCGCCTCAGAGTCCAGCGTAAGGGTATAATTAATGAAACCGTTGTAGGGCGCAATAGCCGGCGAACTTCTACCCTCGTACTCTCGCCGTAAGGTCTCCAGAATAATCCTCAGCGACCAACCATCGTGAACCGAATGATGTATAGCCCACATGAAATAATTGCTCCCATTTTGGTCTTCAAGCATCATATAACGAGACAGAGGCGTACCATAGGTCATTCGGAACGATTGAGCGGATACGATAGCCGTGTGAATGTCATCAACCTTGGCAGTCTCCCAGGGAAGCTCTTCGTTGATTACAGCTTGGATGCAAGAGCCATTAATCATGACAAAACGAGTGCGGAGAGCTTCAATAGCAGATGAAGTGAATTCCCACGCTCGCTTGAACTCCTGGAGATCGACATGATTTGGAAGACGATAAGTGTACTTGGCGACGTATGATCCAGGCTGTTTCACAGACAAAGCCATGAGACCTTCTTGGAGTCTACTGCAAGGGTAAGCGTCCTCAATTTCCTGCATGTCGGAAAGTTTAAGCTCTTTCCGAAGGCCGTCAGAGACAACGAGTTCTTGGACATCTTCATCTAAAAGGCTGAATCGCTCAATCTCCTGAATATCAGCCGTCTCGTTCATCTCTTGAATTTTGCTGGCCACAGAAAGCAAGCGGGGGTCATCAAAGATATCCTTCACAGTCAGTAATAAACCGTCACCTCGCATAGCGTTTACCAAATGAATAGCTGTAACAGAATCACCGCCGAGGCTAAGGAAACTATCGTCGCGTCCAATTGATTCCATGGAAATGCTGAGAATTTCAGCCCAAATTTGTTGCAACTGGCTTTCCGTTGGAGTCTCGGGCGCTCTCTTTCTGCCACTATTGAGTGAATATTTTGATAATTCATCGACAGATAATATATCGGCATATCTTTTCAGCGCCTTGCGGTCAAGCTTGGCGGAGGTGCTGGATGGCATGTAGCTGCAAGGAACGAAAAAGGTTGGGACCATGTAAGACGGGAGAACAACTCTCAGTTCGCCAGATGCGGCAATGAGGCGAGTCTGAAGGTCTTCATCAATCGACATGAACGGGCCCTTGTCGTCAGCTTGAATACGAGCATCAGCTGTCTTGGTGTCTTCATTAAAGCAGAAGTAGGCAATAAGATTAGAGCCATTATCACCGCTAAGTACGTCGACTGCGACTTGACGAATTTCATCAATAGCTTGCTGCAGATAGTATTCAATTTCGCCTAATTCAACACGGAGACCACGAATCTTTATTTGTGTATCTTTGCGAGTCAAAAATTCAAGTGTGCCGTCTGGATTGTAATAACCTAAATCACCGGACTTGTAAAATCTGTTCCAATACTGGGACTCGCGGCGTGGAACCCACGCTGGTAGGTCATATACCATCGACGATCTGGTCTTCTCAGGGTCTGCAAGGTATTCACGCAACAGAGTCGGCCCTTGGATCATGATCTCACCGACGGTACCCGTAGGAGCCAACCTTTGAGGATTTTCTGGGTCTGCAATCCAGCAAAAGCAGCCAACAGGCCGACCGATAGTACGGGGGCTCTCGTTAATGGACCACCACTCATGAAGTGACGATAAAACGCAGGTCTCTGCAGGACCCCAGCCGCAGACGAATCTAAGCTTTCCAAACCAGCTGTCACAGACATCGCGACCGACAGCCTCGCCTGCTAAAACCATGAGCTCCAAGGAAGGGACCTCCTCTGGCTTCAGAGTACGAGCGAACGATGGCGTAAGGATTGTCGAGTTTATTTTGTTACTCTGGATGAAGTTTGATAGATCATTCAATCGTGTGTTTTCGTCCGGAATGTGTACAGAGCCGCCTGAGATCAATGTTGCCACGATTTCACCGACGGAAAGGTCGAAAACAAAGGCTGCAAACTGTAACATACGAACATTGGCAGTCATTTTAAGTCTGCGACTGATAGCAGTCTGCGAGGTGCATACTGCCCCATGCTCCATCACAAATCCCTTGGGGGTACCTGTAGAACCCGAGGTAAAGAGGACGTAGCAAATATTTCGAGGCGTCACTTTGATGGCAGGCCCGGTAGTACCGGCCACACCGCTCTCAGTAAGCTTCTGGTAGAAGAAAGGGCTAATCACAATAAGAGACAGTCCAAATGCGTTGCAAATATGGGCGTTAGATGGGGAACATAGTATAATTTTTGCTCGAGTCTGACTAACAATCTGGCGTAAACGTTGCTCAGGATAGGATGGGTCGAGGGGAACCCAACCGGCCCCAATTTTGTTGATTGCTAGGATTGAGACGATATACCAGGACGACTTTTCCAAACAAACAGGTATCAACTCATCAGGTTTAAAAGTAAAATTCGTGGCGAGGTAGTTGGACAATCGATTGACCGCTTCAAGTAGTTCAATATAGGTAAAACTTTGGTCCCAGCCTACAACAGCAGGAGAGTTTGGTCGTTCAACAGCCTGTTTGTCGACCAATTCGTGAAAGCAAGAATCAATAATTTCAGGAATGTCGTCATTTGCTTTTAGACTCTGCTCAAGGTCCCAAGGGCCAGCAACAGAGACATCACCGATGAGTTTGTTGCCAGGATTCAAAAGCTGCTGCACGACATGCTCGAAGTGATAAGAAACGGCTTCAACTTCAGCTTCAGACAAGATTTCTGGGTCATACAAAAATCTCTGGTTCACATTCTCCTCAGCCATGTAACTGAGCATAACCAACGGGTAATTGAAGTAGTTGTTCATGGACTCAATCATCAGATGATCTTCTTCGGCCTCTGCCTGCAGCAGACCATCCTTGCTATTGAATATGGTACTTTCTTGCTCTTTGGGCTGGATAACTAGTAGCGATGTAAAATCACAAGCCTCTCGAGCTTCAGGGCTGAGCTTGGAGATATTTTGCAGGCCATACTGTTCATACGGAACCATATCCAGGGCGTGAGCTTGGAGATCCTGTAGCATTTGGCTCACAGGCTTTGCAGTCTCCAGGTGAACTCGAATTGGAATGGTGGCAATAACAGCGCCAGGGGTTGACAAAAGTCCATCTAGTGCAGCCTGGCGACCAGAAACAGTGGCGCCATAGCATACATCACGAGCATCGCTATGACGACCGAGGACAATTGCCCAGGCAGCTCGAATAATAGTAGCCATGGTGATTGAAGCATCTTTTTGATCAGAAAATGATACTAAACGATCAAGAACACGAACCGCACCATCAGACTTATCGACAGCAAGGAGCTTTCCAGCGGCAGGGTAACTAGGTCGTTGAGCACCAGAAAGGTTCGATCGCCAGAAGCTGGCGGCCGCCTCGCTATCGATCTTGCTAAGATAGTTGATAAAGTTGGAATAAGGAGATATAGAGGCAACTTTTCGTCCGTAGTAAGTGTTGTAAATGCTGTCCAAGACGATACGCATGCTCCAACCATCATTAATAGCATGGTGAATGACCCAGACAAAGTAGGTATCATGCTCGTCCTCTACAATAGCAAATCGAGTTAAGCGAGTTCCATATCCTATATAAAATTCAGGAATCAAACGTTTGTAAGACTCAAGATTATGTCCGGCGGTATTCTCCCAGTCGTCGTCGCCTGTGATGACAGCTTGCACTACGCAGCCGTCCTCAAGCATAACTCGGGTTCTTAAGGTGGCGTTGCGATCCACAGCTGCTTTCCAAGCAGCCTTAAACTTGGCAATATCGATATTTTTGGGGATTCGGTGGTACCACTGGGATATGTAAGAGCCCGGTTGTTTTGCAGTGAGAGCCATAAGACCTTCTTGAAGCGGCGTGCAAGGATAAGCGTCCTCGACAGTTTGGTCTTTCCCAAGGCCATACTTGGTTCGGATAGCATCACTTTGCATAAGTTTGCTCAGATTGTCCGAGAGGAGGCTAAAAGGCTTGATATGAGAAGATTGACCTGTTTTGCCAAGAATAGTAGCTTTAGAAGCTACCTGGAAGAGACGAGGGTCATCAAAGACGTCCTTGACAGCAATGGAAATTCCAACATCTCGGGCAGCTGAGACAAAATAAATAGCGGCGATCGAGTCACCGCCCATTCTCAAGAAGCTATCGTCTCGACCAATAGAGTCGATGGACAGATTAAGCAGGTCAGCCCAGATTGCTTGGATACGAGTCTCCATCTCGGTTTCTGGCTTGCGCTTCTTACTATCCACAAGGGAGCATCTCGCGATTTCTTCCTTGCCAAGATTAGAAAACGCAAGTCGCAAAAGCTTCATATCCAACTTCGTCGAGGTGATGAAGGGCATATACTGGCAAGGGATAAACAGTGTCGGGATCATGTAGCGAGGAAGCGTCACACTGAGCTGACCAACTAGGGCGGTAAGTTGGCTTTGAAGCTCAGTGGTCATTGGGGCCATTACATCTTTCACGCTCGTCTCGGAGTTCTTGCCAGCAGTACGAGTTTCATCTGTGAAGCAGAAGTAGGACACAATAACTGCGCCACCATCTCCATTTACCACGTCAACAACCACTTGCTTAACGCCCTCCAAGGACTCACGGAAGTGATGCTCGATCTCTCCAAGCTCAACACGGAGCCCTCGAATCTTCACCTGGCTATCCTTGCGAGATCCAAACTCGATAGTACCGTCCGCGTTATAGCGACACAGATCGCCTGACTTATAAAATCGATCCCAGTGATTGGCAGTTCGATTTGGCACCCACTCAGGGAGGTTCCGGATTATTGAAGCCTCAGTTTTGGCGGAATCGGCCAGATACTCTCGAAGGATAGTCGGTCCCTGAATAACAACTTCGCCAAGGGTTCCGACGGGAGCCAATCGCCACGGGTTCTGCGGATTGACAATCCAACAGTGACCACCGACTGGTCGACCAATTGTTAATGGGGATTCGTCGAGGCTCTTCCACTCATGGAGGGTTGAGAACACGCAAGTCTCAGCAGGGCCCCAACCATTGATTAGCCGAACCTTCCCAAACCAAGCTTCAAAAACATCTCGTCCAACAGCCTCGCCAGCAAACAAGAGCAGTTCCAAACCAGGAATATCATCGGGCTTCAAGGTTCGTGTAAAGGACGGGGTTAGATATGCCCAGGTGATTTTCATCGTGTTAACGAAGTCAACCAAGCTACCCGTATTCATCCTTGTTTCCTCAGATGGAACATAGAGGCAGCCACCCGCAACCCAAGGACCCACAATCTCACCAATGGAGAGATCAAAAACGAAAGAAGCAAACTGAAGCATTCTGACGTTAGATGTCATCCCAAGGCGCTTAGCGATGGCAGTCTGCGAAGTGCAGACAGCTCCGTGTTGCATTACTAGACCCTTTGGCGTTCCGGTACTTCCAGATGTGAACAGAACATAGGCTGCATTGCGTGGAGACACATTGCTGATCGGTCCATATGAGCTCGCCTCCGTCTCAGCCAGCTTCTGATCCAAAGCATGTGACACCTCGACGACAGTAGCAACCAACTTAGAGCACATATCTGCATTGCTGGCAGAAGCCAAGGCCAGAGTCGCTTTCGTCTGAGAGACAACCTGTTGCTGTCTCTGAAGTGGGTGCGATGGATCAAGAGGAACCCATGCAGCCCCTGCTTTATTGACAGCAATAATAGACACGAAAAACCAGGCCGATTTCTCAAAGCAGACGTGTACGAGATCCTGATCCTTGACCCCACAAGATTTAACAAGATAATGCGCGAGGCGGTTGGCGGCGCTATTAAGTTGTAGGTACGTTAGCTCCAAGTCCCAGGCTTGAATAGCGGTAGCGTTTGGGCGATTTTCTGCTTGTCTCTCAATGAGATCATGAAGACACAAGTCGACAGTCATAGGACCCTCTCTATTGGCTTTAAGAGACTGCTCTAAATCCCATGAGCCGGAAACCGATAGAGTACTGAGAGGCATCTCAGTGGCTGTAAGCAGTTGCTGGATAATGTGCTCATAGTGGAAGCAGAGAGCGTCAAGCTGGCCCTCAGCGATGGCATCCGCATAATAAGTCAAATCTAGCTCAATGCTATCCTCGCCAATACGAGGCTGCAAAACGAGGGGATAGTTAAAGTAATTGCGCATAGCCTCTTCTGAGAGAGCTTTTTCAACGGGACCTTGTTGCAGGATAGCATCAGAGGCAGTATCAGCGATGGACGCAAGATAATTATTTGGCTGAATGACGATCAGGTTGGAGAAGTCGCAAGCTTCCTGGGCATCCTGGCCCAGTTTTGAGATGTTCTGAAGACCATACTGTTCATGAGCAACCATTTCTGCAGCCTGAGCCTGAACCTTTGCAAGAAAAGAGGCTATACTCATAGTGCGGTCAATTCTGATGCGAATGGGAACAGTGGCAATCATGGGTCCAGGTATCTCATTCAATCCGGGAACTGCTGCCTGACGGCCTGACAATGTGGTACCGAAGCACACATCATCAGAGCCACAGTAGCTGGCAAGGAGAAGAGCCCATGCTGCGCGAAGAATTGTGGCGGTAGTTATAGAAGAGTCCTTTGTGTTGCGGAAAGGTATCGTCTTCTTCATGACCTTGTCCTCAGAAGTAGCAGAAAGCCTCGCAACAGGGAAATGAGCTCGCTGAGCACCATCAAGCTCCTTTTGCCAGTATTTGCCAGAGGCAGCAGAATCAAGTGATTCAACATATCGAATGAAGCTGGAATATGGCCGTAGGGCCTTTGTGTCATTGCCATGGTAAGCATGATAGAGAGCATCAAGAACGATTCGCATGGTAAGACCGTCAAATACCGCGTGGTGAATTAACCACACGAAATAGACACTACCATTGCTATCTCGAAACAAAGCATGCCTACTCAAACGCTCACCATAGCTCATACTAATACTTCGCGTTCGTCTGAGGAAAGTGTGAATATCCAAACCAGATGGGAGATGCTCCCAAGCAGTATCCTCAATCATCACAGCTTGGAGGGCTCGACCACCAAGAATAACCACTCGTGAACGCAAGCTGCCGCATTGGTTAATGGTACCCTCCCAAGAGGCCATAAATCGATCCATGTCGACGTCAGGATTAAGCTTATACACAACTCTGTGAATATAAGAACCTGGCTGCTTCATACCCAACGCCATGAAGCCTTCTTGGAGAGTCGTGCACGGATAGACATCCTCAATTACCTCGGTTGTAGTAAGCTTGCACTCTTTCCGAATTTGATCTTTGATATCATCAACATTCTCTTCGGTAATCAAGCTAAATGGTTCTACCTCGACCATCATTGCGCCATCTTCCTCGATAGTTGCCACAGCCGCCATTTGAGCAAGCTCGGCATTATCGGAAATAGCAGCCGGACTCAGACGAATACCATGATTGTAAGCAGCGGTTACAAGCTCAATAGTTGTCAAGGAGTCGCCACCAAGCAGGAAGAAGCTATGTTTCTTGCCGATATCTTGTCTGCGTATCCGAGTTACGTTTTGGAGGATATCAGCCCAGATGGCTCGAAGGACGATTTCCAGCTCGGTCGTCGGGACTTCGTCGTCTGCAAGCTCACTCTCCAAATAACTAGAGTCTGCAATAACGCGTGCCCGTTTCTCACGAGCAGATAGACTGGCGTCATCGGAGCCATCATGAGGGCCGACGTGGCTCCAGGGATACGGAGGCAATCCGGAAATTGCTTTACCATGGGCGAATAACGGGGCCAGCTCTATAACAGCGGATTCTTGCCATAGCCGTCCAACGGCAGAAAGGAAGCTCACTGCACCATCTGCGCCGCGTGTTTGGGACGAAACATAGTTGAACGGGACATTTGTAGCTGCACAAATCTGTGACAGAGGAACAGATAGGGCCGAGTGCGGGCCAATTTCCAGAAAGAGAGGTTCCTCAGCACACAAGCCGAGGAGGGTGGAAATGGCAGTGCTGAATCGAACTCGAGACACCAAGTTGGAGATCCAGTACGCGGCAGCAAAATCACTCTGCTCTTCAAGGACCTTCTCACTGACACTAGACACAAAGATGGCCTTCCTCCTGTTAGGTTCCGATGAAGCGATGTTCTCAGCCTTCAAAAGGCCAAGCAGATCGTCTGCAAGCGAATCCATATGAGGGGAATGATAAGCAGCATCAATGCGCAAAACGCGAGCAGTTACATCAGGCTTAGCCGCCTTGACCGATTTCAATACTCGCTCAACTGCTTCACGATCGCCAGAAATAGTGGTACTTGAAGGAGAGTTTTCGCAAGCAATCACCACGCTCTGTTCCAAAAACTCCGTCACTTCTTCCACGCCCAAGCTGACCACACCCATGCCACCATCTTTCTGGCTCTTGGTGGTGACATAACCATAGTAGTACGCGATGGTGATTGCGTCTTCCAAAGAGAGGAAGCCCGCAGCATAGGCCGCAGCGATTTCGCCACTAGAGTGGCCAACGACTACCTTGGGCGTAACACCAAGGCGTTCGAAGCGATTAACAATAGCGATTTGCAGCGCCGTGCTCAGAGGGTAAGAGAGTTGCGATGAGTTGATCCGGTTCTCTGGATCAGCAGCATCACGTAGGAGCTCATCTTTAATCGACCAGGTAGATGGAACCTTTAGTCCCTTCAAAACAGCATCCATCTTCTCAACATCATCTTTGAATTCTGGGTCAGCCTGGATAAGCTCTTTGCCCATTCCCGCCCATTGGGCACCCTGACCGCTGAAAATCATGGTGAGAGCTGGAGTTTGGGCAGAAGACTTGACATAGGTTGAGGTATTGGTGAAGGATGACTTTGAGAGAATGGTAAAAGCTCTGTATTGCAGAGCCTCACGCCGCAGGGCACGAGTGTAAGCAATGTCCGCTGCAGCATTTGGATGAGCCTGAGCATACAAACGGTGGTCCTCAATTTGTTTGGCCAAAGACGACGCGCTATGTGCAGAAAAAAGAGCAAGTTCCGGTCGAGTTTCAGATCTAAGTGAAGTAGGTTGAACATAGGGGTCAATAACAAATTGAGCGCTGTATCCCTCAGCGTCAGACGCACTGATGCTGATTCTCTCAGAACGACCAGAAGAGACGGGAGTAGAGGGAACTACTGCTCATGTTAACAACTCGTCTTGCGATTTATTTGAAAGCACAAAACTTACCAGAGGAAACACCTGGAGAAAATTTCTGGTTTTCCAGAATTACCACGCTCTTGACCAAGCTTGCAAGACCAGATGCGCCCTCATCAGGTGCATCGGATCCAGAGTTTTGGCCACTCGTGATGTTTCCTGCACCGGATTCTCGAATGACAGCACGAATTGGGTTACCATCACGGATGGCATCAGGCAACGTCTTGATATATACAGCCGACACTGCCTCACCCATTTCTGCCCCGTTCTCAAAACCCAGAACGACTGCAGATCTAGCATCGCCAGATCGCACAGCGCAGTAAGCTTTGTGTAAAGCCACAAGAGATGATAACGGGAACGACTTAACCACCATGCTGAATAACCATGTTAGTAAGAGAACACACAACTCTGGGGAGCAAAAGCAAAAGCAAAATGGGGAACAAACCTTGGTCCCTTCATACCATTTTTCGACAGTACTATCGATGCATCGTCTTCTCCAAGGATGCCAACGTAGCAGCCAACACAAGCATCTTCGCTCCGGTAGTTGACCTCACACGCATCCTCAAGGCACTCGCGGATAACCTCCAGAAGCTTTACTTGTTGTGGACTACAGGTCTTGGCCTCTTCGTCGGTCATGGAGAAAACCGAGGCATCAGCTGATCCCACATCTTGTTGATCGCTACCATCCAGCCGTGGCGGAACCTGAGAGTCACGACCGTTGACAATGGACTCCCACAATTGGTCAGCATCGCGAATGCCTCCAGGGAGCCGAATACCGACACCGCAGATGGCAATTGGGGTGTCAGATTGGTCCCCGTTATCGTTATCAACTTTCGACGCCATTTTTTTTTCTAACTTGCGTATAATTATCTCTTTTTTAGGTTTTTCTTTTTTTTCCGTTCTATATCGTTGTATATCGCCTCGTATGCCAGAATGCTATCGACACCGGTGGTCGATTTGTCGGTCGGAACGCTCTTATGAAGAACGTCTATGTTTTTTTGGGTATGGACAATAAGTATTGTAAAAATCGAAGAAGTAGAGGCCCAGAAGGGAATAAGATCCTTCTGGACATGTATATCAGTTCTAGAAAAGGAATTCAAATAGACAATAACGTCTATATCGAGATGAGACGAGGTGCTTCAAAGCAGCACGTCTGTGTACTCGTTGTGGAAACGAGAATCTCAATATGGAGGGTCTGGGTTGAAGACGCAGCGGCTCAATGTAGCTATTATCAGGTCAGTATGCAGTCCCTGTGTATTAGAGTAGATCTCAGATATTATTAAGATGGTACCCTAGCATTCGTTTCTTATTACTAGGATGATGAAATGCATGGGGTATCCATAGCGGCTACGCTGCTACTCCGACTGACAATGTGCGACCCAGCCATCAGTTCCTCCCGACTATCAATAATACATAATGGTACTTCTAGTATTACAGTTGCGGCAAATGGGCAATGCTTGGCGCGTCCAGGCGCCGGTCTGCCATTTGTGTGAGTCATTCAGGTTCAGTCAGAAGGAGAGCTGGGGTCATCAAGCTGCAGGGGAACACATAGATCCCGAGGCGGATACTAATCGGCCGTAGCATCAAATGGTAGTCTTAGACAGTGCTGTGGGCAGGAGTACGCGAGAAAGTGTGCTCGTAGTCAAGATCTGCTATGTACCACTTCCAAGGACAAGTAAGATCTGGGCACCTAATCCCGGGCGGGATGTCGGATTCACGGCCGATGACAAGGATCCCCCGGCTTAGCTGGAGATGAAGCCGCCATAGCGGTCAGGCATCAGTTTAGAGCAGACTTGCAATGTCTCGCGTGTCCCCAGCAGAGACGCGTCTCGCCACAGAGCGGCACATTGGGTTTCCAAGATGCTTCATGTAGCACACTACCTGTATTGAATTACAATTAATTTTACCGGTCTTAAGTGCCTACACGCTGTTCTGATTGTGATTACTTATGAGCTTTCATCACGCAAAAGCTACCCTACATCATACCATTTCGTACTTGAATTGTGAGATTACTTTTTGGAACTCTAAATTAACATATTGAATATGAATTGTTCTCGTCAGAGATCTTTTAACCATTGACAAGTTTCCTATTAGAGTTCAGCTAAAATGAAGTGAAAACATCGTAAGAGGATATACTTGATACTAGATGGCACTTGTTAGGACACTTTGAACCTTGGCCTCCAGTACGGCACATGTACGAGTTGAGCTGCATGAGCAGGGCCCACATAATCACACGTAATTCAAGGGGGACAGATAGACGTGTGTGGAAATTGGTTGCTAGTATCGGATCTTACCTGGATCACCCACCCACGAATCGTAACGGCGAATCCCATGTATCACAACTGTGGCCCGTCTGGAAAAACTCTGAGAGCAGCAATGATAACGCACAAGAGGCGAACATCACAAAGACAGAGGCGTTTTTCAGCTCTCAAGCCACGCATATGCAGGTAAAAGGAGAGAGGTCGGCGTTACGACAACCCGCTTGCTGTCGCTTGTTTAAGCTTGTCTCTCATCTTGCTGAGACCCGCTACGTGATCTACTAATATCGACAGGGGGACCTGGTAGTCACACCGGGAGCTCCACCATCCCGTCAGACGCCAGTTCTACAGTAAGGCGACCGCGGGTATCACTAGCTTAGGCGGCCTATTCTAGACGCCGGTCACTGTCCGACAACTGCCGCCCGGAGATATTACGTGGGAAGCGTTGATGGCGCTTTCGGGACTTACATGCTGCGAATGGTGTCACGAACAGCCATTAGGCGAACCTTGAGGGTTGAGAAACCTAGGCGTGAATTCTATTTGGCCAAATAACTTGGTCTCGATTCCCTCTTCCGTAGTCCCGATCCAACTCGCGTCTTCGCGGTCTGCGTACTCGTATGATATGTTCATATGAGACACGGGATCCAAGACACTGTACCGCTCGGTGCTCACGTAATGTCAAAACCGGCGCGGTGGCAATTGTTACGATAAACCCTAGCTAGGTTTTCAGGCGGTAATGTATGGGACTAAATATGTATGTCTTGCTAGGCTCGGAACGCGATCTTGCACGATAGGCTCCCTGCCGCTTTGGTCAGAATCCCAATGTCTCATATTGCAGCTAATCCGGTTCAAAGTTATACCGAATAGAAGTAGTATTCGTATGAACAGTCACTGCTCCCGTATCGTGTCTCAGCCTGCGGCCGTGGTCTGTCAGCTGAGGGCATGGATAAGACTGCTTATATGCATGTGCGAGACACCAGAATCATCAAATGTCATAAATCACTTTTTGGCCTCACCGGATGTGCCTTGATTGTGCCATCTATGAGATGTCTTGGCCAATTTAGACATACATGGGCTCGGCGCAGTGAATCCCCGAATCCCACTTCCTCATCTATGAGTACCCATTTATAGGTAGTTATATGTGAAAGAGGGATGCTAGACGAGCCTTTTGGCATGGCATCAGTGACAAATTTATTACAGTGCCTCTAACAAATTTTTTTCGTTTCATTAGTCCCTACGTGAATCGTGCCACACCTTTTTCTTTACAAGTCGAAGCACAATTAAGTGAACCTATAGAAGCGTAGATATTGCAGCAGGGCTCCGAACTCGGCGCAAGGTCAAAAGATTTCATCAATACTAATTTATATCATATGTAGGCAGTAAGACATACCATTGTAAACTACTATCGGAGAAGAAGAGGTTGGATTGTGCTTATGGGTACTTGGCTAGAATACGCCATCTTCCTTCAAAATTTCAACATCGTCATATAAACCTATAATAATCTGCCTCAATTAATATTACGACGTTGGAGACGGCAAAATGCGCCAGTGGCTACACGATGCTGTAGCATCCGCAATTTGTCTAAGACTACTCGGCGATATGAAATCCTTCGATTTGTAGCAGACTGTAGAGCGACCATCGCTTATCAAGTTGTTAGATAGTTGTATTGTTTAGATGACACAATCTGAGCCAGCGGGCAGCGAACCATAGTTGCCATAGTAGCCGTAACAAATACAACTAGTAGAGTTGTTGGATGGCACTGATGATCAGTATTTTATGTCGAGAAACGGGCAATTTCGGGACTCTTCGCTGAATCAAGAATCGAAAGTTTCAACGATCAGCGGTTGCGCTTATAGGGGCAACAGCTACAGTGTATATTCAGCGTTCTACGCTGGGTACAGGTAACATCCAAGTCAAATATTAATCATTGATTGTCTCCCGCTTAATTAACCCTCTCAATAATCAGATTTATGTGAACATTTTATCTCAGTGCAACTCTGTATATATTGAGCAAGTGTAAAGCTGCTGACTTTTGCGATAGAATATATCAGAGACGGCGGCGTATAAGAGAGTAATAGAGTCAAGGAGAGGTTCTAGTTATTACAAAGGGATAAAGCAGCTAGGAGGTACACAATAACTATATTTATCTCTAACCTCCTCTAAAACTAAGGGGATTTACGCTCCTTTATATAGTAAATCCTAGCTATAACTAGCCTTTAAGCAGCAACTTTAGCAGTATTCGCCAGCTCTATAGCTTTATTATACCTCTTCCTTCCTCAGACCCTTAATAGGCTGCCCTTCCTTCTTTAAAGCACGCCCTTATGCAGTTCCTCACAATCTTCTTTTATACTTTTTCACAGGGTACTATTAAGGTATTAGCCCTAACTCCTTATTACATAGGCTATAGCAGGATTTAGTTATAAACAGAAGACTTTTATTTAGCATTATAATAATAAAAGACGCAGTCCCTAAGTAAATAAAAGCAGAAGGCTGCGTAAGAGCTATTTATTATAAAGTAACTTACCTTTTATAATAATAGTTTTATAAGGCAGGTTTATAATTATTAATTATAATACTTAAATTATAAAAGGGGGCATTTCCCTTTTCCTCCCTATAAAGTCCTTAACCACTACTATTATAATTATATTCTTTTTCTCTTATTAATAATTCCGCTATAATATTCCTCCTAACTATACCTTATTAAAAGCTAGCACTAAGTACTATAATAATAACTATAACTACGGCCGCACTTACGCCCGCGCCTCCCCTTATTACACTACCAGGGGCTAATAAGTAAGTTATACTTTATCCTAGCCCCCTTTCTTTTTACTAAAACCTAATATAGGCCCTATACCTATAAACATTATATATACTATTATAATTATTAAAAGCTAGGTAATACTATAAAACATTATTACAATATATTAAGTATACAGCCTTATCCTCTAAGTTTATTTTACTAAAACCCTACTTACTCCCTCCTAAATAGTAATAATAAATACTTTTATTATAATAGTCGCAATAATACCTACGTTCCTATACTAGTTGCTAATAAGGCTATATATATAGACCTAATTAATAAAATCAAGTCCAATAACCCTAACTTAATAAGCCAATCTTATAATAGCTATGTAATAAGTGCTAACATACGCCTAGGCCTGCGTTACTATACTCTAAGTAAATTATAAGAAGGCCTATAATAAGGCAAGGCTGGGTCCTGCCTTAGCAACTCCTACTTATTAAACCCATACTGTAGCAGTAGTATAACAACCCTGTTTACGCTATGCTTGTGAGATTATAAGTGCTTAGGTTTAATTAAATATTATAAATTTATTATATAACCTCTAGGCCACGCTTGCGTTTTATATCTTAGTTTATTTCCTTTAACTTTATTAAGTTACCCTTTACTAACTTCCTTTATAATCCTAGCTTACACCTAGCTAAGCTTAAGGTATTATCTCTATTGCCGCAACTTAAGACTACCCTAATTCCTAGGCTAATATATTATAAGCCAAGGTAACCCTTATTACTAATAATACTGCTATAGGTAATACTAATAAGTAAAGTATACCCTATAACCCCTCT